TGGGTTGTACCCAGCGATCATTTCTAGATTAGGCCTGAAGCTTTGGATGAGGAAGGGGTCAGCTTTGAGAGGTATTTAGGAAGTAGTCCTTCTGTCCAGAGCCATTGGCTAGACTGTGAAGGCCTGGTGTACTAGGTGGGAGGCTTATCAACAGAGGATTCTTAGAGCTGAGCCACTTGACCCGGGACCCTTTTCTACAAGGGCTATGTTCTCAGGCTTTGCCTCTGCTACTCCATTGCCTTGTAGCCAGTATGCTTCCTGCCATGGCCCCCTTCTTGCTGTTCTTTTCCTATCCTGGATCATAAGAACGATCACTTTCACCGCTCACTCTCCTCCATGCAATCTGAATCAGCACAGAAAACGGGAAGGTGGAAGGAAGTCCCAGTGCCTCCAGCCTGTGCCACCACTTGGTTATTATGAACAGGGTCTGTGCTGGAGAGAAAGACTCGGGGTATGTGGGGAGGGGAGGAAGGCTTGTTCTCGCTGAGGCTGTGCCCTCCTGCCAGGTGAATATTTACAAACACAGCCGCTCGCTTGGCAACGCCAGCTCCACGGATCCCCTTGGGTGCTGTCTGCACACCTTCTCCCCACACAGCTGCTACAAACCAGGAGAGCCTCCTGGGCATGGAAGGAGGCAGCCACGCCTGGAACTCCAGGGACCCCCCTCACCTCACCCTATCAGCAGAGAGGTCAGAGAAGGCTAAGGCCCCATGAAACAATGAGAGGAGACCAAACTCCCAGACTTAGTCTCTGCCTTCTCTCATGCCAAGGACTTGGTGGCGTGGGCTGGCTCAGAAACCAGTGTCCTCAGAGGACCTGGACTCACAGTTCTGCCCAACAGTGGCTCCCAGGTCCGAAGAGAATCTCAGGGCAAACGCAAGTTGGTTCTGAATGTCTCGAGTAGGGCAACAAACCTGGAAGTATGGGATCCCCTACTTGCCAAGGAGGGGCACAGACCCCGCCTCAAAGCCATGCAGCCGCAGTCCCTGGCAAATGCCTCCGTAGGATGGATACCTCACCTGAGGAGGAGGAGACAGCCACGTCTCTCACCCACTGCCTTCCAGCATCCCAAATGGGAGGAAGATGCAGCCAGGAAAAGACAGCAAATTCTTGATGACAGCCAGGAGGGAGCCCACCCATGGTGTACACAGGGCAAACAAGATATGACAGACCCCACTACCCGACTCAACATTCAAGCTCTGGTGGCCCTGCACATCTCAGGACCCTGGGCCAAGGTTCTTCTGAGCATACTGGAGCCAGGTTTTTCTTTTTTCTTTATCTTTTCTTTTTGCCAGTCGTGGGGCTTGAACTTGGGGCCTGTGTGCTGTCCCTGAGCCTCTTTGTGCTCAAGGGTAACACTCTATCACTTGAACCACAGTGCCACTCTGGCTCTTTCTGTGTACTTTGGAGATAAGAGTCTCGCAGATTTTTCTGCCTGGGCTGGCTTCAAACCACAATCCTCAGATTTTGGCCTCCTGAGTAGTTAGTATTGACAGGTATGAGTTACCTGCACCTGGCTCTAGGTTTTTCTTTTTTGTTGTGGTGGTTTTAGCAGCATCGTGAAAGAGAGGATGGGTGGCAGGAAAGGCTCCAGTGTTGGCTGGGGGTGGATGAACCACACAAAGGAATGACTTTCAGCTTGAGTTCTGATTGTGTGGCTTGTCATGTGTCCGTTCACTGAAGAGAGAGAATCCCCATGTTCCACTTCCAGAAGTGAACACATACGAGCTGTTCTGAGGATCAAACAGTGCCAGGTATAGCAAAAGGCTTTCCAGGCAGCAGGAGGCCTGCTTTGCCTCCATGGAAGATTGTACTATGAAGCTCAGCCTGTCCCAGAGGCCAGCATCACAGACTTAGGCTGCTGACCTTTGTACAGCATTTCATGGATCTAAGACTTTTCTTATCTGGACAGAATATTCAGTTCCTGAGTGCTCCATGAACTCTTTCAACTCCAGCCTTCGCATATTTGATTCCCTCTGCCTGAGAGACACCCTTTCCTCTCGGTCCTTCAGTCTTAATATCAGTGTCACTTCCTGCCTGAAGCCTCCTCTGATTCACTCTACGTAAGACAGGTATTTCCTCTGGCTCCCTGATCACATTGTAAAGCACGACCTATTTCCTCATGTCCCCATTCCACAGTGGGACCAACAGCAGACCCAGCATTGAGTTAGGCAAGAGCAGAGACCACACAAGGGTCTATCTGATGAATGGATGTGTGGGTAGGTAGGTGGATGGATAGATAGATGCATGGCCAATCTGGGATATGCTCTATAACAACTTTTATTATTATCCACTGCCACAGATACTCACTTTCTGCTGCAGCTTAGAGTTTCTGAGTGACTGCCAAGGGCCAGGCATTTGTGGCCATGAAATAGTCTTCCAGGTTCTATCTTAAAACATTTTGCACCACGTAGCTGGTGCTGGGCAGGGGTTTCTTGGGCCTTGGGTTTTCAACCCATTGAGTCAATTCATTTAGTCAAAGGAAAGATCAGCCAGCTCAGAGTCCATCCTAAGAGCTGGTGAGCATGCCTAAATTTTCCACTAAATCATTTATTTGAAAAATCCTGTCTTCAACCTGGTTTTCCCATCTGCAGTGTACAGAAGTTAGTGTTCCAAGAAGGCCAGCTGGTCATCTGCCTAGAACCCTCCCTAAAGAGGTGGATTCCATGTAGTTCATAGCAGGGCCTCTGATTTGATTGTATAAAACCTTAATTTGAGGGGCTGGGAATGTGGCTTAGTGGTAGAGTGCTTGCCTAGCATGCATGAAGCCCTGGGATCAATTCTTCAGTATCACATAAACAGAAAAAAAGTCAGAAAGGGTGTTGTGGCCCAAGTGGTAGAATGCTAACCTTGAGCAAAAGAAGCTCAGAGATAGTTCCCAGGCCCTGAGTTCAAGCCCCAGGACTGGCAAAAAACAAAAAACACACCTTAATTTGATTGATGGAGTGAGGTGCTCCTGTGAGTGTGCCCCATTTAAGAAGGCTTCTAGCCCAGCAGCTCAGGAAGGATGCCTTCCTAGTTGGAGCTCACTTTCTTTCTTTTTTTTTTCCTTTCCTTTTTTTTTTTTTTTGGGTCCGGTCATGGGGCCTGAACTCTGGGCCTGGGCGCTGTCCCTCAGCTCTTCAGCTCAAGGCTAGCACTCTACCACTTGAGCCACAGCGCCACTTCCAGCTTTTTTCATTTTGCTTATGTGGTGCTGAGGAATCGAACCCAGGGCCTCAGGCATGCAAGGCAAGCACTCTACCACTGAGCCACCTTCCCAGCCCCTCCTTTTTTTTTTGATGCCATTCTCCCAGCTTAAACTCATGACCTGAGTTTTTTTGCCCAAGGGTACCACTCTACCACTTGGGCCACATCTGCACTTCCAGCTTTTAGGTGATATATTAGAGATAAGAATCTTACCAGCTTTCTTGCCCAGGCTGGCTTTGAACTGTGAATCTCAGATCTCAGCTTCCTGAGTAGCTAGGATTACAGGTATGAACCAGCAGCACCTGGCTAGAGAACTCACTTTGACTGCTCCCCAAGAGCACCCGCATCTGTGGGGCCTTGGTGAGCTATTCAGACAACTTTAGGTGCATCTGTAAAGCATGAGCTCTCATGGGGCTATAGCCTGGGCCCAACTGCTTCTTGCCCAGTATTTGGACCAGCCTGGGCCAGGCCTGCCTCTGACCTTCTCTCTGTTAGACTGAGCAGTGGGTGGGAAGATAAGTGTATCCCTTAGCCATCCCTTTAGTCCTAGGATCCTATCAGATGCAGTGTGAGGAACTCTTTGTGCCCATGTGGTACTGTGCCCATTTAAAATTGGGAGGTGGAGGTTTGGAAACATGGAATGTGTCCAACTGTGCCCAGCTGATAAATGATGCAGAAGGGACTTAAAATGAAGTCCTCTTCCATTTCTCCCTTTCTGTCTCTCTCTTCTTCCCTCCATCCCTCCCTCCTCTTTGTCTCTCTCTTTTTCTCTGCAGTGACTTTGCACATCATTGACCTCATTGCCCGTGTGGTAATGTTACAGTTTAGCACAAATACCATTTATTGGAATTTCAGCAGATCTCTCCTCCCTCAGGGGTCAAGCAGTTGTTTGGCTTCTGTCCAGTGACTGCAGAGTGGCCACTGTTGTATTTCTTTTTGTTTCCCAAGAAGAAACAATGACTGCCTCCAAGGGCAGAGGACCCATAGGGAGGGAGACTGTGGGTACTATGAAGCAACCTGGAGCCCACCCTGCCATGCCTTGAAGCTTCTAGCTTCACATCTTCCTGGGTAGCAAAACAAAAGGGTCCCTGTATGGATGCCAGCATTGACTCCTGACCCACCCTGGGTACCTTCCTTGGTCCTAGACAACATGCAGAGCCCTGAAACTGGTTGGCTATGTACCTCTACTCTCTTGATACTTCTTTACTTAGTGGCTAACTGGAGGTCATGGGAGCTCCTTACGACCTTCAGGACTGAAAATTAGTCACCAGAAGTCTTGTCACTGTCTACTCAGGGGTATCTCCTGTGTCTCCCTGAGAAGCCCACCATACCCAATTGGGGCAGCAGCAGCAGTAAGTGATGATGAACCCTGGCCACTGTCTGCAACATCGCAAGAAGTGCTTGGTGCACACAGTACTTTGCTAAAGCCCTTTCTCTCTGGGCCTTGGTATCTTGCTCTGTTTCCCTCTGCTACCTCTGAAGAGCCCAAGGAGGACAGAACAGGCTCCCAAGAGACACTATGTCCAAAGCTGCCAGAGCAGATGTTGCCCCTGAAAAATATGGAAGCACCCATCAACCCAAATGTAAGCACGGTCCATGGTCACAGACGAGAGCTGAGGCTCTGGACTCTCACCCCTTTGGGTGTATGCTGTGTTGCCCCAGGAGACTGAACATCCCAACTAGCCTACGTCTGACTGCCCCTCATTCTGTTGGGCCATGGCCTCGCCACAATCCATGGATCACTTGTGATCCAGGACCCACCCAGTCTGCCCACTGGGGATCCTCCCTCATCTGCGTCTTGTCTCCTACAGAGCTTATCCTCTCACTTCTGGAGAAGATGCAGACCCAGGAGATCCTGAAGATATTGCGGCTGCCCGAGCTGGATGACTTGGGCCAGTTCTTCCGCAGCCTCTCAGCCACCACCCTCGTGAGTATGGGTGCGCTGGCTGCCGTCCTCGCCTACTGGCTCGCTCACCGTCCAAAGGCCTTGCAACCACCATGCGACCTCCAGATGCAATCAGAGGAGGTAGAGGTAAGCAAGGTGGGAGGAGTCAGGCTCTACCAAATAATTGGCTGACAGTGGGCATCTTGAAGGTAGAAAGAAGCCAAACTCACGGTTTATTTGACCTCAAGTGGCCCAGAGAATTCTGCCAGCCAACAAGTTCTGTAGCAGCTTTGGGCAGGGTCTCCCACCAGAGACTCCTCGGCCTCTCCCAGGAACTGTCCTTGGCCTTGCACTGGGTCTCTGGGATGTGTGCTTCTTGGGTAAGGGGCGTTGGCCTATTGTTGTCTCAGTAGGCTAAGCAGGTTCTCAGGCTGCCAAGTAAATTTCCTCCTAAAGATACCAAGAAAGACACCAAGGCCCAAAGTGAAAGGACTTAGCAAAGTACTGTGTGTTCCAGTCGTGGTTGGTGCAGGGACCCAAAGCTGAGCCCATCTGAGGGCTCTGCCTGCAGAGCACTGAAATTCACAAGAAGATTCCGTGGCTCAGCAGATGAGAGTGTTTCAGGTACATTTAAAGGACCAGTAAGAGCTGCTTCTTTATTAAGCTTATAGAAATAATTTTTGTTGGGGCTGGGAAGGTGGCTCAGTGGTAGAGTGCTTGCCTTGCATGCATGAGGCCCTGAGTTTGATTCCTCAGCACCACATAAGCAGAAAAAAAAAGCTGGAAGTAGCGTTTGTGGCTCAAGTGGTAGAGCGCTAGCCTTGCTGAAGAGCTGTGGGACAGCGCCCAGACCCAGAGTTCAGGCCCCGTGCCCGGACCCCCCCCCCCCCCCAAAAAAAAAAAAGAAAAGAAAAAATTTTTGCCTTTAATTTTTTTTTTTTTTACTTTTTCCTCTAAATTTTCATCCTATTCACATTGATAATATATTCACACAGTCCATTAGAAACTAAAGAACCAGAAGCTTCTGCTTCTCATACTGGTTTCCCAGTTCGGTTTGTGGTTCTGTCATGAGCTTTAAATGTTATCATGAGTCTGGCACCGGTGGTTCATGTCTGTAATCCTAGCTACTCAGGAAGCTGAGATCTGAGGAATAGGTTCGAAGCTAACCCCAGGCAGGAAAGTCCATGAGACTCTTAGCTCCAGTAAACAACTAGAAAACTGGAAGTGGTGTTATGGCTTAAGCAGTAGAACGCTCGCCTTGTGCTGAAGAACTGAGGGATAGCACCCAAGCCCAGAGTTCAAGCCCCACAACTGACAAAAAAGAAAAGAAAAGAAAAGAAAAAGTGTATGGTAGGGGGAAAACAATGGAGAGGGTAACAATGTTCAAGAGGAAGTGTACTCATTACCTCACTCATGTAACTGTAACCCTCTGTATAGTATCTTTACAATAAAAAAAAAAAAGAAAAGAAAACAATGTTATCATGACATATATACATTCTTGTGCATCTTGACTTTGCTCTTTTTTTTTTTTTTTGCCAGTCCTGAGGCTTGAACTCACTGTCCTGAAGCTTTCTTTTGCTCAAGGCCAGCACTCTAGCAAGTGAGCCACAGCGCCACTTCTGATTTTTTTCTTGTTTATGTGGTACTGAGGAATCGAACCCAGGGCTTCATGCATGCTAGGCAAGCACTTCCACTAAGCCACATGCCCAACCCTTGGTTTTTGCTCTTGCTAGTACATCTTGGTGATCATAAACAGGGCAGTGTTTTGCTGGTAAGGAAGGCACAGGCCAAATAGAGGTTTGGATCTCAAGAGTATCCTTTCGATAGGACTGATGTGTACAGAGGCACAAGTATGGATAAAACCCAGTTTTGATTTTTGTTTTGGGGTGGGGAGATGGTGACTTGTGTTGGTGATAGGCAGAGGAGAAGGACAGAGTGATGATGAATAAAGTGGCCTTTGAGGACCAGCAGCCCTGGGCTTGGAGCCTGGTATACCTTTGTGAGCTGTGTGGTTTTTGGCAGTTTCTTAACCTTCTGAGTCTCAATGTTTTTGGTTTTTAAATAGGTCATCGAAAGAGCAGTTATTTCCTAAGGTGTGGTAAGGATCTGGTATGATAAGAATAGTGTTTTGGTTAAGATAATAATTACTGTTCACGGGGCTGGGGCTTTAGTCCAGCGGAAGGGTGCCCAGCCGGCACAAGCAAGGACCTGGGTTCGGTCCTCAGCCCTGGAAAAAAAAAATTACTGTTCACCTGGAGAAGCCACAGAGCCCTCAGGGTGAATAGCATGTTTCATTTTGTTTTGTTTTGTTTTTTTTGGTCAGTCATGGAGCTTGAACTCAGGGCCTGCAATCTGTCCCTGAATTCTTTTTGCTCAAAGCTAGTGCTCCCTATCAATTTGAGCCACAGCACCACTTCTGGTTTTTTGGTGGTTTATTCACAGAGCCAGGACCCAGTGGCTCATGCCTGTAATCCTAGCTACTAAGGGGGCTGAGATTTGAGGATCACGGTTCAAAGCCAGTCCAGGCAGGAAAGTCTGTGAGACTCTTATCTCCAATAAAACCACATGTGTGTCCTCCAGTCTCCTCTGTCCCTGTCTTTCACTATGTTCTGTCACCTAGGTGCTAACTAGATGTGATTTGTTTATACTTCCAGCTTCCTAGTCTTGTTCTCCGGATTTATGCCCAGAAAGTACTAGCCAAACAGAACTTTCCACTCCAAAACAGTGAAGAGCTGCTTGTGGTTTTGAGTTTGGCTATTTGCTTTGTAGTGCACACAATATTTCCTCAGACTCAATGTTCCAAGAAGTGGTAGGCTCTGGGCCAGCCCAGGGCTGCTTAAATGGAACTCAGAGAACAGGCAGAGCTGTGATACAAGAGAGTTCTGAGTTTGGGAAGCCCAGGGAGAGATAGCAAGTTTGAAGTGGAAGAAGAGGTAGGAGAAGAAACTAAGTTCCTTCCCTTGCCTCAGAGTAGAGTTTGTTTGCTATTTCCCACTCTGGATTCTGCACTCCCCCCCCCCCCCCACACACACACACCTTTTTTGTTGTTGTTTAAGCCAGGACTCACACTTGTTAACTGATGGTTCCACTCACTGGCTGACACTGCCAGCTGAGCCACACCTCCAACCCTGGGTTGGTTATTGCTTTGATTGATTGATTGATTGATTGATTGATTGATTGATTGATTGGCTCTTTTGAGGGCCCAGGCTCACATTGCCCTACCTGCTCCCATTGGAAATAATCCAGCCTATTCTCCCTTCACAGCCTCCTGGGCTTCTGTTTCTGGGAAAGGAAAGTACCTTCAGCATAGTCATCAACCGATTCAGTGTGTCAGTGATGGATGGCAGACTTCTAAGCTAAAGACTCCACTCACATGATTTCATAACCTAGGGGTAGATGGGGTAGATCAGTAGGTGACAGGTAGGAGTTACCTTGGCAGGAGATAGCTGAATCCAACAAATGCTCCCAATTCTACTGTATGGGTGGGCAGGAAGATTTATGGAAAATCCTGGACAATCAGTATAGGCTGACTTGATGTGTGAATTTTGTGTGTATTGGATGTGTGCGTGTGTGATCTACAGGGATGCTAGGTCTGCCTGTGTGCATTAGCCAATTTTGGGGGGATACGGATAGAGTGACTGCTTGTTTAGGTGTTCACAGGCTATGTGTATGAGTGTACACAGAATACCTCTCAACCCCGACTGGGTGGACCAGGAGAGCATCCAGGCTGTGTCCAGGGGGCCTACTCCTAACATCCATGCCTGACTCGGACAGTTTCTCTGACCTGTGTTTGGCTTGTAGGACAGTGGTGGAGCCCGGCGATCTGTGATCTGGGGTAGCTCTCAGTTGCTTACCCACTACTATGATGACGCCAGGACCATGTACCAAGTGTTCCACCGTGGGCTTAGCATCTCAGGTGAGCAGGACTGTGGAGGTGTGAAGGGGCTTTGGCAGGCATCAGGCAGGTACAAGGGTGTAGTAGGTATGCAGCAAGGCGTCAGGCACAGGACATGTGCACAGTGCTCAGGTCAGCAGGAAGGAACCACTCCTGGACCTCTTCCCAGCAGTCAAAGAAACAGCTTCCTTGTGTGGAGCAGGGATAATCTTGGTTTTGCTTCAATTCTTGAACCTACCAGGTTTCAAAGCCTATACTCCCTGCCTCCATGAACAGACCTTCGTGAGCTGTCAGGCCACTGACTGCCTTGGCTCGAACCTGAGCCTCTGACATGCCATGCAGTATGTTATAAGGTGAAGGGAGGTGGTCCCAGGCAAATTGCCACCTTAATCTGGTGATCCCCGAGTGTCTTGTGTCCTTTTGGGTCTGCAGTAGTAAAAGCTGTCACACAAGTCATACTGGGCACTGCATCAGTCCCCTTTCTAAGCCTGCCTGATCCCTGGGGAGATGTCATATCATGTCTTGTCGCTTGCTTTAGACCTTGGGCTACAAGCAGGTGAGGCAGGCATCTAGGGGGATGCTTCTGGGCACATGGTCACACCCAGTACAGGATGTCCATCCAGGTGACTGAGAGGCAGGAGCAGGTGGCATAGCTACCAGTCTTCCTCCCTGGCACAAGTCCTTCTTGTCTCTCTGCAGGGAATGGGCCCTGCCTTGGCTTCAGGAAGCCCAAGCAGCCTTACCAGTGGCTGTCCTACCAGGAGGTAAGTGATAGAGACCACCCTGTCCACCCAGGCATACCTGGCACTCGCAGGTAGGAGCCTGTGGACACTCGGGTGGACTTCAGAGGGTCATTTGTAATTTTTCTGGCCTGGACAGGCCAACTCGTGGCAGCGGCCTTGGGGGATTCAGCTTACCTGGGTAGGGAGACAGGGAGGTCTGTCAGACCTATAGAACTCTCCTGTGCTGAGAGCCTGTTTTCCTCTCATCTCTCCCCACATCTGTGCATAGGTGGCCAACAGGGCCGAATTTCTGGGTTCTGGACTTCTCCAGCACAACTGTAAAGCACAAACAGATCAGTTTATTGGTGTTTTTGCACAAAATCGGCCAGAGGTAAGAACCTGTCTTGAGTGGTTTTAAGAGCTATCTATGGAGTAAGGGTTGGGTACACAAAACAGTCTTCCCACCCTTTGTAGGGTCTGGGACGAGAGGGGAAAAAACGGAAACTCAAGGGCCATATAGCACCCCCTTTTCCCTCACCCCCAGCTCTGCTCTGCATCAGCATTAGACACTTCATCCAATATCCATCCATATTGTACCCAGTCCAATAAACAGCTGTCCTTCAAGCCACACAGGGCCTAGAAGTGCTCCTGGCACTGTTTGGACCTGACATCCAGGAGTTAGAGAATTCCATAGGGCAAGTGCAATCCGAAGGCTGTGGATGAGCAGGAGCGACTCATTTGTCTTATAGAATCCTTGCTTTAGTGTAGAGATTCAGGCATAGGGTCTAAAGTAGGGACTGTGGTCTCTCTGGACCTATGGGGCAGCACAGTTCTTTTTCTTATCTCCTTTTTCCCCCGCTGACCTTTTGTTTCCATAGTGGATCATTGCAGAGCTTGCCTGCTACACGTATTCCATGGTGGTGGTCCCACTCTATGACACCCTGGGCCCTGGGGCTATCCGCTATATCATCAATACTGGTAAGCCCCACTGCCCTCCCTTCTGACACTGACAACCAGTCCTACCTGCCTCTGAGCTGGATGTCAGAGAAATCACTTCATTTCTGAGCTCAAAAAACACTAAAGGCATACAGTGAGATTTAGGCATCTCTATTTAGGTATCACCTGGGGATTCCTTCCATAGGGCTGGGATACCAAAAAGCCTCTGTACAAACCTCCAATAGGCTGTGACATTCTAAGGCATCCTTGTTGGTGGTGGTAAACACTCTAGACAGACCTATGATGACAGACCCAAGCCTAAGCAAAGCAGAGGCATCCACTGCAGGAGTTTCCCTGGCCTTCTGCCCTTAGTTCCATGACACATGCCTAAGCATACAACACATGACCCCCAAAGCCTGCCTGACATGTTTTTCTACATACATGCTGTGGCACACACGGTCCACGGTGTGGCTGCCTAGCACGTGCTGATCAAAAGTCACAACCCGACTCTTCCTTGATGGTCCTGCAGCGGGCATTTGCACCGTGATTGTGGATAAGCCACAGAAGGCAGTGCTTCTGCTAGAGCATGTGGAGAGGAAGGAGACCCCAGGGCTCAACCTGATCATCCTCATGGAGCCATTCGATGAAGCCCTGAGAGAGAGGGGGCAGAAGAGTGGGGTGGTCATCAAGTCCATGCAGTCTATGGAGGTAAGAGTCCATGTCCAGGCTGTTTGCTGGGCCATAGCTGACTGAGTTAGAGCTGCTGGTTATTTGCCCCTCTCCTGCCTTGGATCAGCATGTATCTGTGTCAGGCCAAGGCAGGCTTGGCGGGGGGGGGGGGGGGGAGATGGCAGAAGGAGGCATTGAAGAAAGGCCTGGAGTTGGTGCATCCAGCCATCCTTTAATAGAAAGCTCTGACTGGCACCTCTAATAGCATCAAGCACAAGCAGATGGACAGTAGTACCAACCTGGACGTCATTCCCACAGCCTTTGGAGCCTGTTTGTGTCCAAGGACTGTAGCCATGAGTTCCAAGAATCTTGGAAAGATTCTTATTAATGAGACCCAACTAATAGGACCCAGATCCCCAGCAGCCAGCAGAAGTGATTGTGCTGTTCTTGACCTCCCTGAAGACAACAGGTTGGTGGAAGCTTGTGGCCTGTTAGGGCAGTACAGGGCATCCTGGCCGCTAGGGTCTCAGTCCCTGCTCAGTAGCAGCTGGCCCACAGTAATTATGCTCTACTGAACTTGGGTACTTGTGCCCAGCAGTTACTCTCATGCCTACCTGTCCCCTCCTCACTGTACCCATAATACCTGTACAATGGCACCCCTTTGCAGCTTACACAGACACACCTGTACAGGCCTCCCTTGCCTGTCCCTTGGCACTGAATGCTCATAGACACTTAGATCACAAGCCACTCTCCTGTGCCTGTTCTCAGCCCAACATGTCCAAAACTCATTGGCATGTACACATCTGGCCTCTCTCTGGGCCTCCAGGCTCCCTGTATAAAATGAGGACCTACCTCCCTCGTTCCCTCCTTCCTTCTTCCCTTTCTCTTCTCCCTCATCTCTCTCTCTTCTTCTCTCTCTCTCTCTTTCTGACCTTGACTAAGCAGTGCCACTCAGATGATATTTGCCATGTCCATATAGGTAAGGTGTCCTGAACTGGTGGGTTGGTACAAGAACAAGACCTACTGTGCTGTTTAATGTTCAATTGATGAGAACTTTGAGCTTTTTTTTTTTTTTTTTTTTTTCAAAAAAGTATGTTCTTCTTTTAGGATTGTGGCCAAGAGAATCGCCAAGCTCCTGTGGTAAGCTGATCTTCTAATAGACCTTTGTTGAGCAAGATGGTCAGTAGGACCAGAGGCCCTTGCTGTTCACAGGGCTCAGGAGAGAGACCAGACAAGCACCTCCTTGTTAGTGAGCCATCTGTGCTCCACTCAGGAATGTCTGTTTAGTTGCCCAGAACTTCTATGGGCTGAGTGCCCTGGAAAGGACCTGGAAGGGGAGTCAGATGTTGGGAGAGAGACAAAACAGTAGCCATTCCAGGCTACCTTTGGTTCTCTAGTAACTCTTTCTTAGGAAAGTCTTTTTTTGTGTCAGTCATGGGGCTTGAACTTAGTGCCTGGGTACTATTCTGAGCTCTTTTGCTCAAGGCTAGCACTCTACCACTTTGAGTCACAGTGCCACTTCTGGGAAGTCTTATTTTTATCTCCTCAAATGTAGTAAATTCCCCAGAGAGTATGGTCTGGAAAGAAGCAACAACAGAACCAGAAATGGATGCCTGGGCCTACTGGTCTGTGGCATCTAATTTTTGTTCCTCCTCGGGCTGCAAACTTTCCTGTGTGCCAGCCTCATTTATAGCACCTGGAGTTGAGTCATAGCTGTCCCTTGGGTTGGACCATGAAGGTGGTTCTAGTTTCTAACAAGGCCTCTGGCCTCCAGGTGTTCTGCCAACTCTCCTTCCCTTCTAAGCTTTACCCTCCCTGCTGAGCTTCCTCACTAATAGGCTGAGTAGATCTCAGCCCTTCTCAGGGTCTCCTTTGTACCCTTATGTATTTGTCTACTCACATATGCAAGGCTTCAGCCATAGAGAACTGCCCTCTGACTTTCAGCATGTCTCCTCTGTGCCTATGCACGGGCTTATTCCTCTCCCAGAGAGGAATCATAGGCTCACTCCCCTCCCTAACTTAATCTGGAGAAATTTTGTTCATCTTTTCAACTCACCTCGTGTGTCATCTCTTCTGAGAAACTGTCCTCTCTGTTCAGACCAACTATGTGGGCTTCTTCCTGGTAACCCAAGCAAGGGCCATGTGCCCAGTACCAGGACAAGGGTCTGATACAGTCGTCTTGGGGATGCAATGGACTCAATTACTGAGCCACATATGTTCCTGAGACTAACCTCAAATGTTTGGGAGAAAATATTCAACTGTGAACCATGCTTATTAGATAGGTAAGGTCTTCAGTAGAAACCTGGATATGGCCTTTGTAGCCCAACCTCATCCTGAGAATTTAGCTCAGACTAGAGGAGGGCGAAGCAACAGGAATGTGTCAGGCTTGTGGAACCTGTCTGTACACTCCACCTCTTTCCCCCTTTTCTTTTCTTTCTTTCTTTTTTTTTTTTTTTGTGTGCCAGTTCTGAGGCTTGAACTCATGGCCTGAGCACTCTCTCTGAGCTCAAGGCTAGTGCTCTACCACTTGAGCCACAGCTCCACTCCAGGCTTTTTGGTAGTTAGTTGGAGATAAGAGTCTCATGGACTTCCCTGCCAGGACTGACTTTGAACTGTGGTCTTTGTATCTCAGCCTCCTGAGTTGCTACAGGTATGAGCCTCCAGCACCCAGCTTTCCCCTTTCTGGAGAGCTCACCTGCCCACCTTTCCAACTATCACATGCAGGGGCATTCATGCAGACCCAGCAATGCCCATAGCCACATCCCTCACCTCAGCACAGGCATGGGGCTGGCCCTGGTATCTTTGGCCCTAGGGTCTTCCTAACACACCTCTTCTCATTCCTCTAGCCCCCGCAGCCTGATGACCTCTCCATTGTGTGTTTCACTAGTGGCACAACAGGTAAGTAGAGTTGCCCACATGACTATTGTGGTCATCTATCTTCACCTTTTCCTGGAAGCCTAGCAGTTGACTTCCAAGAGCCCATAGTGTCTCTATGAGATAGGCTGAGCCTTGTCCTCGCCTAGCTCCATGTGTTTGCACCTTTTGCTATTGCCATTGCCTGGCACTAGACAGGACCCAGGTGACCAGCTGCAGATGGACAGTGTCAGACGGGACATGTAGACCTTACACTTCCCAGAGCTGAGCCAGTAGAGCCCTGGGTATCTAGACCACATGCTGGGGTAAGACTTTTCCCACAGCAGTCATTTCTTTATGGGAAACACCTGTCACTCCACTGTTTCCTGGCCCTTGCCTCCCCACCAGGAACTGGGAAAGGGATATGGCATTTTGTGTCTCTGAGAGGCTAAGTTTGAGTCTCATCTCCACACTTGCTATGAACCCATCACTCATTCTCTCTGCCATCACTGTTCTCAGTTTCTCACCTATGAGCAGGATGGTTAGGTGTCAGGTGGGAGATGGAGCAGGATACAGGTGGGCAGTGCAGGTGCTCTGCAGCAATAGGCATGACTGTCTTGAAGAAATGGCACAATCTGTGCGTGGCACCAACCATGGAGTGCACACAGCATGAGCAGAGACAGAGTGGACATGAAGCCTATGGTACAGGCACTGTACTTTGCAGTTTCCAGGGGCCCGCCCCACCTTCTCAGTGTGCTGCTAGGGCCTCAGCTGAGTCTGGGGTAAGCAGCTCCACATTGAGCCTGCCCCAAGTGGACATGAGCGAATGGAGGTCTTAACAGTTGTGCCTTAGCTGGGCGCCGGTGGCTCATGCCTGTAATCCTAGCTACTCAGGAGGCTGAGATCTGAAGATCACGGTTCAAAGCCAGCCTGGGCAGGAAAGTCCATGATACTCTTATCTCCAATAAACCACTAGAAGTGGCACTGTGGCTCAAGCGGTAGAGCACTCGCCTTGAGCTGAAGAGTGCAGGGACAGCGCCCAAGCCCAGAGTTCAAGCCCCACAAGCGACAAAAAAAAAAAAAAAGAGTTGTGCCTTGTTCTCAGAACTCCCCACCAAGTCTTTCTGCCACTGTCTGTCACTCTTGTCTTATCTGATGACTTGGGAAGTTACTTGCTTTGTCCTGAATGAGCAAAAGGTTTCCAGACTTTCTCCAGACTAAAGGGCTGGCCTGCCTGATGACAGTTTTGGAGGTCCCCACACACACCCGCTATAAAAACAGCCTCTAAGACATTTGGCTGACCTTTACCCAGCTCCAGAATCCAGATTCTCCATGTCAGTGGATCATGAGAAACATGGCTTTATTGAGTGGAAATGGATTTTTGCTATTTATTCAAGTTGGCTTAAAGATTTTTTAACCATACTCAGAAAAGAAATAAAACTTACTACAAGTTGATATATCCAGAGCTAGTCCAGTTTAACAATACCCTTCAGGCTTACATTGCACATTAAATAAAGCTTTCCAACGTTTTTGTTGTTGTTCGTGGGGCTTGAACTCTGGGTCTGGGCACTGTCCCTCAGTTCTTCAGCTCAAGGCTAGTGCTCTACCACTTGAGCTACTTCTGGTTTTCTGGTGGTGTATTGAAGATAAGAGTCTCACAGACTGTCCTGGCTGGCTTTGAACCACGATCCTCAGCTCTCAGCCTCTTGAGGAGCTAGGATTACAGGCGTGAGCCACCAGGCCCAGCTTTTGTTTCGTTCTATTTTTTTCCGGTTGTGAGGCTTGAACTCAGTGCCTAGGCGCTGTCCCTGAGCTCTTTTTATTTAAGGCTAGTGCTCTACCATTTGGAGCCATAGCTCCACTTGTAGTTTATGAGTGATTAATTGGAGATAAGAGTCTTACAGGGACTTTTTATGCCCAAGCTGGCTTTGAACCATGATCCTCAAACCTCAGTCTCCTAAGTAACTAGGATTATAGGCATGAGCCACCAGCAGGTTTTTTGTTGTTGTTGTTTGTTTTGTTTTTGGTATGAGTTTCATAGTGACAATATTTGGGGGAGTATTTCACTGCTGTGACCTTTGGCTTTGGACCTCTGCCTTCTACGAGTGCCTTCAAGGCTTTTACCATGCTACTTGGTCACACATGATGCCCTACACCTAGGAAAGGACTTCCAGAAGTAGAAATGTGCTGTTCTGGCTAGAGAGGACAGACGTCATGTCCAGTATCTTCCAGACTGATTGCCAGTCAAATGCTGAGCTGTCCTACGCAAGCTCCGTGCAATGGGACGGAATGCATGGAGCCTGGAAAATGAGTTGTGATTTAGAGTCCCAATCCTGCTGTGGCTGTTGCTGGATCAGAGCTAGGGCAGTAACTAGACCTTTGGCCCAATATCACCCTGCCAGTGGATTTCCTTGGCTTTAGAGTAAGCCTGGGCTGTGCTTCTTATATTCATTCTGTTGTCAGCTTGTCAGCCACATGTGTCCTTCGCATCACAGCTGAGTTTGCATGCTGGCTTTTAGCCTGATCAGGACCACATTGTTCTTCTGATGAGCAAAGATGGAAATTATGATCTCAATCTGACATTGGCCCTCGATTCTGGTGGAATTATTCTAAGAAAGTTTCCTGCTAGCATGTGGTAGATTCATCTGAGGAAACCTAAAATAAGCTAGTGTTTTGGATCCCTTAGCCATGCCAGGAAGACTCAGGAGGGCTGGGTGCCAGTGGTTCACGCCTGTAATCCTAGCTACTCAGGAGGCTGAGATCTGAGGATTGTGGTTCAGAGCCAGCTCAGACAGGAAAGTCCATGAGGCTCTTATCTCCAATAAGCCACTCAGAAAACCGGAAGTGGCAATGTGGCTCAAAAGCTAGAGCACTAGCCTTGAGTTGAAGAGCTGAGGGACAGCACCCAGGCCTAGAGTTCGAGCCCTACAACCGACAAAAAAAAGACCCAGGAGGAGGAGAGAGATTGTTCTTTGTATCTAGGGCAGATATGTGGTTAATTGTGCACTTCAAAGTAACCATTAGCCAGCATTGAATCTGAACCTACCTCTCCAAACATTTTAGGAAACTAGATCCCTTAAATGCTAGTTAAGATGCTGTATCCTTATGAGTTTTGTCATCTTCCTTCCAAAGATGAAAAGCAGTGGTCTTGTGAGGCACTTTATCCTCATTTTGTGTCTTTGACATTTTTTCTAGTTTGTATGTGTTCATTCCGTGTGTGTGTGTGTGTGTGTGTGTGTGTGTGTGTGTGTGTGTGTGTATTTGTGTTTGTGTTTGTGTGTTGGTCCCAGGCCTTAAACTCAGGGCCTGGGCACTGTCACTGAGTTTTTTTCCTCAAGGCTAGTGCTCTGCCACCTGAACCACAGCTCTAATTCTGGCTTTTGTTTTGGTGATTATTTGGAGATAAGAGTCTCAGGGACTTTCCTGTCTGGGCTAGCTTTAAACCGAGATCCTCAGATCCCAGCCTCTTGAGTAGCTAGGACTACAGGCTTGAGTCACCAGCTCCCAGCCTTTGCTTGTTCTTCTGAGCACCCACTGTGCATTAGACCTACTGTCGAGCACTGGATAAGAGAGAGCCCACATGACATGTATGTGTTCACAAGCTCACAGCCCACATCATCAGGCAGTTGCAGTACAATTTGGTTATTACTTGAGGGTCTGCATGCAGGCTGCATGGGGTACCCTGCCAGTGAGATGTCGGATCAGCAGGACACAAAGGATTCCTATAGAATTCCAATCTAGCAGAGTCCTAAAGGGTCAGTAGCTGGAATAAAAGATAAAGAGAGAAAAGGGGGTTCCTAAGAGAGGGAACAGCATAACAATGACAGCATGCCCAAATAATCCATAGCAAGACAGAATATTGCTGTGAAGGCAGATTGAGTGAGGAAAAGCATGGGCCAGGAGCCGGCCCAGCCTGGAAGTGCTGTATGTGAAGAATGATGGCACAAGAGTTCCAAAAAGAGCCAGAGCAGAAGCAGTCAAGAGAACACAGGACAGACGCTGTCAGCACTGTGCGGCTAAGTTGTATCCAGAGGATGTGTGAACATTCTGCATCGTGCTGGAGAAGAAAAGGCTTACCGAAACTCAGTATGATTGAATAATTGCTGCCATCAGTCATTGTTTGGGCAGGAACTGAATTGAGCTTTTTTTTTAATCAATAAAGACAACTTTCTCTCAAGATCCTCAGACCTTCCACACTGAGGTTATGTTAGGTGTGAGGAAGCCAGCCAACCTCACAGATCTAAAGTTCTGTGTATGGCAGTGGGCTCTTGTTTTGTGACAATCCTGATTCCATATCTGCTATCTGGGGTGGGAGGGGAGGAGTGTTCATTTAAAAAAATTACTGAGGGGCTGGGAAGGTGGCTCAGTGGTAGAGCGCTTGCCTTGCATGCATGAGACCCTGGGTTCGATTCCTCAGCACCACATAAGAAAAAAGCCGGAAGTGGCGCTGTGGCTCAAGTGGTAGAGCGCTAGCCTTGAGCTGAAGAGCTGAGGGACAGCGCCCAGGCCCAGAGTTCAGGCCCCACGACCAGACCCGAAAAAAAAAAAATTACTGAGATTGATTACATAAATTTCACAAATTTCACAGTATTGTGGGATAGTGATACTTAAAGTCATAAATACATTTTAACCTTCACAAGGCAAATTGTCATCATCATGGTCTATAATGTTTGTGAATTCTATGAGCTATTTCTTCCACATCAGGTGGCCTGTACATTTCTTTCCTTTCGCTTAGTATATAAGCTGTTCCCTCTTTCCCTCTCATTCCCTCCATCCCATCCATCACTGCCCTTGAGTTGCTTAGTTCATTTTCATCAGTGTCCAGTGCAGCTGATGGGCCCCTCTGTTGTATATTTTCCTGTTTCCCTCTTATTCTGTGTCCTCCTCCTAGCTTCCCTCAGATGTGCCTATATATATATACACACACATATATAAATATATATACATATATAAATATATATAAATATAAATACATACATATATATACATATGTATGTATACCATATATGAGGTCAAGAACATGGAGTCATTTAGAACTGATATGACAAATTGAGTGTAGGTCCTTTGTTTCTTGAGTCCTGTTTACTTTGTCATAACATCCACATATCAGGGAGACCATGTGCCGTTTGTCTCTCTGCTTTTTGTTTGTTTTTTTGTTTTTTTTGGGTCCGGTCATGGGGCCTGAACCCTGGGCCTGGGCGCTGTCCCTCAGCTCTTCAGCTCAAGGCTAGCGCTCTACCACTTGAGCCACAGCGCCACTTCCGGCTTTTTTCTTTTTGCTTATGTGGTGCTGAGGAATCGAACCCAGGGCCTCATGCATGCAAGGCATGCGCTCTACCACTGAGCCACCTTCCCAGCCCCTGTCTCTCTGCTTTTGGCTTACCTCAGTCAAAATGATTTGTTCTAGTTCCATCCCTTTCCCTGTGTGGGGGGCGTTCTTTAGAAACTTCTAGAAACCTGAGAATTCATAGGTAAAAATTATGAGACGACACTGAAAATATTTTGTGGGCCCCAGGAGTTTTGTATCTTAAGAGACAATTGGCGGAAATGTCTTAATATGGGCCTGGATTTGAGGAAGTGCTGGAATTAAAGGACAGGTAGAGGTAAGATAGTCTTTCCAAAATGAAGGTACTTTAGTAACTACCTATTATAAAAATATGACCTTTTAAAATTATGTGACCTCTTTACTCCCATAATCACCTCTATGTTTAGGCAGTTTAGGGAGATCTATTTTTGTGTTTGGTCCTGGGGCTTGAATTCAGGGCCTGGGTACTGTCTCTGAGCTTTTGTGCTCAAGGCTAGCACTCTTACCACTTGAGCCACAACTCTACTTCCAGCTTTTTTTTTTGGTGGATAATTGGAGATAAGAGTGTCACAGACTTTCCTGTCCAGGCTGTGTTTGAACAGCGATCTCAGATCTCAGCTTCTTGAGGAGCTGAGATTTACAGGCATGAGCCACTGGCATCTGGTTCACCTCAATAGTTGACAGTGTGGGTGATGGTGTATTTCTTCCACCGTACATCTTGGACAGAGGAAAATATCAGTCTATTGAATTCAAAGATGGAGTTGTGGCTGCTGCTTTGGTCACCAAAAAGTTGATCAAGTATGTCTCATGGGATATAATTAGGATAGCTATTTTATTTTATTTTTGTTAGTCATGGGGCGTGAACTCTGGGCCTGGGCGCTGTCCTTGAGGTCTTTTGCTCAAGGCTCATTCTCTACCACTTTGAGCCTTAGCCCTACTTTCAGTTTTCTGGTGGTTAATTGGAGATAAGAGTCTCATGGGGACATTACTATCCAGCCTGGCTTTGAACCACAATCTTCAGATCTCAGTCTCCCAGTAGCTACGATTACAGGTGTGAGCCATCAGCACCTGGCAAGTTTTTGTCTTCTCTGTTGCTTTCTATTTGTTCAGTAAATGTTGATCTCCCTCTGCTTCTGAATACAAATTTAGGTATCTCAGGCATTTCTGATCAGTTTTTTTTTTTTTTTTTTTTGGTACGGTCATGGAGCCTGAACTCTGGGCCTAGGCACTGTCCCTCAGCTCTTCAGCTCAAGGCTAGCGCTCTACCACTTGAGCCACAGCGCCACTTCTGGCTTTTTTCTTTTTGCTTATGTGGTGCTGAGGAATCGAACCCAGGGCCTCAAGCATGCAAGGCATGCGCTCTACCACTGAGCCACCTTCCCAGCCCCTGATCAGTTTTAGGCACTAAAAAGTCCCATGGTATACATCATAGTCTTATTTCAGAATCAAGTGCTGATCCAAACCTAGGAATTATAGTCTTCATTGAGACCTCTCTCTCCCCACAGCAGGTCCTGCTAGGAGCTTAACAGTGAGGAAGTGGTATCCCTTTCCTCTTTCCTGCATTGCTGTTTCTCCCCCTCCTCCAGCTTGCTAGAAGAGCCTTCTGTCACATTTGAAGTAAATGGCCTTACAAGGAGATGGTTTAAGGAACGTATCTGTCAGTTCCCCTCCCCCACATACTCAAAGCCTCATTCTTGCTAGGCAGATGCTCTACCTCTTGAGCCACTCTGCCAGCATTTCTGCTTTGGTTGTTTTTTGTTTGTATGTGCCAATACTAGAAGTTAAACTCAAGGCCTGGGTTTTGTCTGTTACGTGTATGTGTGTGTGTACGTGCACACGCCACGTGTGTCAATCCTGAGGTTTGAACTCAGGGCCTGTCCCTGAGCTCTTTTGTTCTCAGCAAGTGGCACTCTACTGCTTGAACCAAGCTCCATCTCTAGCTTGTTTTGAAAAAAATAATATTTGAGGCCAGGCACTGATGGCTCATGCCTGTCATCCTAGCTACTCAGGAGGCTGAGATCTGAGGATCACGGTTCAAAGCCAGCCTGGGCAGGAAAGTCCGTGAGACTCCTATCTCCAATAAACCACTAGAAAACCGGAAGTGGCGCTGTGGCTTAAGCCGTAGTGTGCTCACCTTGAGCTGAAGAGCTGAGGGATAGCGCCCAAGCCCAGAGTTCAAGCCCATACCGACAAAAAAAAAAGAAAAAGAAAGAAAGAAAATAATATTTGATTTTTTTTGGTGATTAGTTGGAGATAAGAGTCTCATAGACTTTTCTGTCCCAGGTGGCTTCAGCCTCAATCCTCAGATCTCAAATTTCAGACTCCTGAGGAGTTAGGATTACAGGTACAAGCCATCAGTGCCCAGTTGTCCCGTAGCTTTTTTACTAAAGGTTTGTGCTCTACCATTTGGGCCACAGCTCCACTCCCAGCTTTTTACTGGTTAATTGGAGATAAAAGTCTCAGAGTTTCCTGCCCGGACCTGCTTTCAAATTGCAGTGCTCGGATCTCAGCCTCTTAAGTAGCTAAGATTACAGTGTGTGCTACCGGTGTCTGGCTTGCTTTGATTTTTAAGATAAGGTCTCACTTTCTACCTGGGTTGGCCTGGTTGTGATCTGCCTGTTTTTGCTTCCCCACATTGCTGATTGATTTAATATTTCCCGGGTAAGTTCTGCAGGTGAATCTGATCCCCTCCTTTTGGAGTTTCATACCTACTGTATCTGCTGCCTCAGTGGGAACATCTAGTTTAACATCTGTTGTGCTGAGATCATGTCCCTAATCCTTATAGTAGGCACCCCTGTGAAGTGGGCACGATTGTCCTTGATTTAGAGGTAAGGAAACAGAGAAAGGGGGGGAGCAATGGCTTGCTGACATGCTGGCTATAAGACTAGGATTTGAGCCATATCAGACATACAGAAGCAGTATCAGGGCTGTGTTCAGCCAGATGTGAAATGGTGCTCCCATGGCCTTGTGCCCATCTTTGACCCGACCCCAACCAAGTCTCTATCCTGTGAGTCATGCTCAATGACCTCGCTTCCTCAAAGTTCTCAGAGACCAGGCCTCATGATCACCCTTGAAAAGTCACATTCAACAAAGCAAGAGTATGTCCCATCCTCTGTCAATGAGCAGACAGAAATTGCTGCCTCTCTGGCTGGGCCTGAACCTGAACCTGGAGGTTTTCAGTGAATCAGATGTATCCAAGCAGACACAAAGCAGCCTAGAGCAGCGATGTATGTTGAAGGAACTGGAGGCCCAGGGCTGGGCTCTGAGGGAGGCAGGAAAGGCTAAAGTGCAACAAATGGTTAACACTTCAGCCTTTAAGACAATCCGCCTGTTTAGCCACCTGCCTTCTGGTCCCAAGCTGCCAAGAGCCTCCTGGTGGTCTTAAAGGGTCTATCAAGTGGAGGTTCCTAGATGTAGCATTCATCTTCTTGGATCTCCAGGGTAACTGAGGCCAGGTACCAGAGACTTGGAGGCCAGCCTGGTGTCTGGCACTGCTGGCCTCTGGCACAATTCTCAGGGAGTGGCCTTTTACCTCCCAACTAATGTCCCTTCTTTCCATCTGTTTTCAGGGAACCCCAAAGGTGTGATGCTTACCCATGGGAACGTGGTTGCTGATTTCTCCGGCTTTCTGAAAGTGACAGAGGTGAATAAAGTAAACTTACTACATGCAGGTGTCTCTCTGAGGACAACCTCAAGTCTTAGAGGGGTTTTAAATGCTGTTTCTTCTTTTCTTTTCTTTTCTTTTTTTTTTTTCCTCCCCTGATCAAATCTGGGCTGCCAATAAGAGGCAGGAGTTTCTGTACTCAATAGAGCAATTGCATTTGACAGCCACTTCTAACCTCAGACACTGGTTGAGTTTTCTGCTTGTCTGATTTTCAGTTGACGCACATCTCATAATGTCACCAAGGTTGGCTTTGAACTCATGATTCTCCTGCCTCAGCCTCCCAAGTGCTGTGACTAAGTCATGCACCACCATGCATGGCTTTTAACCCCAAACAGTGAAATGACCAATACTCAACAAACATTCAGTTGATTTAGAGTGCTGAGATCGCAGAAAAGCATGTGAACCTGATTTCCTTTTTTTTAACTTCAAAAATTGAGATCCCTTTGCTTTTGCATGGGTCCCTCTAATTAAAACAAGTAATCCTTGTTAACTTGTTCTTTAAGGAGGCCAGGGTTTAATTCAGTCATTTTGTGTTTAAGGACTACTAGAGTCTGAGAAACAGTGGCAGCTGCTGATTTATAAGGCTATACTTACAAGTAAATATAAAGTCAAAAAAGCCATATATCTTGGCCTGACAAAAGTACGTTAGTGTTTATAACAGGCTAAGAAAGAAGGATCTCCCCGGGACTGGTAAGTAGATTCTGAAGTTGCCTTTAGGAGAAAACAAATTATCTTTCCATTGAAACCAGGCCTTTTCTCCCTAGTAGAGACTCCCTCTTGCATGCTACATGGCATTATAAAAGATACACCCTCAGATGCTTAGATTCATTGCTGGAAAACTGGTGGTTGAGTTCAGATTAGGAACCATGAGCCATGTTTCCAGGCTTTGTCCAAACAGGACCAAAACAGGACAGACCAAGAGAGCATACTTCTGTGACAAAGTAAAAAAGCAGGCAGGCTTACAAAAGCTGAGCCTCCTTGTGAAGGCCTCTGCCTGGTCAGAGCATCCCGTTTCTAGGGTCAGACCCAATTGTAAGCCTGATTGGGCTGGCATTCTGCCCAGGCTGGTGGGTATAGCTGGTCTTGTTTTTGTGTTCTTTTTTTTCTTTTTTTTTTCTTTTTTTTTTTTTGTCAGTCGTGGGACTTGCACTCAGGGCCTGGGCACTGTCCTTGAACTCTTTTGTTCAAGGCTAGTGCTCTACTATTTTGAGCCAAAGTGCTACTTCCCGTTTTTGAGTGGTTAATTGGAGATAAAGAGTCTCTTGAGAACTTTGCTGCCCAGGCTGGCTTCGAACCATGATCCTCAGATCTGAGCCTCCTGAGTAGCTAGGATTACAGGTTTGAGTCACCAGCACCTGTCTGGCATTCTCCTTTAAAAGCCCTGATTCCCAGCTGTGGCTTGTGAGGCCGGGTTCAGCTACTTTTGTTTGGGGCTTGGGTCTCCCTGTCTCACGACCACCCACAGTTGACATAGGTGTAGGGATCTATGGGCCTCCTTCTCCGGAAGCACTAGAAAGTGCTGACAGTCTAGGACCCTCTCACTTTTCTGCTCAAGTGGCCCCAAGAGACTGGGGTTAGGTTCTACCATTGTGGGGAGGCAGGGAGGGGAGCCAGGCTGGCGCCGACTGACTGCAAGTGAGGTGCAGGCCCCTCCTGAAAGGAGACTTCCCTGCGGAGCTCGGCTCTGCTGGTTTATATGTGCTTCATGTGGCTCTTTGCTTCTGCAGATAACTCAGACCCACTGGCGCTGCGACCTAACACTCCGCTTCCTATGCTGCCCTCCCTTTCTCTCTGCACCATCCTCTCCCTCTCCCCATCCCTCTCTGGCTCTCATTTTATTTTTTCCCCTCTCATCTCACCTTTCTGTCCCACCCTCCCTCCCACTCCCCATCCCCCCTCTTCCTGTTCGCCCATCCAGGATCATTTTTCTCTTTATTGTTTTATGACTCTCTTGTTGTCTTCCTGTCAGTGTTTCTTTCCTTTCTGTCTCCCATGCCCATCACCTGCAGAAAGTGATCTTTCCGAGACAGGACGATGTGCTCATCTCCTTCCTGCCTCTGGCTCACATGTTTGAGAGAGTGATTCAGGTAAGACGCCCACCTGACTGATTGGGACTTGCCTGGGCTCCTTCTGTTTTCTTGCAGAGTCAGTGGGCTCCCACTTGTGCGGATGTGCACTTTTCCTATTTGCCTTTAGCACACATGTTTGAGCGAATGGTGCAGGTAAGGCCCTGGCATCCAGGAGGCACAAGCCATGCCTAGAACCCATAATCCTGTTAGGGTGTCACTTACCACTAGTAGCGTGAAGACTAAAATACCCTATCTTCAGAAAGTACCACAGAAGCCAGGGGGAGTCCAAAGACCTTGGCACTTGTCCCTCCTGGCGGCATTGTTCAGGGAAGACCCCACAGGCCTGCTGTGTCTTGCTGAAGGACACACTCAGCTGGTAGTGGCAACTGCTCTAAGAGCATTGCAGCTTTGCACAAGTGCTTTGCCATCCAAGCTCTGTGCAGTAAGTACTTCTCTATGTACAGCCAATAGGCTTCTGTTTTGTAACTCTCATAAGAGAGCAGTAAAGTCAGGCCATCAGATTGTCATGGCTCCTCAGGCTGCAGATGGGGGCTGATGGTATGTTGACTCAGGGACAGGCCTTGTGGTAGTTCAGAGTGAGTGAAGGGTGGAATCCATATCTGATTATTGGAACAAAGGATTCGCTGTTCCTGTGTCACACAAAGAACCATTTTGAATAAGCAGCATTTTGTTGTTGTTGTTACATGTTTGTGTCAACAATAGGGTTTGAACTCAGGGCCTAGGCACTTGTCCCTTTTTTTTTTTTTTTTTTTACTCACGGTTGGTATTCTAACACTTGAGCCACTGTTCCTCTTCCATCTTTTTTGGTTAATTGGAAATCAGAGTCTCGGATATTTTCCCTGGCTGAGCTGAATTTGAATCACGATCTTCAGCCTCCTGAGTAGCTAGGATTATAGCCTGAGCCAATGGTGGCTTATAAATTTCACCTTTTAAATTTTACCTATTTTGCCTCAGGGCATGCTTTTCAAGCTTGGCTTTGAATGCCAGCAATTACTGCCAATTGTTTTGTGGCACTAGGCAAGTTGCTTTACCTCTCTGATTTTTAAATTTTTCATTAAGGAAAGGGTTGTTAGGAATACTGCCTTCCTTATAGGGTTCTATGAGCATTAAAGGATTAGATCTAAGGCTCCCAGTGAACTCCTAGTCCTGAAAGGCTTTATGGCCTCTCACCAACCACGACCCACAGCCAAATTTAGTAACAGCTCCAGTACCCATGGGGATGGGGGTTTCCTTTCATAGTTGTCCAGATGTTCCTGGGGAAACTGATAAGACTATCTAGACTTGAAGCAGACCCATTCAAGGATGCAGTGCATTTCAGAGAGCTGAGCTCCCAGGTAGGCTCATGTCCAGGGTTTTAGAGTGGGTGTGAGGGACAGGCATGGATGAGAATGCCTATCTTAGTCTCTTCTAAGAGCTCAGAACTCTGTCCCCATTTCTTCTCCCTGTGATGGAGTGAAACTTAGTGCAATCATTCGTGGGGGAGTCAGGGGTGAGAGATAGCTCACATAGCATTCTTCAGTGTCTCCCAACAGCAGCTATAACTGGGCTCGGGTAGGGGTGGGGTCACTGAGGGTAGAACTTTGGATAGCTCTCACCTGAAGCCCAGGGCTGACTAGACTAAAGGACCTTCTTATCCTCTCTCTCCAGTCTGTTGTCTACTGCCACGGGGGACGTGTTGGCTTCTTCCAGGGGGACATCCGCCTCCTCTCGGATGACATGAAGGCTCTGCAACCCACCATTTTCCCTGTGGTCCCGCGACTGCTGAACCGAATGTATGACAAGGTGAGGTCCACAGGGGGTCTCTGGCCGGAGTGAGGGGCTGTGTATCAGCTTATTTGGACAGAATCCGTTTATTAGGCAGAAACCTCATATAGGTTTTCCACACTTTCACACCATGACCAGAAAGTTGCCTCCTTTCTTGTATCCTCTGATTCTTTCTCAGTTTTCTCCCTAGTTTCCAAAAGCCTGGTTGAGAAGGCTTTAAAAAAAAGAAAGAAACCTACATCTATACAGTGTCCCTGGACCCTGGCAGTGTTAGAGCTTTTTTGTTTCCCATGCTGGTACTGGGGCTTGAACTCTGGGCTTGGGTGCTGTCCCTGAGCAGATTTTTGTTGTTGTTGTTCAGGGCTAGTGTTCTACCATTTGAACCACATCCCCACTTTCAGCTTTTTGGTGGTTAATTGGAGTTAAGAGTCTCACGGACTTTTCTGCCCGGGGTTGGCTTCAAACTGTGATTCTTAGATCTCAGTCCTGAGTAGCTGGGATTACAGGCATGAACCACTGGCTCCTGACCATAGCCCTCATTTGAATGTCACATAATCCATGACAAGGTACAATGGCTTCTCTGCTGGCTGTCTTCCTGTAGGACACATGTTTAGAAGTGATACATTCAGATCCTGACCGCTATTTCCAACTTGTGTTCCTCAGATCTTCTCTCAGGCGGACACTCCATTAAAACGTTGGCTCCTGGAGTTTGCAGCCAAGCGCAAGCAGGCTGAGGTCCGGAGTGGAATCATCAGGAATAATAGTATCTGGGATGAACTCTTCTTTAATAAGATTCAGGTGAGAACATGGACAACAGGTGATTGTAGATTGTATCTAGTGGCCTGCGATCTCGTGAAATAGTAACATTTGCTCATCAGATCAAAGTGTAAGTTGAAAATGGTCTTTAAAAGAAATGGGAAATGTATAATTGCCAAAGGGCAACCAGCAAGAAAATAGGTTCCTTGACCATCAGAGTAGCTTTGCCCTTGAGTGGATGGATTAGTGCTTCACAAGATGTTCCTGTGGCTCCCAGGGCCTGGACACAGTGGCTTTCCAGTAGTATCAAGTTCTATCCAGATGACTAGCAATCTTTTCCTCTTTTCTTCTGTCTTTGCAGCCTCTTCTAAAGCAGGCCAGCCCAGAATTCCATATTTCTGAATCTCCACTGAAATCTTCAGACCCTGCATTGCCCAAGAAATATGTAGTTGATTAGTGGCATTACTAATTTTCTTGCTATTCTATTTTTAGCTGTGAAAAATTAATATTTAAACTCTCTTGGCTCAACTTACAGAAACAAAATGTTTCAAGTATCTTTTATCCTCTGCAATGCATAGTAAATAAAGCAAAGTATTGATTTGTACATGAAAAAAAGGCAATGCCATTAAAATGGGAGCTGGAAGAAATTGTCCTAAGTAATTGTTTTGGATGCTTATGAATGATGGAAGAGTGAGGGAACCGCTTTATAATTTATGGAAGGAGAGGAATCATAATCATAGCATTCTGTACAAACTAATGACACTTTAAAAAGACATAAAAGAGTTGGTCATTGTGTGGCTTGAGTTGCAGACTGATAGGGCTCTTCATTTATAGGAGGAAGGGACTTTCTCAGCTCAGGGCCTGTTTCTTAACCTGCGCCCTAGCATTGGTGAATGCTGCCCTTGAATGAAGACCATCACAAACGTTGGCAGGTTCTTGTCTCTTCCCACAGGCCAGTCTTGGTGGCCGGGTGCGGATGATTGTTACTGGAGCAGCCCCCGCATCACCAACAGTTCTAGGATTCCTCCGGGCAGCTCTGGGATGCCAGGTATTACTGCACATGGCCTTCCATGGGGGTGGACAACAGGGATGCATTAGGCAGGTAAGCGATTATATTCTTGACTGTATTGGAAAGGATTCTAGAGCCAAGACTTCTTTGGCATAAAAGCCTCCACATCTGAGGATCGAAAAAAAAAATCCAGAGCCATTGAAAGCTAGGATGGCTTTGCCTCCCACATTCTGGGAAGCCCAGGTGTATCCGCTCTGAGCGATTCCTTTACCTGGGCCCATGGAAGTTTTTAGCAAAAGGCAAACAGACCCGATATACTCACTATATTCACATCCTCAGTATGCTGGAGAACCTGTATATAATGTCTCACAGCTAAACCTTCTGCAGCCTGCAAAGTACCTCCTGATGTGGAAATGGAGTGCTGAGAGAGGACTAAAACCCATTTGTGTGTTATTTAATTCAACAGATTTTACTATCATTTAAAAAAAATTCTGGCCGGGCAACGGTGGCTCAGGCCTGTAATCCTAGCTGCTCAGGAGGCTGAGCTCGGAGGATCACCACTCAAAGACAGCCCAGGCAGGAAAGTCCAGGAGACTCTTATCTAATAAACCACCAGAAAACCAGAAGTGGTGCTGTGGCTCAAGTGGTAGAGTGCTCTCTTTGAGCTGAAGAGCTGAGGGATAGCACCCAGGCCCAGAGTTCAAGCCCCACAACCAAAAAAAAAAAAATCATTCTTCCATTTATCCAGTCCATGAAAATATAGTCAGTTCCTTCATAGGCAGGGTATTGTGACGTGGTTATGGGCATTAAATAAATACGTCAGTTTCATAATTGTGCATGCTTAAATTTTTATCCTATAGAACCCATAGCTTCTCACACTATTCTGCTATTAGAAACTGACATGGCTTGTCCAGTTTTTTGTTTATCTGTTTTGCCAGTCCTGGGGCTTGAACTCAGGACCTGGGCATGTCCCTGAGCTTCTTTTGCTCAAGGCTAGTACTCTGCCACTAGAGCCACAGTACCACTTTTGACTTTTTCTGTTTATGTGGTACTGAGGAATGGAACCCAGGGCTTCATGCATACTGGAGAAGCACTTTACCACTAAGCCTCATTCCCAACCTTTGACTAGTTTTCAAGGCAGATTCTCCCACATTTGCAGTGAGGTAGGCAAGAGGGACTCTGGAGAGGAAATCTTTTAGCAGATTTGAAAATGCTTATCTTTAATCCATATTATTCCAATGGAAAAATTGAGCCAGGGGCTGGGAAGGTGGCTCAGTGGTAGAGCGCTTGCCTTGCATGCCTGAGGCCCTGGGTTCGATTCCTCAGCACCACATAAGCAGAAAAAAAAAGCCAGAAGTGGTGCTGTGGCTCAAGTAGTAGAGCGCTAGCCTTGAGCTGAAGAGCTGAGGGACAGCGCTCAGGCCCAGAGTTCAGGCCCCACGACAGGACCCCCCCAAAAAAAAAAAGAAAGAAAGAAAATTGAGCCAGTGGTTGAGAATAGGCCCGAACTCTTACTACATAATCTTATCTGCCAATTGTCTGTGATAAAACAAAAAGAAAACAGCCCATTTTTCCAAGCACATATGGCTACACAATGTTCAGCTTCACCTGGAATTAGCTACCCTCAGAGCACTACCCCACCCATCCTCCCTGGGGAATAGCCAGATGTCCAGTGGGAAGTTAGGTAACTGAAAATGACAATCAGTCAGCTCTTGGAAGTTGTGGGTGCCAGTGTGATTTCTGTGTTCTGCTTGAAGGTTTATGAAGGTTATGGCCAAACTGAGTGCACAGCTGGATGCACCTTCACCACACCCGGGGACTGGACCTCAGGTAAGATGGGCTGCAGATACAGAAACAGCTCCCCAGCCACACCAAGTTAAAACAGCTGGCTGTGCAGCTCCATCCTGGGAGTGAATTTGCATTGACACTTAGAGGAAAAAAAGTCAAAATAATGAAAAAAGATGCCCAACGCTGGTGAGTCACACCTGTAATCCTAGCTACTCAAGAGGCTGAGATCTGAGATCTCTGTTCAAAGCCAGCCTGAGCAGGAAAGTCTTTGAGACTCTCATCGCCAGTTAACCATCAGAAAACCAGAAATGGCACTGTAGCTCAAGTGGTAGAGTACTTGACTTGAACTGAAGAGCTAAGGAGGACAGTGTCCAAGTCCAGAGTTCAAGCCTCACAACTAGAAAAAAAAGTGAGAGAGAGAAAAATGAAAAAATTAATGGTGGTTATGTCTGAATTGTGTTATTTTTGGATCTGATGTTTGTTAGAAATGTTTGTGGGGTTTTTCCTGTTTTCCTATTTCTTTTATAGATAGATGATATACAAAATCTAGATCACAACGTAGAACTTCAGGTGGTAAAATCCTTAAAATACCAGTGTGTGATGAGTTTTATAGATTGTAGATATTGAACAGCCTTGCCTATAGTTTTTTTTTTACCCAAAATTTTGGATTAAAAAAAAGCAAGTTGTGAGTTGGATATGACATGTAAAGGAGAGGAAAGTTTACATGGATTATAGGTACTGAGGACTGAACCCAGGACCTCATGCATGCCAGCTTACCCCTTTGAGCCACATTCTCCAACTCTTTTAGTTTTGTATTTTGTCCCTTTGAGCCACATTCTCTAACCCTTTTAGTTTTGTATTTTGTTTTTGAAGTCTCCTTAACTTTGCCTAAACTGTCTTGGAACTCTTGATTCTGTTGCCTCCAGTTTCTGAGTAGCTGGAATGACAACGTTGTACTACCACACCTGGCCAATATATTGTTTCATACAGGGCCGTTTTAGATGCCTTTTGGAAGCAGTGGTCTTCTGTGTCTAGTGACAACCTCAGAACAACGCAGTTCCCAATCACACTTTCATTCTGAGAAAACGCATCCTTGAGGGTGGGGGGAACAGGCCTGGGGTGGGGAGCCCATGGCTTATCCTTCATGAGACTCAGAACAGAGATTGCAAAGAGTCTGAAACACACTCAGCAGAAGAAGCCTTTTGCTGAGTAAATAGTTCCAGTTGCGAGCCAACTTCCTCTTGGGCCACTCTTTGGGTTTAAGTTTGTGCAATACTAAATGGAAATTTTGGGATGATGTGCATGCAAAAAAATTACATACTCCTTAACGCAGTACTATTTTCAGAGCACCTTGAGGTAGTCAGTATAATCAGGAGAAATATGATAGGTAGATTCTAAGTTGGAATTGCATTTGGCCAAGGATAGACCTTTTTTGATGTGTAGTGTGATTCCTATCTCCTTAAACTTTAGCTGAATAAAGTCTGTTCTGTATATAAACTCTTGAGTCACTCTGCCACTGCTGACTGTCCTTTAGTAACCATTTTTGAGGTCCTTCCACACTACTTTTCTCTTTATTGCAGCCATCATATTGGCCTCCATTCTCAGGTTCCTTCTGGACACTCCCCTTTCTCCCTCTTAGGTCATCTCCTGCATTTTCCTATAGAAAACTGTTGAGTGTTTATTCATCTTTACTATAAAAAAAAATTGGGCTGGGAAGGTGGCTCAGTGGTAGAGTGCTTGTCTCTCATGCATGAGGCCCTGGGTTCAATTCCTCAGCAGAAGACCTGAGGGACAGCACCAGGCCCAGAGTTCAGGCCCCACCACTGACAAACAAAAACCCAAAGCATTTAAGGTTATTGGATATGAGAGGATTGGTATCTCTGTACAGTATTGTAAAAGAGTTGGCAACATGTCTTAAACCAAAATGTCATAGCTTTAGTTTTTGTTATTATTTCAGGACTTTGGCCAGCTCCTGTTTAAAAAGCCCTTCTACTTGCCAATGAATTGGATTAATAACCACAAACAATGACTGGAAAATTACTTAGATATAATTTAGTGTTTAAAGTACATAAAGGCAGGTGCTGATGGCTCATTCCTGTAACAACTCTAGCTACTCAGGAGACTGAGATCTGAGGATCACTGTAGCCTGGGCATATCCATGAGCCCCTTCATCTCCAATTAAGCACCAAAAAATGCTGAAAGTGAAACTGTAGCTCAATTGGTAGAGCACTAGCCTTGAGCAAAATGACTGAAGGACAGTGCTCAGGCCCTGAGTTCAAGCCCCAGAACAGCATGTACACACATACACACACACACACACACTCACACTCACACACACAAGTATATAAGACCAAGAACATATAAACTCTTATGGGAAAGGGAGAATCAAGTTACCTTATCCCAGTTTTTTGTTCCTTTGTTACTCTTAAGTTTAATGTGTAGATCAGTATCATCCAGGTACCTATAAGAAAAATAGAATCGTGTGCCTTCTTCTAGACCCACTACAGCAGAGTCTACAATTTAACAAGATTTCTAGGTCAGTTCTATACTCATTAATCCACAGTCTGGTGACTAAAGGAAAATGATGTTTTTATTTTATGATCCCAAGGCAAGACATGTGATCTGATCTGACTATAGTAGAAAAATGTTTTAATGTGGGTACCATTGTAAAAAGTAATCCTGACTGGTGCTGGTGGCTAATGCCTATAATCCTAGTTACTCAGGAGGCTGAGATCTGAGGATTGCAGTTCAAAGCCAGCCCGGGCATGAAAGTCCAGGAGACTCTTATCTCCATTAAACCACTAGAAAACTGAAAGTGGCATTGTGGTTCAACTGGTAGAGCGCTCGCCTTGAACTGAAGCGCTGAGGGACAGCGCCCAGGCCCAGAGTTCAAGTCCCACAACTGACCAAAAAAAAAAAAAAAGTAATCCTGACCAGGTGGTTAATCTGCTCCCATATTGCCCAGGGCTCCTGTGCAGATCAGTACTGGGCTGTGTATGTGCCAGTATTACTCTTTAGGAATCAAATGTAGCCAGGTGCTGGTGGCTTGTGCCTGTAATCCTAGCTACTCAGGAGACTGAGACTGAGGATCACCATTCGAAGCCAGCCAGGGCAGGAAAGTCCATGAGACTCTCATTCCAATAAACTACTCAGAAAAACCTGAAAGTGGAGCTGTGGTTCAAGTTGTAGAGCACTAGCCTTGAAAAGAAGAAGCTTAGGGACAGTGCCTAGGCCCTGAGTTCAAGCCCTGGGACCAACCAAAAAACAAAAAAAAAAGATCAAATGTAAAACAAAGGCCTAGCAGAAGTTGGCCTGACTTATGTTTTGTTATTAGTGCCTATTCATGATAAAGGTGTGTCAGAAACCAAGTGCCATCTTGCTGTGTGTTCTAGGACATGTAGGGGCACCTCTGCCCTGCAATCTTATCAAGCTTGTGGATGTGGAAGAACTGAACTATTGGACCCACAAAGGAGAGGGAGAGGTAAACTTAAGGATGTGGCCATTCATGTCTGGATCCTCGGTGTAGTAAGTGAAAATGAATGAACAAAGACAGAGTGGAATTACTTTCCTTTCACCTGTGTGTAAAGTAATTCTAAGTAACTGATTCATTTGATTCAACCAACCCTTTATTCTGAAACTCACTGGATCTAAGTAAAGATTTTGAATTCCCTAACTGAAAACAAATAAAAATCTATAGAGGGTTTTTTTTTTTTTCCTAATCATGATGTGTCCTACTTATGTATAATTGGCTCCAGCAAGAAAACAGCCATGTACAAATAGACCTGATGAGGTGAGGAAGCCAGGTCATCCCTTGATAGTAGATGGGAAACTGACCTCCTGGTGTTAGAAGCAAGAGACGTGAGCAGCACCAATGATGAAAGCTGGGAACCAGTAGCTCACACCTATAATCCTAGCTACTTAGGAGGCTGAGATCTAGGATCATAGTTGGAAGCCAGACTGGGCAGGAAAGTCCAAGAGACTCTTTTCCAATGAATCACAGAAAAAGCCAGAAGTGGACCTGTGGCTGAAGTGGTAGAGAGTTCTAGCCTTGAGCAAAAGAAGCTCAAGGACAGTGCCCATGCTCTGAGTTCAAGCCCCAGGACTGGCAAAAGAAAAACAATTCTGTGCTGAGACCTATGCGTATCAAAAAATAGTGTGTGGCCAAGACTGAGGGGCAAAGAAGAAGGGCAGGGAGAAAAGGCAGATAGGGAAGATACTGCTTCAGAAAAAACAGGAACCATTCCTTGTCCTCGGGATCCAGCCCCACAGTGTCCCCAGTGGCTTTCATGAGAGGTAGTGTACTCAATTCTTTAGTCTCCCCCAGCTGTCTCCTTTAGGCTGTGACTGAGAGAAAATGTGGTGTTCATTCCCACAGATATGCGTGAGAGGACCAAACGTGTTCAAAGGCTACTTGAAAGATGAAGACAGGACAAAGGAGGCTCTGGACAGCGACGGCTGGCTTCATACTGGAGATATTGGGAAATGGTTGCCGGTATGTGTGTTGGGAACCTTGATGTGTCCCAGATGTTCTGGCAGTGGGAAGGGATGTGATCCAGTTAAGTAAGATGGGAATCCCCAGCTTCCTCCTCCTTCCCTCCTAGTGAAGACCATAAGCCTATTGGAGGGGAGAGCTGGAGACCAACTCCCCATTCTTCACAGTCTGCCAGAAACAGATCTGCTAGTGTTTAGAGTCTGATGGAGTAGAAGGAGGTGCATACCTCTGGGAGACCCGAGGAGGGCATAGATACAGGCTCTCAGCTGAGAGGAGGGAAAAATCTCAGAGCTAGGAGGATACCTCAGTCCTTTTGGCTCTGCCAATAGTTGCTCTCATTACCTTGAGCGAAGCCTGGCCCTTCTCTTGGTTTCCACATTGATGCACTTGTAAAATAACAGAGCAAGCCCTCAGAGTGTATTTTGGACTATAGCCCTCAGCTTTTAGCTCCCAACTAATTTGCCTTATTCTCTTATTTTTATTTTTTATTTTTTGCCACTCCTGGGGCTTGAACACAGGGCCTAGACACTGTCCCTGAGCTTTCTTTTGCTCCAAGGCTAGCACTCTACCACTTGAGCCACAGCGCCATTTCTGGCTTTTTCTGTGTATGTGGTACTGAGGAATTGAACCTGGGGCTTTATGCATGCTAGGCAAGCACTCTACCACTAAGCCACATTACTCACCCAAGGACATAGAATTTCTGTATACAAACTGTGTAAGAATTTCAACAAAGCTGGATGTCAGTGCTCATGCCTATAATCCTAGCTACTCGGAAGGCTGAAATTTAAGGATGGCCGTTCAAAGCCAGCCCAGGCAGGAAAGGCCATGAGACTCTCATCTCCAATAAACCACTCAGAAAACCTGAAGTGGTGCTATAGGTCAAGTAGTAGAGCACTCGCCTTGAGCTGAAGAGCTGAAAGATAGCGCCCAGGCCCAGAGTTCAAGCCCCGCGACCGACAAAAAAAAAAAAAAAAAACCTCAATCAAGACATAGAACACCTCAAAAGTTCCTTTGTATACTTTTTCCTGGTACATAGTAATTTTTTTAAACATATTATTTATAACAGTTAATCTTGTGGAATTTATTGGATTGAGAGATGCCTAGCAGATTAGCAAAAGCACATCTCTAGACGTGTCTGTCCATTCTCTTATTTTTAAACTAGGGACGATAATGTTACTTGCCTCTCTAGTTATTGTCCGGAAGAGTGAATGAGGTTATGCATGTAAAGCACTTAGCACGGCACCTGGTCTGTAAGAGATACTTAGGTGAATGCTGTGACCAGAAAAAGCCTCTGTCACAGACACAGAAAGTCCCTGCCTTCAGGGAACTTCTACATTTCTGTAAAGTTTCTACAGTTTGCATGGAATTTGAAGCATTAAGTTACCAGGCATATGAATGATGCTGAGCTCTCCCAGACACTCTGTGGACTATAATTCGCCTCCACTTACATCTGTGTGTTTCCTTTTGAGAAACCCTCAGGCCTGTGGCACATAAGGATATCCTGTGTCCCCAGTGTTACCCTGGGCCAAGAACTCTGGTCAGGGAAGACATACATCTTTTGGCAGTTCCCTACCCAATGTGATGGGCATGCGCTGGGGCATGCCTACCTGGGGAAAAATAGGGTGAGCCTATGTGCCTTGGCTCATCCTGGACCTGAATCTCAGGATGAATCCCATTCCTGTGAACACACAGAAGACTAGGAAAGGCATTCAGGCCAGGGTAACAGCACAAGCGGAGTACAGATGCTAGGGGTTTAAGGCAACGGCTTCCAGTGACAGGCCCATTGTATAGGGAAAAAAGCCAGAAAAGCAGCAGTCCCTGGACACTTCACGGGGAGAATTCAGGGCCTCTTCTTTGCCTGCGCTCCTTCCAAGACCCTACACTTCATTTTGTACTCTTTTTCTTTTCTTTTCTTTTCTTTTTTGGGAGGGTCTGGTCGTGGGGCCTGAACTCCGGACCTGGGCGCTGTCCCTCAGCTCTTCAGCTCAAGGCTAGCGCTCTACCACTTGAGCCACAGCGCCACTTCCGGCTTTTTTTTTTTTTGCTTATGTGGTGCTGAGGAATCGAACCCAGGGCCTCAGGCATGCAAGGCAAGCGCTCTACCACTGAGCCACCTTCCCAGCCTTGTACTCTTTTTCTTAAGGCTTGAAAAAGTAGTAAAATCTTGAAGCCCATAAACCCTAGATCTGCCACTGATATACTTCAATGGAGAGCAATCCCCAAAGGCACTGTCATTTGTACACCATTGTTGGATTATAATTAGAAATACTTTACAGCTATGTTTATTTTTCCTGTTTCTCTCGTGTAAGATGAAATGGTCTATTCCTGGCACAAGCCCACCTTAACATTAATAATGGGATTAATTTTTTCATAACTGACTAAGATTGATCTATAATTTCCTTCTGGTGTTCAACTCTGTTACAGTTTTGGTGTCAGCTTATTGAATGGGTTGTGAATGATTGATTATTTTCCCTGTTCTCTGGAGGACCATGTGCAAGATTCCAATGATCTATTCCTGAAATTTAGGTAGAAGTCATCTTCGAATATATTTGCACTTTCACAAATTATTATTGTTATTTTATTCTATTATATAGACTAAGGAAAAGGCATAGTCTTGTCATTCAGAAGAACCTAGATTCAAATTCTGAGTACCTTATTTCTTATCTGGCTTTGGGAGAAAAGAGTTTACTAAATTCTCTGGTTTTATTTTCCCAATCAGTGAAATAGGGGTGACAGTACCTAATTTGGCGGGGGGATTATCATGAAGGCCTAAGGAGTAAATGTTGAAAAAATATCTAATATCCACCCTAGGTTTTGAACACAATAGGCCTGCTTATGTGTTGTTGTTGTTTTAATTCTGGAGAGATTGCTTTGGATCAGATGGATGGAGTGGGGACCAAGCTTAGGCAGAAGTCTGCGGGGGATGTAGTTGTGATGGGAGGAGGAGGAGGGTGAGAGTGAGGATGGTTGGGGGGAGGTTGACCACTCAAGACCTCAGAAGCAGTAAACAGCAAGGCCAGATGTTGGGGCTTTGGAACAGGGACAGAGAGAGGACAACTCCAAGCCTCATTCAGGGTGGGTTGCATTTTTGAGGACAAGCAACTCAGTTTTTACAGCATGCTGAGGGCTGTGAGGCCTGGGAGGTACAGTCTGGCAGATATGTTAGTGGAGCCAGGAGAGAGCATTGTTCCAAGGATGGAGCCAAAAGAGGGAGCACTCCCCCCGCCCATCCAGATAATCAGAGTCCTGAGGTCCAGGAGGTGAGTAGAGGTTCTGGAGGCCCATGGTACCAGTCCTCACTGTCCACCTCCCCCACACACACTCTGCCCTGCCTACTGTAGAGGTCCTTGGAGGGGGGTGGGCCAGGGCTCCGGGCACTGTCTGGTAGGTGGTCAGGTGGGAGTCACAAGGTGCTGTGATTAAGGGACTTCTCTGTGGGCAGGGCAAGGGGCTGAGGCTTGGAATGACATTTTCATAGGATCTCGTCTGTCTTAACTCCACAGGAAGGAACTCTTAAAATTATTGATCGGAAAAAACACATATTTAAACTTGCTCAGGGAGAATACGTGGCCCCAGAGAAGATTGAGAACATCTATATCCGAAGTGAACCTGTGGCACAAATCTATGTCCATGGGGACAGCTTAAAGGTGAGGCCCTCCATGCCCTAAACCCTCCGACATGGAACTAGCCTGCTAAAATATCCAGATTCAATATGGTTCTCCAGTCAAACACCAGGATATCTTACCCTTTAAAAAAAAAAAACTTTTTTTGAAATTTTCATTCTTATTTTTATTTTTGTTAGTCATGGGGCTTGAATGCAGGGCCTGGGCACTGTCCCTGAGCTGTTTTGCTCAAGGCTAGCACTCTACTACTGTGAGCCATAACACCAGTTCCTTCTCATCCATTTTCAAGTTATAGTTAGGTCAAACTTGTTGCTTTAAAGTAGTAGTAATAAACATTTCTGCTACTTTCAACTTATGTTCCACTCACTTCCTAGAAGAATTTTTAGAGTAAAGTGCTAAATCAAACTTTAGAATTTCTACTATTATAATATGTGTGTATATGCATATGTGTGTCTTGCTGGAGACTGAAGCCAGGGCTTTGTGTGTGCTAGGCTAGCTGTCTGCCACTGAAATACACCCACAAATATATTATTTGATTCTTATTATGCAGATGAATTTTTCAGATAAATGGGTGTAAGTATTGCAGACAATGGTACCGATTGTAATATTGCTTACGGTTATATTATTTTGAGAAGATTGGTATTTATTTTGCTGTCAACATCATTTAGATCAGAGGTCATATATATTGTGAATATATTCTATGATATCAAAAACGTTGAATCTATTCTGCTAATTATTTCATTTATATAACTGAATGTTAAATTATTTTGGAAGAAAATGCCACAAAAATTAAAAGAGTTCTTCGTGAATGAGGACTACATTGATGTAAGAATTTCAAAATGGCCTGGAAATTTTGGAAAATGTATAGTGATTTATAGAATTTGGTCATAGAGTTAATTGCACGTGCAAAAGATGTGCAGATTTAAGATGGCATGAGAATCCAAGGTCACATCTGTCTCATTTTAATGACTTGACATCAGTAAATTCCTTCCCATAGAGGTAGCAGGGATTATCAGAAAATTTACAGCCAAGAATGGGTGATCTTTTGGTGGAAAAGTTTTATAGCCTGTGAACATGTTTCATAAGCATGTATTTATTTTTAGAAAAGGGTGGAGTCTGAGACTACCAAGAGATTATTTTTAATATGGGATCATGACCAACCATTTTAAAAGCTTGACCACAATTATGTTTTCCTTTGGTGAACATTGTAGGCCTTTTTGGTGGGCATTGTAGTGCCTGACCCTGAAGTCATGCCTTCGTGGGCCCAGAAAAGAGGAATTGAAGGGGAGTATGCAGAGCTCTGCACAAGTAAGGTCAGTATCATGAGGTGTTTCCCCAGAGGAGAATGCAAAATGAGAGGCACCCAGAGGGAATGTGTAATATTACTTTGTCCATGATGAGATTCCCATACCAGAGATTTATCTTGTTATTGTTGAAAAAAATCCCTATTTCTTCTTAGCAATTTGATACACTGTTAGATTTTTTTTTTTTTAGAGCCAGCCAGGGGAGATCACAGAAAGTTTATTTTCCAGCCCTATTTTCTTGCAGTTTGGAGTAGAGCAGTCAAAGGGAGGAGGTAACTTGGCCAAGGCCATACAAGCTGATTCCCAGTAGAGTCACATATGAGCTCAGGCTTTCAGACTCCATCCCAGGCCACACACTCTTTCCAAGGGAAAGATGGATTGGCTGTACCACTGGCTTCACAAAGATGGTGATGGAACTGAGACAGTAACACCTCTTCCTATGCAGAGGGACTCATGTTCCCTGCTTTGGGAAACCTCATGTGACACATAGGAGGATTGCTATTTTCTGGCTCAGCAGCAGCCCCTGTTTCACGGTCTATTTCTCTGAGGGGCCATAGACCCCATCACTCCCACAGGGCTGTGGGCTCAGCTGGCCATGCTAGAGTCACCAGGCCAAAAAACCAAAACAGAGGGATACACCATATAAGAAAAGCACCCACAGCTGGGCATTGGTGGCTCACTCCGGTAATCCTAATTACTTAGGAGGCTAAGATCTGAGGATCATGGTTCAAAGCTAGCAGGAAAGTCCATGAGACTCTTACCTCCAGTTAACCACTAGTAAACTGGAAGTAGCGCTGTGGCTCAAGTGGTAGAGCTCTCTCATTGAGCTGAAGAGCTCAGGGACAGTACCTAGACGCAGAGTTCAAGTCCTATGACCAACAAAAAAGCAAAAAAAAAAAAAAAGCACTCATGAAGATACTGTAACTTTGACTATACAGGGAGTGTAAAAGACACATAAATGAAAATATTTTATCTTGTGATTTGAACGTTAACTTTCATTGCTGTGCAAAAACAAGAAAAACAAAACAAAACAAAACCTTGTGATTCCTTAGCCTGCTCACAATGACTCCTTTGGGCTTCTGCAGCCCTTTCTTGCCTGCTGGGAGGTGGTTATTGGTGTGTAGAAATGTCAGCCTGAGCAGGGAAGGGAACACCTATCTGCATAATCACTGCTTAACACTTTACTTGAAGCATGTTGTTTTCTTCCCTTCCCCCTCCCCCATTCTGAAACGTCTTCTTGTAATTTCACTTCTGTCGTTCCCTTCAGGAGCTGAAGAAAGCCATTTTGGACGATATGGTGAGGTTAGGAAAAGAAAGTGGACTCTATTCTTTTGAACAGGTAATTGCTATCTTCCCTATACTAGTTACAGCTCTTCGTGATGAAAATTAACTTCAACCATGGTGCCCCTGACCTAGATTCCTTCCTCTCCATGGCATAGCCAGCCAGAAGGCTGGGTGCCGACAGACCCCCCCTAAAGGCCTGTTTCAGACTGGCTTCAGCAGCCTGCCCCTGAACTAAAATAGGTCATTGGATAAGTGAGCCTGCATTCGCCGTTCTAAGAATCACAGACTTCCTTAAAGCTGAAATACTAGCCTCACAGTTACTAGTAGATCATGTGAACACTATCCATCTCCCAAGCTGCCTGCAGTGCAGCCTTACCTTATTTTTACTTTTATGAGGGACAGTTTTCTTGGCTTGTAGCAGGGAGTTTGCTTGCTAGTGAGACATGGGAAAATTCAGTTCCTCTCGGGACAGTGATCTGTCAGCCCAGCATGCTTTCTTCAACATGGAGCAAAGAAAGAGCTCACGGGGAAAGGACAGAGACCTCCAAGCCCTCTCAGACCCTGCAGAACTGGGACTCTTACTGCATAAGCACACATGGCCCCACTTTCATGTACGGTCTACACATCTTCCTTAATGAACATTGAAAGAAAAATATCAATATATTAAAATATATTTAAAATTCTGCACACAGAAAATAGCAGTATAGACTTAAATGTTTGTCTTTATTGAAAATAATTGTTTCTCATAACATTTTGTTCCCCTGAATAATAAGATGAGTAGTCAGCATAGGGAAATTTAAAATTTTTATATGCTCAAGGGCTTGAGATATATTTCAAGTGGTAGAGCAGCAAGAGGCCCTGAGTTTGAACTCCAATAGCACAAAAAAAAAATTAAAAGAAAACACTCATGAAATGTTATATGTATATTTGGTAACCTAAGAATATTTAAAATCACTTAAACACAAAATTCTTATAATATTTTAATTGGGAATTTAAAACATTTCCAGGGTGCCAGTGGCTCACGCCTGTAATCTTCCTAAAATTTTGCAACATTTAATTACCATTTCTCATCGGATGCTATTTGCTCATGCCTGTAATCCTAGCTACTCAGGAGGCTGAGGATTGTGGTTCTATGCTACCCCGGCAGGAAAGTCTGTGACATTCTTTTTTCTTACTTTTTTTTTTTGTCGGTTGTGGGGCTTGAACTCTGAGCCTGGGTGCTGTCCCTGAGCTCTTCAGCTCAAGGCAAGCACTCTACCACTTGAGCCACAGGGCCACTTCTGATTTTCTGGTGGTTAATTGGAGATAAGAGTCTCATAGACTTTCCTGCCTGGGCTGGCTTTGAACCACAATCCTCAGATCTTAGCCTCCTGAATAGCTAGGATTACAGGCATGAGCCACCTGCACCAGGCTCTTATCTTCAGTAAACTACTCAGAAAAAGCAGAAAACAGAGCTGGAGAGCAGAAGCTCAGGGACTGCAGCCAGACCCCAAGTTCAAACCCCAGTACTTACAACATATACACACATACAAAATTTTCATAAATTGATTTTTAAATTTTTAAATTTCGAACTGAGGAAAATTAAACATAGTATCAGGATCTAAGACTATCATTTTTCTTTTGAATTAGATATTTATATTAATCCAGTTTGAGAGAAATGCTGCTTTACCCTCATTTGTCAGTATATTTCACAGCAGTTAAAGCCTGGGTCTTTATTTTTTAAAACAATCAAATCTGAAACATTCAGGGGACATACATATATGTATCTGAATGCAAGGTCCTTTTTGGCACATGATTACTTAAGTCTATGCTAGAACTGATTCCATTACCCTTCCTTAATGGGGAGTTGTGTGACTAAATCCTCTGTGACCCTGTATAGTCCCCAGGCCAGGGCCAAGGGCTGGCTGTCAATAGCCTGGGAACTTGTTTATTCCTAAGGCCTGCACACCCTCTGCTGGTGCTAGCATGTATTACCAACCCCAGGAGAAGAAAAGATTGGTAACATTCAGATCCTTCTCCTTGGGATGTGCTGGGGAAAGGACCGTTTCCAGCGTTACCTGTTGTTTTCCTAATGAGAGCAGATACGGATCTGGACTTTTCCTATTCCTTACACATTGTCCACTCCAGTGAGCTTCCCTCACCATGGTAACCTCAAATACAAGGAAGCCAGGTGGTGAGCCAGGAGTCTTTAATTTTATTACTAGGATTATCACCACTTGATTTTTCTCTGTGTCTCATTCTCTTCATTTCTATGTTGCATCTGTCCCACCACAGTAATGTGTGCCCTCAGCAACCACAGGAGAGCAAACAAGCAGGGTTTGTGCCTGAGGAGGGTGTGCTCCCAGCTGTAAGCCAGAGTGTAACATACGTTTTTCCAGTTAATCAGCACTCTATTGTCAGCTTGTCCTTTCCTTCCTCAAAAATGAATTGTTTGTCAGGCGCTGGTGGCTCACATCTGTAATCCCAGCTACCCAGGAGGCTGAGATCTACAGACCTCACTTCGAAGCCAGCCTGGGCAGGAAAATCCTTGATACTCATATCTCCAGTAAACTACCAGAAAAGCCATAAGTGGTGCTGTGGCTTAAATGGTAGAATGCTTGCCTGGAGCAAAAAAAGCTCAGGGACAGTGCCCAGGCCCTGAATTCAAGCCCCAGGACCAACATATACACAAAAAGTCAATAGTAAGCTGTGTGTGTGTGTGTGTGTGTGTGTGTGTGTGTGTGTGTGTGTGTGTGTGTGTGTGTGTGTGTGTGTGTGTGTGTGTGTGTGTGTGTGTGTGTGTGTGTGTGTGTGTGTGTGTGTGTGTGTGTGTAATGGGTTTTAAATTTAGGGCCTGGGCACTGTCCCTGAGCTTCCCCAGGACCAACATATACACAAAAAGTCAATAGTAAGCAGTGTGTGTGTGTAATGGGTTTTAAATTTAGGGCCTGGGCACTTGTCCCTGAGCTTCTTTTGCTCCAGGCTAGCACTCTCCCACTTGAGCCACAGCACCACTTTGGGCTTTTTCTTATGTGGTACTTAGGAATCGAGCCCAGGGCTTCATGCATGCTAGGCAAGCACTCTACCACTAAGCCACATTCCCAGCCCCCTCATAGGCTTTTGTATAGGCTGGCTTCGAAACTCTGATCCTCAGGTCTCCTGAGTAGCTAGGATTACTGGTGTGAGCCACTGACACCTGGCAATAGGAAGCATTTTTCTATCATAATTAAAATAGGTAGGGCTGGGAAGGTGGCTCAGTGGTAGAGCGCTTGCCTTGCAAGCCTGAGGCCCTGGGTTCGATTCCTCAGCACCATATAAGCAAATAGAAAAAAGCTGGAAGTGGCGCTGTGGCTCAAGTGGTAGAGCGCTAGCCTTGAGCTGAAGAGCTGAGGGACAGTGCCCAGGCCCAGAGTTCAGGCCCCACAACTGGACCCAAAAAAAAATAAAAATAAAAATAAAATAGGTAGGTACCTTGTAAGCATTTGAGCACATTTAACTATAACATCATAATATTTTTGATAATTGCATTGCCTAATTTCATAGGCAGTGTAAAATGAACTTGGACACTTGATGTTTTCCAAATTCTGTCTAGTCAGGACTAAATGTGATAATTTCCCTAAAATGTGAGGGGTTTTTTCTGTATCTCTTCTTCCTAAATTATTCATTTGGTGGGTATTACCTACAAGCAATACTGAATTAAATATATTTCACTCAATAATACCTCCGAAAACCATAAAATATTACATAACTTCAAGTTTATGAAAAGTTCATGCTTTTATGAATTGGCATAAATGGAGACTTCTGAGGTCTTTTACTCTAATATATTTAAATACTACAGTATTTCAAAATTAAGAAAAAAGGTCTGTGCAATCTCTTCTCAGTGACAAGTGTGTGGTTTCCAGAAAGGAAGTTAAGATAAAAACATTTCCTTTCTTCTTTCTTCCACAAAAACTTATTAAAAGCTCACGCCTATAATCCTAGCTACTCAGAAGACTGAGATCTGAGGATCGTGGTTCAAAGCCAGCCCAGGCAGGAAAGTCTGTGAACAGACTCTTATTGCCAGTAAACCACTAGAAAACCAGAAGTGGCGCTATGGCTTAAGAGCCGCCCACTTTGAACTTAAGAGCTGAGGGACAGCACCCAGGCCCAGAGTTCTAGCCCCATGACTGGGGAAAAAAACAAAAACAAAACTTATTAAAGGGACTGGGAATGTGGCTTAATGGTAGAGTGCTTGCCTAGCATGCATGAAGCTCTGGGTTCAATTCCTCTGTACCACATACACAGAACAAACCAAAAGTGGCGTTGTTATTCAAGTGGTAGAGTTCTACCCTTGAGCAAAAGAAGCTCAGAGACAGTGCCTAGGCCCTGAGTTCAAGCCCCTGGTGTGGCAAAACAAAAAAAAACAAAAAAAAATTAAAAATTAGAAAGCCAGGAAGTGGCGCTATGGCTCAAGCGGTAGGGTGCTTGCCTTGAGCTGAGGAGCGCAGGGACAACGCCCAAGCCCAGAGTTCAGGCCCCATGACTGACCCCCCCAAAAAAATACTTAAAATAAATACCAAAAAAAAAAAAATTAGAAAGCCAAGCTGGGCGCTGGTGGCTCACGGCTGTAATCCTCGCTACTCAGGAGGCTGAGATTTGAGGATTGCTGTTCAAAGCCAGCCCGGGCAGGAAAGTCAATGAAACTCCTATCTCCAATAAACAACCAGAAAACTCGAAGTGGCGCTATGTAGCTCAAGTGGTAGAGCGCTAGCCTTGAGCCGAAGAGCTGAGGGGCACTCAGGACGAGTTCAAGCCCCATGAGACACACACACACACACACACACACACACACACACACACACACACACACACACACACACACACACACACACACACACACACACACACACACACACACACACACACACACACACACACACACACACACACACACACGTAGAAAGCCAGTTTCATGGTGTGAATGGAAAAAGTAGAGAATAAGGATTCCCATGCTCTTTGCTGGTTCCCATTTAGACACTGGTTGTATGAGAAAACAATTATAGATCATACAAATGCATTTTATTGTTGCTTTACTTCTAGGGGAAAAAAAAATAGAGATTTGGGGCCTGCAGTCGAAGTCAGTGTTAAGCAACACTCATTTTTTTTTTCCATTTACTGCTTCAACTTTTATTCATTCAAGTCAGCCATTCAAGATATTTTGGGGCAGAATTTAAATGGACCCAAGGCTGTAGGTCAGACTGGACTGACAGCCTAGCAGCTGTGCCACTCTGATCTTCTCACTAAAGGATTTTCATGGGAGCTATGTTCTGGCCTTCTACAAGGCTGAATTTGATGAGACAGTCTCTTCTCAGGACTGTGGGGAAAGACAGTCATGTGACCTATACATCCCCACACACACTTGAGTACTTTCAGTTTGCTGCAGGGAGCAGGTTTGACAGAAGTTCAAAATATTCGTGTTGTTTATTTCATCCCAAGATCAGGTTCTTTCAGATTTGGGACTGGACATAGAATCTTATCCCAATCACAGTGTTCTCATGCTGTTAGAAATCCAGCTGAGCTGAGACCTAAGCTGTAAGGACTGTAGAAATGGCATCCTAGCATTTGCATTACCCTTCTAAAATTGTTATTCCATATAAAAAAGGGCAGGGTAGGGCTGGGAATGTGGCTTAGTGGTAGAGCACTTGCCTAGCATGCATGAAGCCCTCAGTTCAATTCCTCAGTACCACATATGCAGAAAAAGCCAGAAGTAGCCGGGCACCAGTGGCTCAGGCCTGTAATCCTAGCTACTCAGTAGGCTGAGATCTGAGGATCACGGTTCAACGCCAGCCCAGGCAGAAGGCTCTTATCTCCAATAAGCCACTCAGAAAACCAGAAGTGGTACTGTAGATCAAAGCTATCCTCGAGCTAAAGAGCTGAGGGACAGTACACAAGCCAAGAGTTCAGGCCTCACAACCAACAACAACAACAAAAAAGAATGTAATTCCTATTCCTGACCAAGTACCTCACATTGAGTTTTCCAACAAAACATTTTTTTCATAAGAACTTAATTTTGAAATGCTTTGTCAGACTCATCTTTAGCCAAGAGCCTCGGAATTCCAGGTATTTAGATTAGGTATCCAAGTAGCAATTCTCCCAAGATGTGTGGAAACTTTGGCAGCTAGAACACTGGCTGTAGTGCTAGCACAGAATCCCACACTCCTACTTCCCTTATGATGCTATTGCTAAGGCAACAGTCAACCCTTCATTTCAACAAGTTTTGGGTTTTTTGTGGGTTTTTTGATTCAAGACTAGTACTTGAACTCGGGACCTGATGCTTTTGCTCATTGGCTAGTGATCTACCAACTGAACCATGCTTCCAACCCCCTATTTGGATAAACATGTCTTCGAATGAATATGATTTATTAAATCTGAGCTCCTTTGAAAATGTTTCCATTCTCTAATTATAAATATGGGTAAAGGTCTGGGAAGGTGGCTCAGTGGTAGAGCGCTTGCCTTGCATGCATGAGGCCCTGGGTTCGATTCCTCAGCACCACATAAGCAAAAAGAAAAATGCTGGAAGTGGCACTGTGGCTCAAGTGGTAGAGCGCTAGCCTTGAGCTGAAGAGCTGAGGGACAGCACCCAGGCCCCGAGTTCAGGCCCCACGACCGGACCCAAAATAAATAAATAAATAAAACATGAGTAAAATGCTAGAATTTATTAGACTGTTTTTCTTAGAAGCTTTTTAATTGTTGAAGTTGCAAGTATAGCTGTCTTAGGGTTCCTTATTTTATATCGAGTATTCAAAAAGAAAAATCAAGTGAATGTGATAGCTTTTCTAACAAAGAATTACTGGTCATCTTTATTCACCAGACAGGATACTAGCTTGTTAACTAACATCAGTGGTTTTGAAACAACCACTGATTGACACATTTACTTTTTTTTTTTTTGCCAGTCCTGGAGCTTGAACTCAGGGCCTGGGCACTATCCCTAAGCTTCTTTTGCTCAAGGGTAGCGCTCTACCACTTGAGCCACAACTCCACTTCTGGTTTTATTTGGTGGTTGATTGAACATAAAGAGTCTCATGGACTTTCCTGCCCAGGCTGTCTTTGAACCATGATCCTTAGATCTCAGCCACCTGAGTAGCTGCAATTTATAGATGTGAGCCACTGGCACCTCGCTGCTACTCATTTTTTGGTTTTTTGTTTGTTTGTTTTTGTTTTTTTAACACTTGCCTGGTTGGGAAAGTCTTTCCGACTGCTTCTCCCTGGGCACACAAATAGCTCCACTGATTCCCTTTGTCCTTCATACAGCTTGCTAATACTTGTCCAGTGTTTCTCTGTGCTCTTCCTGAAGGCAGGGCTATTCCTGATTCCTTTTTGTAATCTCAGTGCTTGGCACTGAGTAAATGAACAGTTTGTTTCCATTTATTGGCTTATTAAATGAATAAGTAGGAAGAGAAATACTTGGATGGCCTTGAGCATGTCAAATGGGCTAAAGTATTACTAACGTAATGTGGATTTAACATGACCTGTGTATCTGTTCCTATAGGAGTCTTTGTTCTTCTGGTGTGTTCCATTCTCTTACACAATACACATGCTCTTACCTTGTATCTATTGAATGCTGTGTTTTGTTCCTGTTAAAAGATGTTTTCTGCATTTTGGTTTTTTGTAGGTTAAAGCCATTTACATCCATTGTGAAATGTTCTCAGTTCAGAATGGCTTACTGACACCAACACTAAAGGCTAAGAGACCTGAACTGAAAGAGTACTTCAAAACACAAATAGAAGAGCTTTATTCCATCCCCATGTGAAGGTCAAGGAAAGTTCTTCTCAGTATAACGGACTGTGCAGCAATATTATAGTAATCCTTGAAAGTAATGAATCAAAATGATACAGCTGAAAATGAATAAGCACCTGATTTTTATGACTGAGCCTTTTCTGTCCCAAGAGATCTTTAACAATATTTTCTCTATCATCACTGAGTACACTTTATTTTTTATTAAAATGATATTGTAGCACGCTGCTAAAAAGGTCTCAAATGGCAATGTAAAAATCAAGAACTGTGTACCACTAAAAGTAATATATTCTCGATGTTCACAAATTCCTATTAAACATAAAGGAGAAAACCATCACTGATATATTGTACTTAATTATTTGTGGAATAATAACCAGATAGAGAAAAAATAGGCAAATTGTGGACTACCTCATTCAATAACTGATGTCAACATTACAATTAAATGAGTTAAAATGAAAACTAGGTATACAAAATCATGCTAGAACAAAACATAACTCGCTTTATACATGGCTTCATACATGGCTTCAGGTTCCTTAACTATAACAATCCTACTGATGTAGGATTTTTTTCTTCTGATTTTTTCCTTTTATTCATGGAAAATGAATTCATTAAATTCAAATATTCTTAAAAGCAAATGTTCTATTTCTATAACAACTTACAAAGATCTTTTAGTAAGTTTTCTCATTTATTATGTGCACTGAAATGTTCAAGAACTACCTATAAAAATGTAATGTAAAACTATTTAAGGATAGGATGATTATGTTCATGGATTTATTACTATAATGAATTTTAAGTGATGTCCTTGGACTGTACAGTGAATGGATCTTAGTGAAGGCCCAGAGGGAGAAACTCCGTAATTTCTCAGGGTGGTAAACAATCAACGTACCTATGTTCTTTGCCAATGTCTTTCCCTCTTCCATTTTCAATATGTCCATGCTGAACATGGAAAAAACAATATAGCTGTCATTCTGAACCATTTCACTTTCTTTCAATAAGATTATCGAGAGAGCCTGTGGGGAAGAGTAGATGTTATTTCCAAAGACATCACTTTGGAGAACTTTCTTACCATGCCCCTAGAAAACTTTACAGATCCCAGTGTATAAAAATACCTGCTAATGGCTTGATGCCATTTGTAGAATAAAAACTCATTCCTTGCACTATAGGTGCCAAGGTCACATACACCTGAGTGCCAAGAATTTGATATAACTGAAGCTCTGTTTCCATGGAGAGCAGTTCAGTTCCAAGCATCCAAAGAAGGCATGATCCATAGACTGGTGTTTGTTTGTTTGTTTGTTTTTTCCTGTAGGGATAGGAGAGAGCACATGAACAATTCATGAGTGATTCATGTGTCCATTCACATGAACACACAGTTGGGTCCAGCTGTTTCTCAATGAATTCTGTCCATAAAAATTTGCCCCATCCTTTGGGCTATTATCAGTGATTTCAGTCAGCAAAAAATGGACCACAACTTCATTTGGTGCATTTATTCTTTTTTTTTTTTTTTTTTTTAACGTATTACTTGAGCATAGCATCTGAAGACCCACTGTTGAACTTGCAGATTTGACAGTTAGTAAATGAGCTAATTCTGTGTGCATTAATTGTTTTCTGTGGTGCTGGAAGATTGAACACAGGATCTTTCCCATGTTAGGCAAATGTTCTACCCCAGAGCACACTTGGCCCTATACACATTGTTAAAGGTCTTTCTGACTTAGTGTCCAAGGCCATATCTGTATAGCTCTGGCTTTTCATTTAATATCTATATTAAAGTCATCAGCATACCTGAATGGGTCATTCATAGTACTTGAAGGGCAAGTAGCTTCACATTTCAAAAAACTAAATAAATAAAGGAAGCTCCCCCGACCTCCCCACAGTCCATCTGTGGCTGTAATTTTAGAATATGACTGGTATTTTTTTTTTAAGTCATGAGGATTAAATCCAGGGCCTTGCACATGCTAAGCAGGTATGCTGTCACTCAGCTACATCCCCAACCCTTGTTTTGAGATAGAGTCTCACTATGTGGCCAAGACTGGCCTTCAGTTCACAAACCTCCTGCCTGCCTCAGCCTCCTGAGTGTTGTGATTTCTGGTATGCACCACTGTGCCTGGTTTCCAAAAGAATGTTGAACAATATAAACAAATTATTTTAAACTTATTTGGATTCTGTTTAGATAGCACTTAGAAATGAGTAACTATGGACAACTTCAAGTTTCTTCTTTTTGTCACTCAAAAAGACTTTGTCTCACCTGGACATCCTAGCTACTTGCAGGGCAGTGGTGAGGAGAATCACATTTTGGGACCAACCTGACTGAAAACATCATGCAACCCCATGTCAAAAGAAAAGCTGCTGGCTGGGATGGTGGCTCAGTGGTAGAGTGCTTGCCTTGCATGCATGAGGCCCTGGGTTTGATTCCACAGCACTACATAAATAGAAAAATTCAGAAGTGGCGCTGTGGCTCAAGTGGTAGAGCACTGGCCTTGAGGTGAAGAGCTGAAGGACAGCACCCAGTTCCAGAGTTCAAGCCCAACGACTGACAAAAAAAAGAAAAGAAGGAAAAATCTGGGTGTAGTGGTGTACCTGTCATCCCAGCAACAGCATAAAGCATGGAATAGGAAGATCATGATCCAGACTGGCCTGGGTAAAAATAAAAAAGACTATCTCAAAGACTATCCAGAAAACAAAAAGGCTAGAGATGTAGCTGGAGCACTAGTATACCTGACTAATAAGCATAAAGCCTCGAATTTAATCTTCAGTACTGACAGAGAATTCTTTACATTTCCCCTGGACTTCCAGAATTATATGGAAAGCTTCACCTTGGAGCCAACAAATGGGCGGAGAAATTAAATGATAAGCCCTAAATGCATTGCATGTCCAATTTATTCCTCTAACTCCATATAATTTTGTAATAAAGGAAAATTTAAACAATACGTATTAGTAATGAGAAAATACTGTTGCTTCAGATTTCCTAGTCTTAGGTTCCTTTGTGCTTTTTTTTTTTTTTTTGGAGGTGGGGAGAGGGTGTCTATTCCTCTTTAACCAATATAGTGAAAGGATTTGTATGTAAGAGTCATGGTCACATTGGGAATGAAATCCTGTTTAAGTGTTGATGTATTACAAGGAATCAGTTTCTTAAGCATAAATATATTTTTTAATGTTTGGTCTTTTTTTTTTTTTTGGGTCCGGTCGTGGGGCCTGAACTCTGGGCCTGGGCGCTGTCCCTCAGCTCTTCAGCTCAAGGCTAGCGCTCTACCACTTGAGCCACAGCGCCACTTCCAGCATTTTTCTTTTTGCTTATGTGGTGCTGAGGAATCGAACCCAGGGCCTCAGGCATGCAAGGCAAGCGCTCTACCACTGAGCCACCTTCCCAGCCCCTAATGTTTGGTCTCTTAACCTGAAGGGTTATTAATTCTCATACAAAACAATCTTGTTGTGTACAGTATACAATAGGATATATACCTATATTGTTTGGGTTTTTTTTTTCCTTTTGCCATGGACAATACCTTCATATAGTACTGATATTTCCCTCTGGTTGGGAGAAATTACTCTAGCCAGGTGTATTACTTTATTTTTGTTGTTGTTGTTGGTCGTGGGGCTTGAACTCTGGGCTTGAACGCTGTCCCTCAGCTCTTCAGCTCAAGACTAGGGCTCTACCACATGAGCTACAGTGCCACTTCCAAGCCAGGTGTATTATCAGGCCTAAGCCATGTGTTAGAACTGAAACTCAGAAATTCCAGGATAAACCAAACTTTGAACCACACACACACACACACACATACAAAAATCACTTCCACTGTAAATTTAGGTAAAATTACAAGCATGAGAAGAGGGTAGAAAAAAAAAAACAGGAGTTCCAAATGGGATTTTTTTTAAATCAGGAAATGTTTTAGCAAGTTGAAATGAGCACTTGATTTGATTGTAAAAACCCATCCAAGAACCAGTGATCTTTAATTTTGATGAGGACGGGAAGAAAATGAATGGTTCTCAATGTTCCAAATGTACACAGCACAAATGTGATATAATTCCTTAAGATACAAAATACTACAAAAATGAATGTAAAGAATGAGAAAAGATGTATTTTTGCATGAAAACAGGCTACTTCACAAACTTGCTTAATATCTCAGGAAAAAATGAATAATCATGTATAAAATCTGTAAAAGTTGTTGGCTGTATTTTCTTGCCAGTTTTTATTTTAAGGAAGCATTTAAATGCAAGTACAAAGGATCCTGCTAGTCTAAATTTTTTCTTAAGTATGCTGCAATAGCCTGCCTGAATTTGCATTTAACTACAATAAGAATGGGATTCATATCCAAGAGAGGACCCTAAATGAGATACTCTTTCGTGAGAACTCTTAATGGTTATAATACAGAGGCAATAGATAAATACTTGGAATACAAGGTTTTCTTAATCTGATCCCAAACAAGAAGGGTTTACATGAAGTAACATCAGCATTTCAATATCCGCTTGATTGATTAAGTTTCCTTGTTAAATCATCACAGTGATTGATTGCATGGAGGAAAAAAAATGGCTATTTTTGAAGAATTGCTTCTACTTTCAATTTTTAAAAAATTGAGGGGATTAAAACATTACTTTTTACATATGCCTAGATGTATCTTAACTGTTAATTATATTTTCATTTGCTTTGTTATAATAGCGTGCATGTAAAATATAAAATGCATTTATGAAGACTTTTGTAAAAAATAAAGGATTTTCATTTCTCAAAGTTGCTTATAATGGCTATTTTACCTATTTATACAACATAATCCTACAACTATGTTGGATAATCATCCTTTGTGGTATGTTTAGTAGCAGAGTATTGAGCTATATCACCAGCTCAACTCTACATTGTTGTCATTCTCTGTATGTTCCCCCATAAATCCAAATTTTCTGGTGTACCCAGGAAGGCTCTCCTTTTATAGGCCTCTGCTGGAATTCTTCATCTCCAGATGTGTGCTGGATTTAGATCATTTTCATACTTTCAAAAGAACACATAACAGGGTGCTGGTGGCTCATGTCTATAATCCTAGCTTCTCAGGAGACTTGAGATCTGAGGATCACATTTAGAGCCAGTCTGAGCAAACCAATCTATGAGAGTCTCTTCTCCAATTAACCAGCAAAAAGTTGAAAGTAGAGGTATGGCTGAAATTGCAGAGCCTTAAGAGGAAAACACCAAGTAAGAGGATTAGGCCTTGATTTCAAGCCTAGTGCGCACACACACACACACACACACACACATAGACACATACACAAAGGAACAAATAACTATTCAAATATTCCGTCATGATGGCCTTTGAAAACTATTCCATGTCTTCTAATCCTATGCAAACTAAAGGGTAGACTTTCTCATAATTGCATAGTCTACTAGGTTCTAAGGTCTGTAGATTCTCCCTTTACATCCTTGCTATCATTTGCTCCTCTCCTCACAGCTATTGGAGCCACCCTCATGGAGTGTGAGGCAAAGGCAGGTGAGTACTGGGTTTGAACTAAGCCTCATGATTGCTAGGCAGGCACTCACGCTGCGAAGCCATACCTCTAGTCCTATCGTGCACTAGTTATTTTTTGAGAAAATATCTCAGTTCCTCCCCAGGCCTGTGCTTGGACTCGTATCTGTCTATTTTAGGCTTCCCGTTAGAGCTAGGATGACTAGCACACAGCAACACCTACCTTCTTGTTCCCTTGAGATGGAATCTGGAAAACTTTTCTACCCAGGCTGGCCTAGAATTTATGATTCTCCCAATCTCAGCTTCCCAGGCAGATGGGACAGGACCATGGGCACTTGGCTACCTTCATCTTGTGTCTGGAAATTACAGTGCTTTGTTAAGCTATCTTCAGGTTCTTACCTCAGTTTCCTCAAATTTCACCAGCACATTTTAGCCAAGCAAGTCATTTCCTTTTGATGACTTCCCAGTTTCCAAGATAAAGTTCAGTCTGTCCAGTTGCATACACAAGGACCAGGAGCTCTTCTGGCCCTTTCTAACCCACAATGTGTTAAGTTATGACACTGGTACTAGAGTACTGGGTCTGGGTGTGGGATTAGTCCAGTGAAGGAAGTGGAAGACATTTGATTTATCCTTCATATCTGGTGTTTTCACCACTCTAAAGTTTGGGAGATGGGCAGGAGTGACATCAACCTCATGGGACACACATTTCCTTTTTTTTTTTCTTTCCAGTCATGGGGCTTGAACTGGGCTTAGGTGCTATCCCTCAGCTCTTTAGATCAAGGCTAGTGCTCTACCACTTGAGCCACAGCACCACTTCCAGTTTTCTAGTGGTTTATTGGAAATAAGAGTCTCATGGACTTTTCTGTCTGGACTGGCTTTGAACCATGATCCTCGGATCTCAGCCTCCTGAGTAGCTAAGATTACATTCATTAGCTACCAGCACCCGGCCACATTTCCTTTTATAGACTGGCTTTAGGTGAAGTTTAAATAGATTTCCTTTTGTGACTCTAGTCCTTTCCCTTCCCCTTGCCACCAAGAACTGAAAATTACTTTTACTTTTGGAAGGTCTGGATCCCAGAGGCACTTGGCCCAGAAACGGAAGAAACATCGAAAATAAAAACAAACTGAAAGCTGACCTGCTCTTTGATCATCTTGTTCTCTAAAACTCTGCCCTACTGTACTGAATTAGATCCACTGAAGTATCATCAAGTGTAGATTTGTGGGAATGACTGCGTAAAGTTGAAACCTGGTTTGAAAACTTTGATATTTTTTCTTTAGCCATAAGGGTCCTTCAGCCAGGCACTAATAACTCATACCCTTAAGCCCAGTAGGCTGAAATCTGAGACTCTTATCTCCAAATGGCCAGCAAAAACCTCCAAGTGGAGTTGTAGCTCAGTTGTTAGATAACCAGAGCCAAGTAAGAGTGTGAAGCCTTGATTTTGTCCCAATACCAACACATATACAACACATTTAAAGAAATCCTTCAGGGCTGGGAAGGTGGCTCAGTGGTAGAGTGCTTGTCTCACATGCATGAGGCCCTGGGTTTGATTCCTCAGCACCACATAAGCAGAAAAAGGCAGAAATGGCGCTGTGGCTCAAGTGGTAGAGTGCTAGGCTTGAGCTGAAAAGCTAAGCAACAGCACCTGGGCCCAGAGTTCAAGCCCCATGACCAACTAAAAGTAAAAAATAAAAATAAATTTAAGAAAAAAAATCATTAAAGATGTTCTAGCCCCCTTGTTTTGCAGCTGAGGAAACTGCTCCATCTCTCCTAACATGGCTGGAGACACCCTGCTCTCTTATCGCCCCCTTCCATTGCCACAGCAGGTCCAATAAAGACCTCTCTCGAGTTGTCTGTCTTGCCTACTTTTGGTTCTCACCTTTAGTACTGTGGGCCAAGCTGATAACACGACAAAAAAAGGAAAGAAGCAGTGGGTGTCCAGAGGCCTTTCAGCAAGAAGAGCCCAGCTAGGCCAGGATCCTTTGTATTGCAGAAATCTCTGAGGCAGACTCTGGCCTCCTGGTGGGTGCAATTATCCTGGATTGCCCCATCAGCAGAAACTGGGTTTGCCTCCAACAAGGTAAAAAAGGAGGCTGAAGTAGTTTAGGAAATGAGTGACAACAGGGGTTAAGCAGTGGGAGAGCCACCTCCCACCATTGTCCTGACCTAGGTGATTAAGACCTTTAACACTTTTGGCTTTGGGCAGGATCCTAGCCCTGGATCCCTGGGGCTTCTGCCACAGTTGTCAAAGACCTCTCAAATGTGATGCACAAGAGCTGTGACTCTAGAGGCAGCCACCTGCTGCTGACTGGTGTCATTCACTTCAGTTGCTTGCAAACATCCACCACCAAGAACTTAAACAATTGGCTTCTTGTCTAACCAGGATTTCTAGCTAAGTAGAGAATATATATATATATATATATATATATATATATATATATATATATATATATCTCCTAACCAGCTAGATTGTGACAAAAGCACTGGCATATCTACCAGTGTAGATAGATATAGACAAAGTATCGGCAAGGAGGCCTACCCTTTTCTCCTTTACAAAGTTAGGTTTTGACGGTTGATGATATATTAAGTCTGTTGTCATGAGCTGAGTTTAAGCTTTTAAAAATTAAGTACATTTTACTATGGAAATACTGTGCATATGTAGGCGCTTATATACACATGTAATACTGGAGTCTCAGGAAAATCTTGGCAAGCTCCTGTAATTTCATCTCTAAAGACTGTCCTTTTCAATGTGTGAAATGCTAATTTTTTTTTTCTTTAGAAAAAGATGGTTACTGTTATGTGTTTAAAATGAATGTTGTACAGGAACTCAGTCTCGAGGAAACAGAGAAGCGACATTTTGAGAAGTCAAATTGGGAGTCTTTATTGGAGAGCCAGTGACTACAGGTGGACTCCTGTCTCAAAGACCTGTAGCCCCTTGAATACTCTTAACACTGTTAGAAACCTGTGCCATAAGAACAGGAAAGAAAAAGCAGAAAATACCAACAAATCAGATCACCTCCAATGGACAGCTGGCATGAGACACCATGGTGACCAGAGAAGAACCAGGAGACACAAGACATGAGGCATAGTGTCCCCATGCCTGAGCTCATCTGGGCCTTAATAAGGTCAAGGTCAGGGGGCAAGGTCACAGGAAAACTCCAGAGTCTCAGTTCAAATCACAGGACTGGCAGGTCCAGTAACCTATCAGCAAGTCCCCACCCCCTGGGCTCTGGGAATCCAGGCACACCTATCACCTTGTGGCATCTCTTGGAGCCCAGGATCTTGGAAGGCCTGGCTCCTCTCTGAAGTGCCCACCCCTCGGATTCAGAGGAAGTGGGGAGGCAGCGGGTATTAAGTTGACTTCTCAACTATATACTTGTTGCCTTAAACTGCATTCGTTCCCCTTTGGCCTTCCTGCATTGAGGTTGATCCCCAGTTTGCCTCTGTGCTCAGAGAACCTAAAACTCCATTACTAAAGCCTTCCGCAGAGGAACTGATAAGGAGAGCGATGGAGGCCCAGGAGGCCCAGGAGGCCCAGGGTGGCAGGTGTGTTGCCTATTCTAGGCCTTCCATTTCGTGGGCTTTGGGTTTCCAGCAAGCCTGGATGTGGCTGGGCCTGAGGGAAGCACGTGAGTCTCGCGAGAGCCCCCGGAGGAGGCGGGGCCATGTTCCGCTGCCTTCCCAGAAACCACTGCGCCACCCAGCTGGTATAAAAGGGCGGGAGCGGGCGGGCCTCCCCTTCGGGCCGCCCTGGGCTCTTTTGTCCCTTTGTCTCCTCAGGCTGTGGCGTAGGCCGCGCCCAGGCCTCACTGGGCAGCTCCTCAGGAAGGTGACCCGAAAGGCCCCCCCGGAGGGCCGCGAAGGGAGGAGGATGGCCCTGTGGCCACTCCGCGTCTACACACGCAAGAAGCGGGTGGGCCAGAGGCTCAACCTCACCCCGGCGCTAGACCAAGGCCTCCCCGTCAAGACCACCGAAGCCCCACCAGGCCCAAGGCGGGGCCTGCGCTGTAAGCGATGCCCGGTTGACTGAGGACTGATGCGCAGGCGCCCCGGGAGGGGCGGCATGGCCGGGTGACACGAGGGTGGGCCGGGCCTGGCCTAGGGGCAAGCCACCCCACCATTCCCTGTCATTTGCTCTGACACTGCTGCCCGTCCCCCTTCTCCCCCCCCCCCCCCCCCCCACTTCCTTGCAGGCTTGGAAGACAAAGTCAAAGAGAATGGTTTGCCAAAGATTGCCGAGAAAGAGGAACAGAGCAGGCTAGGCGGAGGTGGTGGCTCTGCGGGGCCAAGGTGCGTGCCTGGACTCCGGGCTCTGAGCTACCCGGCTTCTTAGAAAACGTCAACTCTCCTGTTCTGCTATGTGTGCACGAAGAAAATGGATTACTCTCGATTTCTCTTTTTTCCTAACCAAGATCCAGAAAACTGACTTTAGACAAATTTAGTTTTCTGTTATTTTGTGTAGGTACTGGAGCTTGAACTCGGGGCCTTGGGAGCTGTCCCTTAACATGTTCAGCTCCAACCACCCCTCTACTTCTGGCTTTTGGCTGGTTAATTGGAGATAAGTCTCATGGACTTTCCTGCTGGAGCTGGCTTCCATCCTCAGATCTTCTTCCTAAATAGCGTGAGACACCAGTGCTCAGCTCAAATTTGGTTTTCGAAAGAAAGAAAGAAAAGACGGCTGACACTGATGGCTCATGTCTGTAATTCTAGCTAATCAGGAGGCTTAAATCTGAGGACCGCGGTTCAAAGCTGGCCCAGGCAGGAAAGTCCGTGAGACTCATCTCCAATTAACCATCAGAAAACCGTAAGTGGCACTGTGGCTCAAGTGATAGAGTGCTAGCTAGCTCTGAACTGAAAAGCGGAGGGACAGCGCTCAGGCCCAGTTCAAGCCCCATGACTGGCAAAAAAAAAAAAAAAAAGTAGAGCTGTGGCTCAAAGTGAAAAAGTATTAGTCTTGAACACAAAAGCTCAGGGACAGTGCCCAGCCCCTGAGTTAAAGCCCGACCACCACCACCAACAACAACAACCAAAAAAAAAAAAAAAAAAAGGGAGAAGGTTATTAAAAGTGAGATAAAACTTATCACCATTTGGGTATTGATGCAAATCATCACTTTCTTGAGGATGCCCCTAAAGAACTCTTTAGAGCCCACACACTTATATGGAGAGTCAGGCTCAGATGGTGCAAATTAATTGTGTTGTTTGTTTGTTAGTGCTCAGTTACAAGCTACAAGAGAAGATACTCGAAAAGAAAATAGCATGAGAGAAGAGACCCCAAATGAGATGATCCTGCCACTCAGTGTATGTATGTGTCTCCTGTAGTCTCTGGATAGACTTAGGAAACAGACTTGCAGTAGCTGATTAAGAATAAAATAGTCTTTCTTCCACAGCAATTACATAGATGTCTAGTATTTTTGTAAACACTTGTGTCTTTAGGGTCTTAAGTTCCTGACTCAGAAAGGTTCATAGCCATGCATCTATGTGTCTCTAACAAATATTGGAGCTGTGTGTCATTAATTTTAGCTATGAAAACCTTATTTATCTTGTTTATATTCTGGTAGCACTTCAACTTTTTTTTTTTTTGCACTGGTACTGGAGTTTGACCTCAGGGCCTTGTGCATGCCTAACTTGCACTCTACCACTTAAGCAATACCTCCAGCCCAGCTTTTTGCTTGTTAGTTGGAGATAGAGTCTCTTGAACTTTTCTGCCCATATTGGCTTTGAAATGCCATGATCTAGAATACTCCTGAGTATTCAGGGTTACAGGCTTGAGCCACTAGCAACTGGCTCATTTTCACATTTTCCATTTGATTTCCATTAACAACTAGAAACATGCTGTGTTACAGAGGAATCTACTACTTTTATTAGAAAGAAACTTATCTTCCTTCCTTCCCTCTCCTCCCTCCCTCTCTCTCTTTGTCCCTCCCTCTTTCTTTCTCTTTCTCCCTCCCTCCCTCTCTCCATCCCTTTCTCCCTCCCTCCCTCTCTCCTTCCCTTTCTCCTTCTCTCCCTCCCTCCTTCCACCTTTTCTTTTGTTGTTTCTCCTTCCTTTCTCCTTCCTTTCTTCCTCTTTCTTTCTCCTTCCTCCCTTTATCCTTCCTTCCTTCCTCTCTTTCTACTTTCTCTCTCTCCCTCTTTCCTTTTTCTTTCTTCCTCTCCCTTCCTCCCTCTCTTTCTTTCTTTTTTTTCCTTTCTTTCTTTCGCATAGGGCCTCACTATGTAGCTCAGGCTACATTTCCCTGCTTCACGAGTGCTGGGATTGCACGCTTGCACTAACAATGAAGAATTAAGATATATCCTCAGTGTATTGTATTTCATAGGGATCTTCTACAATATTTTAAAGCTGTTGAGCAGTAATTTGGGGAAACTAGGATTTAAAAACTGATTCATCTGACGTTAATATTAAGCTTGACAATCAAATTCTCAATTTGGCTTATATTTCTCTACAGTGTTATTAAGGAATGACAGTTTCAACATAAAATAATTTAAAAGGGGCTGGGAAGGTGGCTCAATTCCTCAGCACCACATAAGCAAAAAAGAAAAAAGCCGGAAGTGGCGCTGTGGCTCAAGTGGTAGAGCGTTAGCCTTGAGCTGAAGAGCTGAGGGACAGCACCCAGCCCAGAGTTAAGGCCCCACGACCAGACCAAAAAAAAAAATTAAAAAAAAAGAAAAGGTTTTGACCTCAACTGGGAGCCAGTGGCTCATGCCTTGTAGTTGTAGCTACTCAGGAGGCTGAGATCTGAGGATCTTGGATCAATGCCAGCCTGAACAGGAAAGTCTGTGAGACTCTTATCTCCAGTTAACCACCTGAAAAACCAAAAGTGGTGCTTTGGCTCAGGTGGTAGAGCACTTGCCTTGAGCTGAAGAGCTCAGGGACAGTGCCTAGGCCCAGAGTTCACGCCTCATGAACAACAACAACAAAAAAGGCTTTGGCCTTAATAATATATGGTAATGTTTTCTCTTATACTATTAAAAATAAAGTTGAAATTTTTCTTCACATTTTTGTATGTTTTTTGCTCATTTTCCTTTGTAAAATGGAAAACATTTACAAGCTGTTTTCTATTCTTCTGTATTAGTTTTTAAGATTATTTTATGTTTGCAATCTACATACATGGTTGCAATTATTTTAAAATTATTCATTGTCCATGTTTTTCCCTTCTTCATTATCTTCACCCCCCATAAATTTTGAGCCCAAACAGCCTCATAAATAGAATCATGTTCTATGTGTACACCTATATGTATATGTATGTATGAAGTAGATTTACATGGCCATGAATTTGTATGTCTTTTAGATCCAACTTCCAGAAATGAGCAAAAATGCTCAATATTTGACTTATTGAGCATTATCTCATTTAATATGATGTCCTCTATTTCTCTTTTTTTTCCTCAAATGATGTGGTTTCACTTTTCTCTCTTAGCTAGGTATTATTCCATACTATATATGTACATATTTCTTATCCACTTATCTGTTATTTGGTACTTATGCAATCTCTACAGTTTGGCTGTTGTGAACAGTACTGCAATAAACACTGTATAGCCCAGTAGAAGTTTGATAGAGTCATATGGTAGATCTGTTTTAACTTTTTTGAGAAACCTCCATTCTTATTTCCATGGTGGCTGAATTAGTTTACATTCTTACTGATACTACATGGGGGGCTCCTTTTCCCCTCAAATCCTCACCAGAACTTGTCTACTGTCTTGATGATTGCCATTCTGATTGGAATAAGAGAGAATCTCAGTATAGTTTTAATTTTCATCTTTATGTTTAAGGATGATGTACAATATTTCTTCATGTTATCTGTCATCCATTTTTATTTCTTCTGTATTCAATTTGCTTGCTAATTTATTAATTAAATCCCTTGTTCTTTTGCTGTTTAATTTTTTGAATTCTTTGTGTGGTCTGTAAATTAATCCTTTATCTGTTGAATAGCTGTTGAACATTTTCTCCCAATTCCCATGGATTGTCTCTCAATTTTGATAATTGTTTCTTTTTCTGTGTAGACTCTTTTTATTTTTATCTAATTTTTTTGTGTCAGTGCTACTGCGGCTTGAGTTCAGTGCCTGGGCACTGTCCCTTCCCTTTTTGCTCAAGGGTGATGTTCTACCACTTGAGTCACAGCTCCCCTTTTGGCTCCTTGGTGGTAAACTGGAGATACAAGTCTCACAAACTTTCATGCTCTGGCTGGTTTTGAACTTCAGCTCAGCCTCCTGAGTGGCTAGGATTCCAGGTGTGAGTCACCAGCATCCATCCAAGAATATTTTAAATTTGATTTCTCATTTGTCAATGCTTGTTCTCATTTACCAGGCAATCAGAGTGGTATTTAGTAGTAAGTACCTATATGTAAAACTTCCATAGTTTTCCTATAGTAGATTTAAAGTTTCAGAGTTTACTTTTAATACGTTAAGACACTGGTAATTGATCTTTGTACAGGGTAGGTGATAGGGCCAAGTTGCTGACTCTTACAAGTAACCAGTTTTGTCACCATCATTTGTTGAAAAAGGCTGTCTTTCTAGTGTGTATTTTTGGCTCCTTTGTCAAATTATATGACTGTAGTTTTGTGCCTTTATTTCTAGGTCTTCTATTCCATTGAACTTGAGGTCTGTTTTGGTGTCATGCTATTTTTGTTACTATGGCTATGTAGTATAATTTGAAGACCAGATTGCTGGTTTTACTCAGAATTGCTTTTGCTATTTGGAGTCTGTTTTGTTTACATACGGAATTTTAGATTGAGATTTTTCTATTTCTGTAAAAACTGATATTGACACATTGATGAGTGTTGCTTTGATTCTGTAGGTTGTTTTTGGCAGTATAGCCATTTTCTTTTTTTTTTTTGGGGGGGGGGGTCCAGTCATGGGGCCTGAACTCTGGGCCTGGGCATTGTCCCTCAGCTCTTCAGCTCAAGGCTAGTGCTCTACCACTTGAGCCACAGCGCCACTTCCGGCTTTTTTCTTTTTGCTTATGTGGTGCTAAGGAATTGAATCCAGGGCCTCTGGCATGCAAGGCAAGCGCTCTACCACTGAGCCACCTTCCCAGCCCAGTATAGCCATTTTCATAATATTCTGCCAATCCATCTTGTGTCTTCTACCATTTCTTAAAGGTTTTATGTTTTATAGAAATCATTTACTTCCTTGATTAATACTTATGTGCTTTATTGTTTTCAATCTTATATCAATGGAATTGTTATTCTGATTTTATTTTTCAGCCTGTTCATTATTGGTACATAGAAAACATACAGATTGGAAGTGGTGCTGTGGCTCAAGCAGTAGAGCGCTAGCCTTGGGCAGAAGAGCTGAGGGACAGTGCCCAAGCCCAGAATTCAAGCCCCACGACTGACAAAAAAAAAAACAAAAAACAAAACAAAACAGAGAAAATGTACAGATTTTTTTTTTTGTCAGTACTGGAGTGGATTCTTTTACCAGTACTCATTGCCTTGAGCTTGTTTGACTGGTGCTGTACCACTTGAGCCAGGCCACAAATAACAAAAATCTGGACAAACACACCCACAAAAAGAGAGAAAAACCAATTATTTTCTACTAATGTCATTTTAGGGTTCACTATTTGGTACGATTTTTTTCTATCCTCTCACTTAGACCGGTATTTATCTTTGTCTTTGTGTTTCTTGCCTACAGCAGGTGGTTGGATCTTCATTTTTTTTTTTTTTTTGGTCGGTCATGGGGCTTGAACTCTGGGCCTGGGCTCTGTCCCTCAGCTCTTCAGCTCGAGACTAGTGCTCTACACTTGAGCCACAGTGCTACTTCCATTTTTTTCTGCTTATGTAGTGCTGAGAAATCAAACCCAGGGCCTCATGCATGCAAGGCAAGCACTCTACCACTGAACCACCTTCCCAGCCCTGGATCTTGATTTTTAATTCAAGTTACCATTCTGTTTTCTGATTGGAGAGTTAAGACCATTATTATTCAATAGTAATATTGAAAAGTATGTTATATTTCCTTAAATTTTGTTGTTTTTAGGATGGTTGCTTCTGTCCTATTCCTTTGGTAATTTCATTGACTGGGATTTATTGTTTCCTACATTCTTGGTTTAGTTTTGTTGTTGTTGTTGTTGTCGTTGTTGTGGGGCTTGAACTCTGGGCCTGGTAGCTGTTACTGAGCATTTCAGCTCAAGGCGAGCACTCTACCACTTGACCCATGCCATCACTTCTGGTTTTCTGGTGGTTAATTGGAGATGAGTCTCATGGACATTTCTGTCTGGGCTGGCTTTGAACCATAATCCTCAGATCTCAGCCTCGTAAGTAGCTAGGACTGCAGGCATGAGCCACTGGCCACCCAATATATTTCCTGTTTTTAATTGTCTTCTTTTGTGGCTAGGATTCCTTTTACTGTCTTTTATATTGCTGGTTCAGTAGTCATGATTCCTTTAGTTTTTGTTTATTGTGGAATTTCTTTCTCTTTCAGTTATGAAGGACAGCTTTATTTAGTATACTAATTTAGGTTGACAATTGTTATATCTTTCAGGGCTTGGATTATGTCTTTCCATGCTGTCTCTCTATTTTTGCATTTAGAGCTTGTGTTGAGAAATTTGTTGTTCTGATGGGCTTGCTGTTGTGTGTAACTTACTTTCTCTTTTCAGATTTTTTTTTTTTAGTGCCAGTTCTGGGACTTAAACACAGCTGACCCTGAGCTTTTGTGCTCAAGGCTAGCATTTTACCACTTGAGCCATAGTTCCACTTCTGCCTCTTTTTTTTTTTTTTCTGCCTCTTTTTTTGTGTTTAACTGGAGATAATAGCCTCACAGATTTTCCTGTCTGGTCTGGCTTTACATGTATCATGTTTATTTTGCATTTCTTTTTTCTTTTTCTTTTTCTTTGTCAGTCATGGGGCTTCAACTCTAGGCCTGGGCACTTTCCCTCAGCTCTTCAGCTTAAAGCTAGTGCTCTACCACTTGAGCCACAGCACGACTTCTGGCTTTCTGGTGGTTAATTGGAGATAAGAGTCTCACGAACTTTCCTGCCTGGGCTGGCTTTGAACTGTGGTCCTCAGCTCTCAGCCTCCTGAGTAGCTAGGGCTACAGGTATGAGCCATTGGCACCCAGCTTATTTTGCATTTTTTGAATGTTAATATAGTTTGTACTTCTTTCCTTACTGTCATTTGTATTTTTTAGTGTAATATATCTTTTTTTTTTTTTGGTTAGTCACGGAGCTTGAACTCTGGGCCAGGGCACTGCACCTGAGCTCTTCAGCTCAAGGCTAGTGCTCTACCATTTGAGCCACAGTGCCACTTCCAGTTTTCTGGTGGTTTATTGGAGATAAGAATTTCATGGACTTTCCTGCCCAGGCTGGCTTTGAACCTCGAACCTTGGATCTCAACCTCCTGAGTAGCTAGGATTACAGATTGTAATATATCTGATATATTAAAGATAGTTTTACAAATAATTTCAATTTTTTGTCCTGAATTTTAGTATTTTAGATTTATCTATCAATTTTTTCTTTTATTTTTATTTAATTGCACTTATATTTAGAGGACAAAAACTGATCTTTCTTAGAAAAATGTTCACCTTTATCTTTTATTTACTATTTTGTTTTATAGTAGTGTCTTGATTATATGGTCAATTCCCTAGATATGTTCATAGTATTAGAATATTTTGGATTCAATATTAAATAAATTACATTTCTGACAAATAAGTTGAAAAAAATATCATAATTATGAAACTGATATACAAAGTAAACATCAGTTTTTTATTTTCAGAAAAACCAAATCAATATGATATGAAAATATCCAATCTCATCATTTGTTTTGTATCTTTAATTCTTATTTCACATAGGAATCAGTGACTGATGACTTCCAGGTTGACAGTAGTTCATCAAATAGTGATCTAGTGTCAGGTAAGACTATCATATTCAACTTCCTCAGCTTTTCTGCCTTTCCTTCAAAAATAAGCAACCATTGTGTCTCTTCTTTTTTCTTTTTTTAAAATTTTTATTGTAAAGATACTATACAGAGGGTTACAGTTAAATGAGCAAGGTAATGAGTACACTTCCTATTGAGCATTGTTACCCCCTCCATTGTTTTCCCCCTATTATCCCTTCCCTCCCTACCTTCCCCGAGGTTCCTTTTTTTTTTAGTTGTGATTGATTACATAATTTCCCAAATTTCACAGTATTGTGAAATAATGATGCTCATTTAAAGTCACAAGTTCATTCTAACTTTCCTGGAGCAAACTGTCTATCACAGTCTATAACATATAACGGTGTACACATATACACCATACATGTGTTCTTATTTCAATGAAGAAGTGTCTCCCTCTAGTCTAACTTGAGTCCTTCTGATATAGAGTACTCTAGACCTCATTTTCAGAGTTTATAAGTACACATCAGTAAATATGAAATTATAATTTTAATAAATATTACAAAAGAGAGACAGTTCAGTTTAATTAATTGAATTTAGATTAGGAAATGCTTCCATGAGGGATTATCAAATGAACTGAAATTCAAAAGTGACTAGAAATGAACTATACAAGGAGACAAATAAAGACCTTACCATGGGATCTGGCTGTGTTTGATCACACCTGTAATCCAAGCTACTCAGGAGAGTGGGGATCAAGAGAATCGTCGTTCAAGGGAAGCCCAGGCAAAAAGTTTGCAAGAGTCCACTTCATCCAATAAAACAACTAGGCATGGCCTAGATCCCTGTTATCTATCCCAATTACACAGGAAAATAGGATCAAGGTCCAGGCTAAATGAGAGGTCCAGGCTAAATTGGGCATAAATGAGAAACCCTGTCTCAGAAATAAAGCAGAAAGGACAGGGGATATGGTTCAAATAGTAGAATGCCTGCCTTGAAAAGGTGTAAGGCTCTGGGTTTAAACTTCATTATGACACATGCACACACACACACAGAATTACCATGGAACCAATCTTATATGTTCAATGAATTAAAAGAAGGCCAGTGTGACTGGGCAGTTGAGAAAATAACAAGAATGTGATTACAGGACAAAAGTAGGTAATCAGCGGGAAGCCTGGTACTCCATGCCCAAGTATTGATATTTATTTTGGGGGGTGGTAAAGTTATATATGTCTTTTGAGGTCCCAAGCAATGTCAAACAAGGACATGGAGAGATGGAGGTAAAAATTTGTGACCAATATACATATTGGTACAATTAAATTTATTTATTTATTTATTTATTTTTGGGGTCCAGTCGTGGGGCCTGAACTCTGGGCCTGGGCACTGTCCCTCAGCTCTTCAGCTCAAGGCTAGCGCTCTACCACTTGAACCACAGCGCCACTTCCGGCTTTTTTCTTTTTTGCTTATGTGATGCTGAGGAACTGAACCCAGGGCCTCATGCATGCAAGGCAAGCGCTCTACCACTGAGCCACCTTCCCAGCCCAATTAAATTTATTTTTAAAACAAGAAAGGATGCTATTAGTATACTAGAAGTATAAAGGAATTATTGAAAGCATGGAAGATGAGATCAAAGTGATGAGTAGATCAAGAGTAGAGAAGACAGACATCAGTGGCTCACACCTGAAATCCTGGTAACTCAGGAGGCTGAGATCTGATGACTATGGTTCAAAACCAACTCAGGGGGCTGGGAAAGTGGCTCAGTGGTAGAGCGCTTGCCTTGCATGCATGAGGCCCTGGGTTCGATTCCTCAGCACCACATAAGCAAAGAAAAAAAAAGCCAGAAGTGGTGCTGTGGCTCAAGTGGTAGAGCACTAAACCTTGAGCTGAAGAGCTGAGGGACAGCGCCCAGGCCCAGAGTTCAGGCCCCACAACCGGACCCAAAAAAAAAAAAAAAACCAACTCAGGCAGACAAATCCTAAAACTCTTAATCAGCAAAAGTCAGAAGTAGAGGTTTAACAAACTTAGAACACCAGCCTTGAGTGGAAAAAGTCAAATGAGAGCATGAGATCATGAGGTCCTGAGTTGAAGTCCAAATACCACACACACACACACACACACACACACACACACACACACACACACACACACACACACACACACACACACACACACACACACACACACACACACACACACACACACACACTTTGAAAAAGTTGGCTCCTTTCTTTTTATCACCTTCTTACATTGGAAATACTGATGGCTCCGGGTGTCTGCTAAAACTGTGTCTGATAAAACCATGAAAACTGCTCCTCCCCAAGAAAAATGGCATCTGTCTACACGAACATGTTCGTTTAGAAAAATAATTTCAAGATTTCATATTTATTGTAAGACTGGACATAATGCATTTGCTTCTTACTGAAATCCACAAATCTCACAAAGCATAAAGGAATAGTAAAGGCATGAAGCTTTTGGGCAGAAAAGAGACGTCAGAATCTGGAAGGTAAATGAAAGAATTATAATTGACTTAAAGATCTTTAGAAAAAATACTGAAGCTGGGCACTAGTGGCTTATGCCTGTAATCCTAACTGTTCAGGAAGCTGAGAGCTGCAGATCAAGGTTTGAAGCCAACCCAGGCAGGAAAGTCTGTGAGGCTCTTATCTCCAATTAATCACCAGAAAACCAGATGTGGAACCTTGGCTCAAAATGGTAGAGCACTAGCCTCAGGGACAGCACCCAGCCCTGAGTTCAACTCCTAGGATAGAAAGAAAAAAAGTGCTGAAAACCAGGTTCTTAGAGTAGAGACAGACTGAGAAGTAAATTGACTTCAGGCTGTAGGTTTAGGAATTGGAGGCATCACATATCCCTAAAGGAATAGGTGTTGATTTTGTTGAAAATAGAGGTTTGGGAGCCTGAACTCTGGGCCTTGGCAGCTCAAGGCTAGTGCTCTAGCTCTTGAGCTACAGTACCACTTCTGGCCTTTTCTGCTTATATAGTGCTGAGGAATCCAACTCAGGGCTTCATGCATGCAAAGCAAGCACTCCGCCATTGAGCCACCTTCCCAGCCCTATTTTAGAAGATTTCTTTTTTTTTTTTTTTTTTTGGTCCAGTCGTGGGTCCTGAACTCTGAGCCTGGGCGCTGTCCCTCAGCTCTTCAGCTCAAGACTAGCGCTCTACCACTTGAGCCACAGTGCCACTTCTGGCTTTTTTCTTTTTGCTTATGTGGTGCTGAGGAATCGAACCCAGGGCCTCATGCATGCCAGGCAAGTGCTCTACCACTGAGCCACCTTCCCAGCCCCTATTTTGGAAAATTTTTAAAGTGGCAATTAGGTGTTTCAATCCACACTTGTGACGAGACAACTGCTCTTCTACCCATCCTTGCAGTCTAGAGACAAGAAAATGGAAAGACTGATCTCACATGCTAAGTACTACTCGGGGCAGGGGTTTTAAACTGAAATCTAGCAGTGGCAGGGAAGCAAGGGGGACAGGAATAGGTCTGTATACCTACTGGTAAAACCCCTGCTGTCTACTCCCACTCAGGCACATATACCCTAGGTAGGACATTGGAGGATTTGTCTTCTGAAAGCTTCTGCCCAGGAGACCTATATTTTATGAATTGTGATCTGGTTCTTGTCTAAATACCCTCAGTAAGAGCCTACAGTGTTATAGTTCTGTTCAGAATGTCATTTTAGTGCCTTATTCTTTTATTGGTATTGTGTGTTGGTACCTGCACTTGAACTCAGGGTCTAGAGCTCTCATTTGGCTTTTTTACTCATAGCTGGCACAGTATTACTTGTGCCACATCTCCATTCTGGCATTTCTGCTGGTTAATTGAAGATTTGTGTTCAGACTGATTTCAAATCCTGTGATCCTTTAGGTTTCAGCCTCAAGTAGTTAGGATTGTAGATAAGAATTTCTAACTGCTTCATTCTTGAACATGCAAAAATTATTGGTATTTGAAGAAAACATCTAAATGAACAGATAGATAACAAAAAGAAACTAGAAGCATACAGACAACAAAGGGCAATCTCTTTTTAAAATCATCGTTTTGAGCTGGGTATGGTGGCATATGCCTATAATCAAAGTATTTGGGAAATGAGGCAGAAGAATTGTAAGTTTAAGGACAGCCTGGGCTACATGGTACCCTATCTCAAGACAAAGGAAAACAAATCAACAAAAAACATAGTGTCAGTATACTCAATTATGAAAAACGTTTACATAAAACAAGTGCAGACTACTGTAAATTAAGCAGAGAAAATGAATTTTTGGTATAAAAATTGAAACATTCTGTAGAATTAGATGATAAATTTAAGGAAATGTTTTAGAAAATTGAACAAACATTGAAGAAAAGATAATAAAATATTGGCAATGATGGTGCAACTCTGATTATATACAGAAGCCTATGAACTGTACCCTTTAAAGGAATGAGTTTTATGGCATCAAAAGAAGCAGTAGAGTTAAAAGGAGTTGTCGCTAGAGTTGGAAATTATGTGGAGGTGTGAAATAAGAGATTACAGTTTTTGTTTTAAGCCTCTTAGAGATATTTAGCTTTTAAAATATATAAAGAATAATTTAATTAAAAATATAATTGTTAATGTATTTATATTTCTCACTAGTAAGAAATAGCCACTGATACAGCATGAATCATTATTTTTTAATACATCTGTCCAGGTGATGAATGCAGGGTTTTCCTTATTTCTGAGCTTGAGTCCTGGAATAGTTCTGTTACGTGTGGTATTCATGAAATTTTGAGAAATGTAAGGAAAGACAGAATACTACCTTTCCCTTCCCCCCCCCCCCTTATTTTTTTGGTCAGTTGTGGGGCCTGAACTCTGGGCCTGGGAACTGCCCCTGAGCTCTTCAGCTCAAGGCTCTACCACGTGAGCCACAACACTACTGCTGGCCTTTTCTGCTTATGTGGTGCTGAGGAATTGAACCCAGGGCCTCATGCATGCAAGGCAAGCATTCTACCACTGAGCCACCTTCCCAACCCCCTTTTCCCCTTCTTTTAAGGGACAGTACTGAGGGCCTTGTATTTGTTAGGCAGGTACCTGATACTATTTTTTGCACCAGTTTTTAAGATACAGTCTTACTTCCAAGCCAGGTGCATACTTGGACCTCAGTCTGCCAATTTTAGGCTTCCTTTAACAGCTTGGCCAATAGGCACGCACTATGCATGCCCAGCTTTACCCACTGAGATAGAGTCTTGTAGACTTTTTCCACCCAGGTTCTTCTACATCTCAGCTTTCTATAAGCCTGTGCTACCAGCTATTGGTAGCACAAATTTCACAAATTTTTCTGCCTTGACTGGCCTCTCAACCTCCATCTTTCCAGTTTCAGCCTCCTAAGTAGACAGAGTTACAGGCAGGAGCCACTGGCTCCTGAATTGTGCAGTTACCTTTTTCTTACTAAATCTTTTGGTTTTCCTTAGCTGTTAGTACTATTTTTTTTTGCCAGTCCTGGGACTTGAACTCAGGGCCTGGGTACTGTCTCTGAGCTTCTTCTTGCTCAAGGCTAGTGCTTTAGCACCTGAGCCAAGCATCACTTCTGGCTTTTTCTGTGTATGTGGAAATCGAACCCAGGTCCTCATGCATGCTAGGCAAGCACTCTACCACTGAGCCACCTTCTCAGCCCCAGTACTATTTTTTATCCTCATTATGGATTAGAAAGTTCTGTCTAGATCTTAAATGAATTTTATATCTGTTGGCTTCATGGAGTCTATGTTCAAAAAGAGTTATTTCTGGGCTGTTTGTTCAATTCTTTGGTTCTGTTGGTCAACATGTAGGCGCATTTTCTTTTTTTTCTTTTTCTTTTTTTTTCTTTTTTTTGGTAGGTCATCAGGCTTGAACTCTGGGTCTGGGCACTGTCCCTCAACTCTTCAGCTCAAGACAAGCGCTCTACCACTTGTGCCACATGCACTTCTGGTTTTTTGGTGGTTGAACAGCTAGGATTACAGGCATGAGTTCACCGGTGCCTGGCTAGCTGATTGTTTTTTAGATAGCCATAATAATTAGACTTACCTTTTCTCTCATTTGCTAAAGAATTATGTTTAGAATATGTCTGTTTAGCCAGGTGCAGTGGCTCACACCTGTAATCCTACTTAGGAGGCTGAGATCTGAGGACCACAGTTCAAAGCCAGCCTAGGCAGGAAAGTCTGTGAGACTGTTATATCCAGTAATACACTCCGAAAACCAGAAGTGGTGCAGTGAGTGACTCAAGTGGTAGAGTGCTAGCCTTGAGCTGAAGAGCTGAGGGGCAGTGTTCAGGCCCAGAGTTCAAGCCCCAGGACAGACAAAAAAAAAAGTTTATTTATTTACTTATTTACTTGGGGCTTGGACTTAGGGTCTAGGTACTGTCCTTAAACTTTACTACTCAAAGCTAGAGCTTTACCATTTGAACCTCAGTTTCACTTAAAGTTAATTTCTTGTTAATCAGAGATATGCATCTCATATACTTTCCTGCGTGGGCTGGCTTTGAACCACAATCTTCAAATCTCAGCCTACAGAGAGTTGCTAGGATTAAAGCCATGAGCCACTGGACTTGGCCTTTTATTTTTATTTACAATTTTTAAATATTTTAAATTTTTTTTAAATTTTAGTCATCTTATTTATTTTATTTTATTGTACTGTGGATTAAACTCAGAGCGTCATGCTTGTCAGGCAAGCACTCTACCACTTAAGCAATGTCTTTAAGCCCCTTTTGCTTTAGCTTAATTTTTCAGATATAATGTCTCTTTTTTGCCTGGCCTGGCTTCAGACTGTGATCCTTCTAATTATGCCTTCTTTGTAGCTAAAATTACAGTCATGTAACCTTACACCTGGACTTTAGAACCTGAATTTTTGAGCCAAGAATCACAAGTGAACCAAAGAAAGGAGTTAAGTTATGACACTAAAACTGAAAAACAATGGGAACATAATAGTGCATTTTTCAACATTTATGACAATTATTTTCTAAGATTCATATTAAAATGTTCTGTAATATACCTTTCTGTTGTATGTGGAATCAATTTTGCATGCAGAGCATCTGTATGAATATTCCTACAAATTTGAGGATTTCAATTTTGTCATCTATTCAAAGTTTATTATTTTGTTTGGATTTGTTTTCTATAGGACAAAGTTTGCTACATGATACTCCCAGTTCTGTCCTGAGCTCTTCAGTTACGGACTTTTATACAGAATTCAGAAGCAATACTGAAGAGAGTATAAGTAACTTCTCATCACCTGAGCAGTTTAGAAGGTCTGATTGTTTGGGTGAGAATATAATTTCATTCCTTAATTTGCTCCACTGTAGAGTTTTTCATTTGTCCACAAATTTTCCAATAAATAGATGCTTCTTTTGAGAAGAAATACTTTCATTCTTCACCAGCACCTCCCTCTCCTATTTTATTCCTTTGCTTAGTCACATAGTATTACAGAGATAAAGCCTTCAGGTCAGGAAGAATGAAAAAATGTCAAGCAGTACATCCAATCATATAATCACTGTATGTCTGTTCTCTGGTCTGATATGCTATCTATTTATTTTATACCCTTGCAGCACATAATACGTGTTCACTGTACCAAGTCCCTTCTTGAATTTTCTTTACTAATTAATAGTTACATTTATTTATGCTTACAAATAGAGCCTTTGGTTGGTGATGGCTAATGGAATGCATGCTTTCCTATATAGCTTTGCCATTGTACAAACTGTCCTTTAAAAAAACCCATAAGGACAAAGTGAATTGGAAAGAAGAATGCATAAAGTTTGAGAAGCTAGAAATCAGATGGTCTGACACAGTAGGCCTAAGGACACTTGAGTCCTAAATCAACAATGTGAACAACACTGAAATAAGTCAATTTATACAATATACCCTAAACTCTTTTACAGTTCTGCTGCACCAAATCTTTGTAAAAAGATGTCAGAAATATAGAGAATACCCATGTTTATTGAAGCATTGTTCACAATAGCCAAGAACTGGAATTGGCCTAAGTGCCTGTCAGAGTTGAATGGGTAAAAAAAATATGGGCATATATATTGAGTTCTGTTCATCTGTAAAAAAAAAAAAAAATGAGGGGCTGGCTCAGCAGAAGGGCGCCCACCTGGCGAGTGCAAGGTCCTGGGTTCGGTCCTCAGTCCTGGAAAAAAAGAAGAAATAAAAGAAAATTACATAATTTCCAGGAAATGGGTGAAACTTGAGGATATCATGTTAAGCAAAATAAGTCAGATGCAGAAAGACGAATGTTAAATATTTTCTCTTAATTTGTAGAAACTATGGAGGGAGAGAGAGGGCGGGGGAGGGGAGGACTTGAAAGTAGATGAAGGACTATTAAGGAATGGGAAAGGAATTGAGGGGAGATGGGAGAAAGGAGCAAGAGAGGCATGTACTATAGTGTGTACAAAAAAGAAATTATAATGTTCATCCTAAATTGCAAGAACTGCTTATAGGGAGAATGAACATGATCAAAGCACAATATATACAAGCATGGAGCTGTCACAATGAAACCTATTGTTGTATACAATTAGTAATGGCAAATATGGTGATTAGTCCTTTTCTACTTAAAAGAGCCTGAAGATTATTTATTTATTTTGAGGCAGAGTCTTGCTCTATAGACCAGGCTGGCCTGGAAGTTGCTATGTGTTTCATGCTATCCTTGAATCCATAGTAGTCCTGCTTCTACCTCCTGAGTGCTGGGATTGTCAGCCAAGTCCCTCTGATTCAAAACAGAGTTTTGAACATAATAGTAGAGATAGAGTGATAGTTTGAAATGTTGGTCCCAGTTACTCATTACTAAATTTTCCACTGTTTAACTTTGGGGCAGATTGTGTAGCTTGCTTTGGGTCATAGGCTATCCGTAAAAAAAAAACAAAAAACAAAAAACAAGTTAAGAATGTACCTAAAATGGTTAGATATATCTTCTTGTAATCTTACCGTCATGAGAAACACACACACACACACACACACACACACACACACACACACACACACACACACACACACACACACACACACACATCTTAGCTTCTACTAAGTGATTCTGGAATGGTGGGTACAAAGCAGATCAGCCCAAGGCAAGAAAACTGTACAGAGAACTGCTTTAGCTGATCTTAACACCTGTAATCTGAAGCAGAGACTCCTGATTAAACCAACAGATGTGGGAACAGTGCATAAATACCATTTGTGTTGTGTTACTTGGATTTGGGGGTTGTTCACTATAAAGCAGAAATTGACTACTTACATATATTATACTAAATACAAAGGAGAAAAAAATTAAATGGAAGTATTCATTCTAAATTGTGAGATCAGTTCACCAAATCCCTGTTCCTGTCCCAACCCAACATTCCATTTCTCTGCTCAACTTTTGGAATATTGTTTCCCAAACACGAATCTTCTAGGCAGGAGAATTAAAAATATTTTTTGTAATGTTGGAGAGTAAATTCAGGGTGTTATTCATACTAGGCAAGTGCTTTACCACTAAGCTACTGTGGAACCTGAACAAGCCAGAATAAAGTATCTAAAGATACTGACCTTACGATTGCTACAGTGGAAAATTACCAGTCAGAACATACTGTAATGAAGCCAACTATGTGACAAGCACCAAATGGGCTATAAGGATTATTGCACTTAGCCTTTTAGGGTTCCCATTGTTTTGCAGTCTTGGGGATGAAACCCAAGGTTTCTGCCATTGAGCTACATCTCTAGTACTGGGGCTCCTTTTTAAATATGAGTCAGGAACCACGGCTCATCCTTTAATGCCAGAAAAGCATCTAAAATTTAAAAATAGAGAACAAAATATATGAATTACATTAGCAAGATATTAGGGGGGAAACTCTTCATTCTTTTTTCTCCCCTCCTGTTTTTCTTTTTTGTGGGTCATGGGGCTTGAACTCTGGGCTTGAGCGCTGTCCCTGTGTTCTTTAGCTCAAACCCCAGTACTACCAAAAGAATTCAGTAAAGGAGGTATGCATTGAATAAAGAATAAGTGAACTCAAAGACATTTAAAATTATACAATCAGGGAAATAAATGAGAACAAAAAGAATGAAGAAAGCAAGTCTTGTGTGATACTGTGAAGTAGAACAATGAATGTATTTTAAGACATCTTAGGAATGAAGAAAAAGCCAGACAGTAAATTTAAATAATGGCTAAAAATGTTCCCGATGTGGGAAATGAACATCCATATCTAAGAATCCCAGAAAAATCAAGAATGAATCAAGAAGTTAACACCAAGATACCCTATGATCACATTGTCAAGAAGTAAAAAAATTTTGAAAGTAGCAAGAAAAAAGTGACTTCCAAGTCACTCTGAATATGTGTATATTCAGAGCAGTGAAAGAAAAGTTATCACCCAAGAATATTATATCCAGCTAAACTTGTCTTTCAAATATGAAGGAAACAATTTTCCAAAATAAAAGCTAAGGGAGCTCAGCATCATAGATCTTCCTAGAAGAAATGCTGAAAGAAACACTTCAAGTTACAACCCGAAACTAAAACGGCAACATGAAAGCTTATTAAAGTACAAAACCACATGGAATTGAAGAAAAAAAGAAACAAAAAGGAGTCCAGCAGAAATACTAGTATTACAAGAAGCAACATGAAAACAGTAATTTTTAAGCCTTAGTGGAGATAAGAAAATACATATTACCTCTATTAAATATTATGCTATAAAAAGGGAAGATTCTGTTAAATGAGATAGAATAAGACATGGAAAACTGGGAAGACTGGAAAACAAAGTTGAGGCAAACTTCCCAAAAAGAATAAAAAGCAAACCAGAAAGAAGAAAAAGGAAAATAGAGAAATTTTGAGAACAACATTACAAAATAGATGTTCCAGATAAAGTTGAGAAAAAAACAGAGGGAATAAAAATACCAGGGAAAGAATCCAAGAACATTTGCTAAACAAGACACTGTATGAAAAGAAATGTACTCATGACCTGACTCATGTAATCCATCTGTATGTCACCTTTATAATAACAATAAAGTCAACTAATTAAAAAAAAAAACATTTTGTCAGGCACCAGTGGCTCATGCCTGTAATCCTACCTACTCAGGAGGCTGAGATCTGAGGATTACCATTCAAAGCCAGCCCAGGCAGGAAAGTCAATGAGACATTTATCTCCAATAAACCACTCAGAAAACCGGAAATGGCGCAGTGGCTCAAGTGGTAGAGAGCTAGCCCTGAACTAAAGAGCTGAGGGACAGCATTCAGGCCCAGAGTTCAAGCCCCATCACCAACAACAAAAACCCAACTTTTTCTAGAACTAAAGGATATGAGTGTCCAGAATGAAAGGACAATGATAATGTGATATTCAGCACTGAAAATTTAGATCATAAGGGACCAAATTGAATGGGTTTATATAACTTGGTAAAGTTTGAGATGAAATAGATGAAAAATAGAAAACTAAGCCATTGAAGCAGGGAGAGATTGACTTCAGGAAAAAATATGATAATGGCATATCATAAGAATATTAATTATCTAGCATTTTATCATAATGTCTATACTAAATGTGATATAACAGTGTGAAGAAAGTAGAAGCAGTGAGAAAGATGGGGACCAGGGATGAAAGAGGGAATAGCTCCATTCTTCCACAGTGTAAGTCAATAGAAAGCTTAAAACATATCAGGTAAAAGTAGTATAACTATGTACTTAGTAATATACTTAATGGGATATAGAGATATGGAATCTATAAAATGTAAGAGTCATTCAGTTATTTGTATGTTGTCTGTCCCTTAGGTTAAGCTTTTTTTTGTTTGTCCTGGGGCTTGAACTCAGGGACTGGGTGCTATCCCTGAGCCTCTTTGTGCTTAAGGCTAGCACTCTACCACTTGAGCTACAGTGCCACTTCTGCCTTTTTTGAATGGTTTATTGGAGATAAAAGTCTCACAGGGACTTTTCTGCCCAGGCTGGCTTCAAATGGAGATTCTCAGATCTCAGCCTCCTGAGTAGCTAAGATTACAGGTGTTAACCACTGGTGCCTGGCCAGATCGGTTTTTTTCTATATGTATCAGTCCTGGGACTTAAAGAACTCTGGGCCTGGGTGCTGTCCCTGAGCTTTTTTGCTCAAGACTAGTACCCTACTACTTGAGCCACAGCTCCACTTCTGGCTTTTTGGTGATTAATTTGAATTAAGAGTCTCATGCACTTTCATTCCCAGGCTGGCTTTGAACCATAGTCCTCAGTTCTCAGATTACTGAGTAGCTAGGATTACAGGTATGAGCCACCAGCTCCTGGCTAGATCATTCCTAGGAAGGAAGAGAAGAACTGGAATTGGACATAGATTATTTCTTAACTTGATTCCTTCATGGCTTATTTTTTTGTTCTATATATCCCAAACCTTAACTATCATGATTTCAAATGGACTTGGGAGGGAAAAGGAATCCTGCCACTTGTAGGCTGTTCACAAATTTTGCCATTCTTTTATGCCTGCTTTTTTAGACTGGGAATGTCCCAACTCGAAAGAACATAGACAGTGCAAGAATTCCACTCTTTTGGATATCAGTAAAGCAGTAGCGATAGAGAATGTCACGCAGTTTTCAAACTTTTCTGCAATTGTGGGTGAGTTTTCATATATATTTTCCTTTTATTGCGGGACGAATTCTTTGTCTGTTGGAAAATACTGTTAGAAAAAAAACAGTATTTTTTTTGTGTGTCCTGAATAATTCCTAAGCTAAGTGTATTAGTTGGTCATCATGTCAAGGCCTGTTGTAACTAAACCTGATCATGCAATCCATAAGGCTTTGGAATGGTATTTGACAGGTGCTTAAAAGAGTTTGAAGAGTGGGCTAGAGAAAGCCAAGAAATTGTGAGCAGAAATGAATGAGTGATTCTAATGAGAGCTCAGAGACCAAAATGTTGATATTGAAGGCCAGCCTCATGAGGTTTCAGATGGGAACAAGACCTTTATTGGAAATTGGACTAGGGGAGTGCTATCAGCAAGAGCAGAGAATGAATGATGCTAGATGTTAACTGTTTGGAGCCCTATGTTTTGAGGACCTCCCTTCCCAAGAAAATGCTTGGAAGGTACAAATGTACCTTGCCTCTGATTAACTGTTATGATTTTAAAATCTTAATCTGACATGAGCAAGGTGCTCTGGTTGCTGAAGAATATTAACTTCCTCAGAAGAATACTTTCATGGTTCTTTATATTCCTAGTAATATCCTAGTGTGCTTAGGCAGTATAGTGCTGAAAGGGAATGTCTCCTGACTAATCAACCAATGCATATCTAGATGTTTGTTCCTGGGCTAAGTCAGTACCAGATGATCTAAGTTTAAGGTCCAGGTATCTATGTTTACTTTCATAATTTGGTCAGTTATTATTTTCTCTTATGTGAAATGGGGATAATAAATTAGCATAGCTGACTGACAGGATTATTATAAGAACCCTAAGACTCAGAATTTCAAGACTAATAGTTGTAAAGATTTCAAATTGTGAAGACTGTTCAGTGTCACATTACTGTAACTCTCAACAGTTTAAACACGTAGTTTTACTTTGGTATTTTGAAAATATTTTTAATTAAACTAGCAGACAAAAAAAACACAATAAAAAACTGTACTGCTACTATATATGTTCTGGAAATACTTATTTTTACCTATAGTACTTTTAGTCTCTTTGAATTGTTTCTACTTCCAATAGATTTCTTTTTTCCTTTCCTAGGTACCTTTTTGGAAAATTCTCAGAAAGGCCATAGAAAAATGTAAGAACTAAGAATTTCAAAGTAATTGTGCCTTTGAAAACTCTGGATTCAAAAATTTATATAGCAAGTAGGATTGTTCCTTCATTTGTTGAGGACTTAAAAAGTATGTGCAAGGGCTGTTCTAATCACTGCATGTAAACAAAATTGATCACGGGTCTGGGAAGTTAGCTTGGTACATGTTGGCATGCCTAGCATGCCCGATGCCTTGGGTTTGATTCCCCAGTACCACATACACAGAAAAAGGCAAAAGTGACACTGTGGCTCAAGTGGTAGAGTGCTAGTGTTCAGCAAAAGAAGCTCAGGAATAGTGCCCAGGTCCTGAGTTCAAGCCCCAGAACTGGCAAAAAAAAAATGATCACAAATTCTCCACCCTTTCTGAGACCATATTCTAGTTGGAAGACATGAATAGTAAACAAATAAGTAAATTTATACTGTATTATTTAGTCTTGAAATGGTATAAATAAATAATAAAGCTTGATGGACTGAAGGAGTATGGGAGTGGTAGTTTGCTATTTTAAGAAGTCTGTTCAGAAAAATCTTCACTGAAAAAGCATTATTTGAACAGTTGTATAAAGATTGATTCAAGCTGGGCGCCCATGGCTCATGTCTGTAATCCTAGTTACTCAGGAGGCTGAGATCTGAGGATCCCAGTTCAAAGCCAGGGCAGGAAAGTCTGTCAGACTCTTAGCTCCACTTAAGCACCAGAAAACCAGAAGTGGCACTGTGGCTTACATGGTAGAGTGCTCGCCTTGAGCTGAAGAGGTGAGGGTCAACAGCCAGGCCCAGAGATCAAGCCCCATGACTGACAAAAAAAAAAAAAAGATTCATAGAAACGAGTGAAAGATCATTCTAGGTAGAAAGAATAGACAAAGCCCTCCCCCCCCCCCATTTAAGTTTTTACAAGGATCTATTTTAGTCTAACAGGATAAAGAAGAGATAAGTGGAATAGGGGTGAAATATTTCCCATATAAGAAATGAGAGTAAAGATTCTAGGACTCAGCCAGGTGCCATTGGCTCATGCCTATAATCCTAGCTACTCAGGAGGCTGAGATCTGAGGATCACGGTTCAAAGCCAGCCCAGGCAGGAAAGTCCATTAAACTCTTATCTCTCTTCTCATCTCTTATCTCTTATGTCATTTCCAGAAAACCGAAGTGACATTGTAGCTCAAGTGGTAGAGTGCTAGCCTTGAGCTGAAGAGCTGAGGGACAGCACTCAGGCCCAGAGTTCAAGCCCCACAACCAACAACAACAACAAAAAAAAAGGATTCTAGGACTCTTGAAGAGTGCAATGACTTGTGTTTTCAAGGAATCACCTTAACTACTGCGATGAGAACAAAATATAAGGAGGGAAGGAATTAGGAAGATGATAACTAGGATACTATCTTACTAATCTAAATAAGAGATATTAGAGTATGGACCAGAATGTTAACAGCAGATGTGTTAACAGCAGATGTGGTAACAGCAGGTATGGTAACACATGGTCAGATTTTGGATATATTTTGAAAGTAGAGCTAGCACGATAGCTAGTATGTTCCCTCATTGCAGAGGGTGCATGTGCCTGGATATTGTGGCCCCTTCTTAGATAGAGCATTTGGCTTTGCAATGCCCTGATTCTCCACATCTATAATATTTCCTCTTTGGATTACTAGAACCAACCTACCATTTAGAATTTCCCTTGGTTATTCTTTGAGGAAAATTCTACCTTTTAGAATTTCCCTGGGTTATCCTTTAGAGGGAAATTCTATAATCATAGCCAGCACCTGACCTTGCTATTTAGCAAATAATTGGGCCTGCTTCTCTGCATGTAGTTGACCTCTCTTAATCTTCCATTAAAACCTAGTTGTTGAAAATGTCAAAGGCCAGATTTACTAATAGGGACCTATTTTCTATTTCTGTAGCTTAAAGGGTATCTGGTATTGATTGCCTAATAAAAAAACATCCTCAGAGCATTTGTCCTGATGAATCTGGAATGATACTATATTTTCTGAAAGTTTCTGTTAACTGTCTGAGAAACAGTTCCTATCATAATTAACAGTGTTGTGCATTGATTGCTTTATTTCTTCAATTAAGCAACTAATTATGTAATTTCTTAATTCTACATTAGTGTTTCTGGGTTATCAGGGGAATAGGAACATTTCCCACTGATTTAGCATCCCTGACATAGATATCATTGGCATGAGCGTAAACTGTAGTCCAAATGCTGTTTCTTTGTAGGAGTAAAATATACTAAAAATAAAGCATCTATATCTTTCTCCAGGTTATTTGAAAAGTAATAAAGCCAAGCAGATTGGGGAGGGTGCTACCCCAGGCATAAAAGTTTGAGACTCGAAGAGCTGAGGGACAGCGCCCAGTCCCAGAGTTCAGGCCCCATGACCGAACCTCCCCCCCACAAAAGAGGTTGAGACCCCATGGCTCTTGCCTATCTCCCCAGTGACTAGGGGAAGCACAAGGCTACCCAGGCACAAAGTGAGGCCCTACAGAAAATAACCAGTACAAAAAGGAACTGAAGGCATGGTTGATATAAGTGCTTGTCTGGCCAAAGCAAGGCCCCAACTTCAATCCTCAGTTCTGTAAATAATAAGAAAAAAATGTCAGGTATTGGTGGCTCATACCTGTAATCCTCGCTTGCTACTCAGGAGACTGAGACCTGAGGATGGAGGCTGAGACCTAAGGATTGCAGTTCAAAGCCAGCCTGGGCAGAAAAAATTTGTGAGATTCTTATCTACAATAAATTACTCAGAAAAAGCTGGAAGTGGCACTGTGGCTCAAAGTGGTAGAGTACTAGCCTTGAGCACAAAGGGACAGCACCGAGGGTTAAGTTCAAGCCCCAGGACAAGTGGCGCTGTAGCTCAAGTGGTAGAGCGCTGGCCTTGAGTTGAAGAGCTGAGGGACAGCGCCCAGGCCCAGAGTTCGAGCCCCACGACCGACAAAAAAAAAAAAAACTATATAGAGCACTCAAGCCCCAGGACAGGGATAAAAGGGACAGGGAAGTGGCGCTGTGGCTCAAGTGGTAGAGCGCTAGCCTTGAGCTGAAGAGCTGAGGGACAGAGCCTAGGCCCAGAGTTCAACCCCGACAACAACAACAACAACAAAAGCAAGAAAGTATTTGGACAGTATAAATTTAAAGTGAAATATGAAAGAGTAAAACTATTCTGTTTACTGAATAACTGAATTCAATCAGTCACTAATCTGGAAAATTCTCTTCTCACAGTTGGTTTTCAATTCATTGTCTTTCTCAGAAATTTGTTGTTTTGCTCAGATTTTTTTTTTCTGTCATGGGGCTTGAACTCTGAACTGTCACTGAGCTCTTTTGTTCAAGGATAGCCTTCTGCACTTTGAGCCACAGTTCTACTTCTAGTTTTTCAGTGGCTAATTGAAGAAAAGAGCCTCACAGGAACTTTTCTGCCTAGGCTGGTTTCAAACTGGGATCCTCAGATCTCAGCCTCTTGAGTAGCTGCCACCATAAGCCACTGGCACCCAGCTCAGATCTTGTTTTGATGGACAAATACTAATTCTCTCTTTAATACTCTCATGCACACTTAGATAAAATCAAGGGCAATTGAGAGAGAATAAGATACTCATTTCAAAAATTGTTTCTTATATATGAAATCCTTACAATAATCCTAGAAACCGGATTGAGAGGTTTTTTTTTTGCTAGTCCTGGGGCTTGAACTTAGGTCTGAGTACTGCCTCTGACCTTCTTTTGCTCAAGACTAGCACTGTACCACTTGAACCATAACGCCACTTCAAACTTTTACTGTTTATGTAGTACTGAGGAATTGAACCCAAGGCCTCATGGGTGCTAGGAAAGCACTCTACCACTAAGCCACATTCTCAGATATTTTTTGTATTAATGAGATAAACAAGACCCAAGATAAGTTAAGTCGCTTTCTCAAGGACATTCAAGAGTGAGTAGCAAAGGTAGGGCTTACACTCAAGTTTGTATGGTTCTAGCTACTATGCCTTGTCTCCTATGCGTGTCGTCTCACACTGATAAATTATGAACACACTGTCCTTTATTAAACTATTTGTCCCAAAGATTAATATTCGTATGTTTACATGTTTCAGATAATTTCTCTAGCTCACTACATTCCATATCAATTCCATATAAATATTATTTTTATGAATTTATTTTTAAAAATATGACCTAAGGATTCTGAAAAGTGATTGAGAGTTAAGTAAATACCACTAATTTGTTTTGATTATAGATTGATGACATTAGCAGATCAAGATATTTCTCCAAATTCAAAGTGTACTTCAAAGCCAGCATCAGGTAATAGATAATAACACTATTATTTTCATGATTATGTATTTATTTCTACTACAGTATAGCATGTATTAATAAACTAGGTACTCCAGGAAACTGACTTTTTAACCTTGGTTGTATTTGAGAAATAAAGATGTATGGGTTACCCGGCTGCCAGTGGCTCACGCCTGTAATCCTAACTACTCAGGAGGCTGAGATCTGAGGATCACGGTTCAAAGCCAGCCTGGGCAGGAAAGTCCGTGAAACTCTTATCTCCAATAAACCACCAGAAAACACGGAAGTGGTGCTGTGGTTTAAGCTGAAGAGATAAGGGACAGCATCCAGGCCAAGTTTAAGCCCCACGACCAACAAAAAAAAAATGTATGGGTTAGAAAGTGGGCCTTAATTATTCCTATAACATGCCTCATTTATTTATTTATTGAATATTTACTGAATATCTACACTAGGCATTGTTATGTATACTAGGAAATGAAACCCTTTCCTTCCCTTGTAGATTTCAGTAGTAGGAGAGGATAATATGCAAGCAGATATATTATGGTCATTTGTGATGATTGAAAACTAATAGGATCAACAAAGTATCTTGCATTATTGTCATTCTTTTATTTGTTTTATTATTTGAATAAATTTAATAAGGTATTTATATCCTTTTTAACTTCTGCTACGTCTCACATTTCTTTTTTTTTATTTCCTCCAAGTTTTGTGCTATTTGGGAATAATAAATTGCTATTTCAAGGGACATTAAATGGTTTAAAATGTTTGCATGAACTAATATATAAATGTACACATACACAATCTTTAAGAAAGAGTTCCATTAAACATTTACTAAATGCCAGGCATTAGGAGCTGGGTATAGAAATGATGAAGGTCATATTCAGTGCTGATGGCTCACATCTATAATCCTAGTGACCGAGGCTGAATTTGAAGCCAGCCTGAGCAGACAAATATGAGACTTTTATCTCCAGTTAACCTGCCAAAAGCTGGAAGTGGGAGTGTTGTTCAAGCAGTAGAGCTTCAGCCTTAAACAAAGCAAGAGGCCCCAAGTTCAAGCCTCAAGACCAAAATTGAACTTGCAAAATCACTAATCCTTGGAGGGACTAAAGTACCTTCAACTTTAGAGGATAAACATTAGGAAGCTTTGTTTTATAGATCAACTAATAAAGGGACTGCAAGAAAAGACAAGAAATGAAAGGAAACATGGTAAAGGTATATAAAAGCCATGATCTTTTCACTTAAGTCTTGCCAAATTGAAAGTTTTGCTTCTGGTGGAAGTACTATTTATAAAGCATCCAGGATCATCTAGAATTATGCATGCTTTTGTTTTCTTTTATATATTGATTTTCTTGAAATTTAAAATTAAATCATGTTTTACTCCAAGGTTTTTGTTCTATTTTTGTCAGTCATAGGTCTTGAACTCTGGGCCTGGGCACTGTCCATGAGCTTTTCAACTCAAGGCTAGCACTCTACCATTTGAGCCACAGCACCACTTTTGGTTTCCTGGTAGTTTATTGGAGATAAATGTCTCAGGGACATTCCTGCACTTTGAACCGTGATGCTCAGATCTCAGCCTCCTGAGTAGCTAGGATTACAGGCATGACCCATCAGAGCCTGACTTCCTAGGTATTTTTTTTTGTGGGGGGGGGGGGGGTCCCGTCATGGGGCCTGAACTCCTGGGCGCTGTCCCTCAGCTCTTCAGCTCAAGGCTAGCGCTCTACCACTTGAGCCACAGCACCACTTCTGGCTTTTTTTCTCTTTGCTTATGTGGTGCTGAGGAATCAAACCCAGGGCCTCAGGCATGCAAGGCAAGCGCTCTACCACTGAGCCACCTCCCCAGCCCTTCCTAGGTATTTTTTACATATTAAATTTTTTTATTGTTAGATACAGAGGTGATGTACAGAGGGGTTACAGTTACATGAGTCAGGTAAAGAGTGTATTTTTTTTAATGTTTAAATGTTACCCCTTCCCTCACACTCTCCCTGTTTTTTCCCTCTTTTTACATATTATCAGCAAACTCAACTGTGTTTTCTTTGTGTGCCAGACTATTTACTAAATGTTAGGGCATTAGGAAATGATGGTTTTCCTGCCCTCAAGATTCCTGTGGTCTACAACAAAGACAGACAGACAGTTTTTTGACTATTGACAAAAGAAGGGCTATAGCAGGATAGGAGATAAAAGGTTTGAATAAGATAAGCAAGGCCTGAGTATGCATTAAATGAGTATAGAACCAGGTATAGTGGAAAACATCAATAGTCGCTGCTACTCAAGGAGGTGTGAGCCAAGATGATGACTTGAGCCCAGAAGTCTGAGGCCAGCCTGGGCAATAGAACAAGACCCTGTCTCAAATATTAAACAAACAAATACTGACAGAAAAGTTGCAGTAGAAAAGTTCCTGAAACACAGGAAAGAGGGAATGATAGAATAATTAACAAAGAATTTTAATTATACATTTCTACTAAATGAGAGGAAAAAAAAACTTCACGTATTGCTTCTCTGAAACCTGAAGCTCTGGAGATAAAAGTATTTTAAGGATATTTTCTCATATCTGAGGCAAGTGAGTTTATCTAACACGTGTTGTTATTTTTTCCTAAACAATTACAAAAGTACAGTTATTAAAATAATGGTTTTTATTTTGCTTTGTCTTTATTTATAGGGACATGTTAATAAATAATTAAAGTATTAAACTATTCTTTTATTTATAGATAATGCAGCTTGTGAGGCTTTACTTGCTGAGAAAACTTGCCTTCCAACCCTTGAAAATACAAAGCAAAAAGCAAGTATTGAAGTAGAATAACCATATAACTCATAATTACATTAATAAAGGATATACACTTAAGTAATACTTTATATGAACTCTATGTAAGACAATAATTAAAAGCATTTTAGAATTTGGCAATTAGATTATTCTATTTTATGAAAAACTGCAGTATACACATGCATATGTACTGCTTGTAAAATTAATCAAAGAAATAGCATGTATTTTACATTTTTTCAACTCTTCTTTGAATGATTGGATTCCATTAATCATTAATTTAAGTTGTAAATGAGAAATTTAGTATGTATCCAGAGCATCATTTTATGCTGAAGATTACTTGTGAGTCAATGTTAGGCAATATGTTAGAATCTGAAGATCTCTGAACTTTGAATGGCTTTTCATTAATTCTATCTTTTCTTTGTACCATTTCAGTGAGATAAATAGTAGCTTATTTAACTGATTGATATCTAAGAAAACTGAAGCTTAGATTCTCATCATGTGTTTAGGAGCTTGTGGCAGGGCTTTCTTGATCTAAAACCATACTTTTCCCATTTCAACATACATTGTATAGATTAGAGAACAGGAAGAGCAAAAATGTTAGCAAGGAGATCCGTTAGTAAGAAGTTACAAGGATTTTCTGGTGAGTGTTTGTATTGGCTTTGATCAGGACATTTTATAGGAGAGCTAGGAAGACATACATGGATTGTAGATAGATATGCCTGCAGAGTCCATAGATTGAGAGGAAAAGGAGTAAGAAGTGCTAAGAAAAGCTTCCAAGTTTCACAATCAACAAAGTGAATATACTATCCGCAGAACAGGAGAGAGTCTTTGTGAAATAGTCACCTGACAAGAACATTATCCAGAATATATAAAGAACTCAAATATATAAAGAAATAAAAAGGTTAACCACCAAAAAATAGGTAACTCATCATTAAGTGGACAAATGAACTCACCAGACACTTTTCAAAAGAAGTACAAATAACCAATAAAAATGTTCAACATTTTTAGCCATCTGGGAAATATAAATCAAACTATACTGAGATTTCATCTCATCCCAGTTGAGTGGCTCACATCAAGAAAGCAAACAAAGCCAAGTGCTAGTGTTTTATGCCTATAATCCTAATTACTTGGGAGATGGAGCTCAGGAGTCTTGTGGTTCAAGGCCAGCCCAGGCAAACATTTCTTTTTTTTTAATTTTAATTTTTTATTGTAAAGATACTATACAGAGGGTTACAGTTACATGAGTGAGGTAATGAGTACACTTCCTATTGACCATTGTTACCCCCTCCATTGTTTTTCCCCTACCAACCCTACCCTCCCTACCTTCCCTGAGGTTCTTTTTTTTTTTTTTAATTGTGATTAAGTGATTACATAATTTCCCAAATTTCACAGTATTGTGGAATAATGATGCTCATTTAAAGTCACAAGTTCATTCTAACTTTCCTGGAGCAAATTGTCTATCACAGTCTATAACATATAACGGTGTACACATATACACCATACAAGTGATCAGCAGCATGGGGATATTTAGTAGTGGTTCGACCAGATGAGTGGGAGTTCTTTGTTCCTTAAGTCCTGTTAATTTTGTCGTATCACCTAGCATTTTGGATTTAGCATCCACTTATCAGGGAGACCATGTACCGTTTGTCTCTTTGCTCTTGGCTTACCTCGCTCAACATGATTCCTTCTAGCTCCATCCATTTCCCTGCAAATGCCAGGCAAACATTTCTAAGGCATACCTCCAACCAATAGCTAGGTCTAATGGTAAACACCTGTCATCCCAGCTTCATGGGAGACTGATAGTTTTATGGTCCCAGGCCACTTGGGTAAAAAGTTCATAAGACACCATCTCAAAAGAAAAAGGTGAGTATAATAGCATTAACCTGTCATCTCAGGTATAGAGACAGGCATCAGGAGAATTGTGGTCAAACATGGAGACTGAACAGTAACAGTACATTACTTCAATGACCAGTGAGTCATTCAAGGAGGAAATCCAAAGTCCCTTGAATCTAATGGAAGTGAAAACTCAACATGCTGAAATCACAAGGATACTACTGCAAAGGCAATGCCAAGAGAAACATTTATCGCTATGAGCACTTAGATCAAAATAACAGAGCAATCTCAAATAACCTAATGATGTACCTTAAGCTCTTAGAAAAACCCGAACGGTGTTGATGATGTAGGTACCATCAGGAGGGGGAAAGGCTAACAGGGTGAATGAGGATGACTAGTGTCTAAGTAGTTTATTTGCTTTTATGAAAATAGGATAATGAAACCTATTTAAATTGTTTTAAGAAGAGACAAGGTGTATTTGAGGGCGTGTTGGAGGGGATGAATTTGACCAAGATGCCTTATATGAGTATATGGCAATGTCACAATGAAACACTCTTGTATGGTAATAAGAAAATGCCAAAAAGAGAGAGAAAAAAAAAGCCAAGAACAAGCCAATTCCAAAACAAGCAGGCAGAAAGAAATAATAAAGATTTAGGCATTGGGGCTGGGAAGGTGGCTCAGTGGTAGAGCGCTTGCCTTGTATGCATGAGGCCCTGCATTCGATTCCTCAGCACCACATAAGCAAAAAGAAAAAAAAGCCGGAAGTGGTGCTGTGGCTCAAGTGGTAGAGCACTAGCCTTGAGCTGAAGAGCTGAGGGACAGTGTCCAGGGCCAGAGTTCAGGCCCCAACGACCGGACCAAACAAAAAGATTTAGGCAGAAAATAATGAATTGGAGACTAAAAAAATACAAAGAATTGATTAAACTGTTAGTTGTTTCTCGGAAAGAATACATAAAATTAGTAAACTTTTAGCCAAGCTAATCAAAAGATTTTGAGTATTTTCATTAAAATTTGATTTTAAATATTGATAGGGCCCCCATTCCCACTATTTTCCTTTTCAAGTTTTTAAAAATTTTATTATAAAGGTGATGGAGAGAGGATTAATATACTTTTTTTTTCTTGGAAAAAACAGGCTTTGTTTTGTTTTATTTTGCAGTGCTGAGGACTGAACTAGCATGTGCTCTATCACTGCGGCATGTGCTCTACCATTGCAACACATTCCTAATCATGCATGCACTATTGGAAAGATGTTACCTAAAATTTGGCAGGGAAATTTTTTGAGATGATTAATCTACCTGTTATGTCTTTCAACAGATTAATTTTCCCTTAAATATATAGAACATTGCTAATGGCTCACACCTGCAATCCTAGCTTCTCAGGAAGCTGAGATCTTAGCATTGTGGTGTGAAGCCAGCTGGGGAAGGAGGGGAAGGAACGTTTGTAAGACTCTCTATCTCCCATTAACCACCAAAAAAGCCCAGAGTGGCACCCAAGTGGTTGAGTGCTAGTCTTGAGCTAAAAAGGCTCAGAGACAATGTCCAGACTCTTGAGTTCAAGCCCCAGATATAGATGTAGACATAGATGTAAATCAAAGTGTTTTTGATGTTGTTTTGTTTGGCTTGTTTTTTGAAGTGTTAGAGATGGAACCCAGGGTCTTGTGTATGCTAGGCAAGCACTGTACCACTTAGCTACATCCCTAACTCTAGAGCACATTTTTATTTTTAGAAAATAATTCGTATGCCTAAATTCTTCTGTTTAATTTTAAGGAATAAAAGGACATCTGAGACGTACTGGAAATGTTTTTATGGCACTACGTATTGCATTTCATAATTCTGAATTTGTTTCAGCCTGAAAAAGATTCTGAAGATAGTGAAACAAATGTTCAAACAAAGTTTAACTCTCATCATCGAAAAATCAAGGCTCTGTCATCCCACCATAGGTCTGCTTTTGAAAGCAGTGCTGGTAGATCAGTCACCGAAGGTCTGCTGCCTGAGCCCCTGGGTCTTTCGTTGGTAAGCTTGAGTCTTTTATTAACTCACAATTCTTGAAAAAAAAAAAAAAAAAAGAAAAACCACTACTTGGAAAGATTTAGAAATGCAAAAATGTCCTGGAGAACATAGGAGAAAATGAGACAATGTCCTAGTTGGGTGTATCAGTTAACCACACTCCTTAAAGTGTAACATGTGGTTCTTTGTTTAAGGAGAGCTGAGCAGCACCCCTCTGAGGCTAGTAGTGATGGTGATAATAGCTCTTATTGAATATCTGCGGCTCTCCAGACATCATAGGCTCTCTTAAGGTATTATTTGTGATCCTTCCTCATCAATCCCTAGGAGTAGAATACTGCTTACGGTTTAGGTGAGGAAAATTGAAAGATGATATAGCTAAGAAACTACATCAGTGTACCAAGTAAATTTTTAAGTAAATAATTTTTAAGGGCTGGGAAGGTGGCTCAGTGGTAGAGTGCTTGCCTTTCATGCATGAGGCCCTGGGTTCAATTCCTCAGCACCACATAAGCAAAAAGAAAAAAAAGCCAGAAGTGGCGCTGTGGCTCAAGTGGTAGAGCGCTAGCCTTGAGCTGAAGAGCTGAGGGACAGCGCCCAGGCCCAGAGTTCAAGCCCCATGACCGGACCCAACAAAAAAATTAAAAAATAATAATAATTTTTAAGTAAAAAATTTCCCAATAATCTATTTCAGATTGTTTTGTACTCAAAATTAAGAGATTTTAAGCCAGAAGGAAAACAAAAAGAGTAACAGAAAGAAAAAAAAGAAGCCTAACACAAACTGTCCTATGATTGTGTGTATGTGCACACACGTGCACATGTATATGTGCACATGCTCAGTGTGCCAGTCTTGGGGCTTGAACTCAAGGCTTTTTTTGCTCAAGACTAGCACTCTACCCGCTTGAGCCACAGCTCCACTTTCAACTGTTTTGGTAGTTAATTGGAAATAAGAGTGTCACAGACTTTCCTGCATGGACTAATTTCAAACCTTGATCCTCAGATCTCAGCCCCATGAGTGGCTGGGATTACAGACTGGCATGAGCCACTAGCACTTGGCTTTTTCCTGTGATTTTTTTTTTTTTTTGGGTCCGGTAGTGGGGTCTGAACTCTGGGCCTGGGCGCCGTCCCTCAGCTCTTCAGCTCATGGCTAGCGTCTACCACTTGAGCCACAGCGCCACTTCTGGCTTTTTTCTTTTTGCTTATGTGGTACTGAGGAATCGAACCCAGGGCTTCGAGCATGCAAGGCAAGCGCTCTACCACTGAGCCACCTTCCCAGCCCTTCCTGTGATTTTTTTAAAAGAATTTTATCCCTAAATTTGAGTTTCACACGTGGCATAACATAATAGATCCCTATTCAAGAGAAATTTATTGGAAAGACAAGATTTTTTATGGAATCTAAGAGTTGGAAAGGCAGCTGATTACTAGAAATAAAGCTGTCTCTTTGTCTATCATTTTCTGCTGTGTTTTTCTACCTATCTTTTCTGTCTTGTGTTTTGTCTCTTTCAGTGAAAAGCTGTCTTTCCTGTTGTCTGTCTTGATTTTTTTTTTGTTTAGTTGTTTTTTGTTTGTTTTTTTGATTGTTGTTGTTTTCCAGTTGTGGGGCCTGAACTCTGGGCCTGGGTGCTGTCCCTCAGCTCTTCAACTCAAGGCGAGCTAACTTTACCACTTGAGCCACAGCACCACTTTCAGCTTTTTTTTTTTTTTTCTGCTTATGTGGTGCTGAGGAATCAAATCCAGGGCCTCATGCATGCAAAGCAAGTGCTCTACCACTGAGCCACCTTCCCAGCCCTTGATGTTCCTTTTTCTGCCCTACATCTATAACTCATTCTCTGCTAAAGTTTCTGTTAGTGTCATCTTTTTTCTCCTTCTCTTCTCCCTACTTCCCTCAATCTGCCACACTCTTTCTCTTCCTTTGCCTTTACATATTTCATTTTCCCTCCATCTTATTTCTTCCCCACTGGTCTTTTCTTTTCTTTTCTTTTCTTTTGTCAGTCGTGGGGCTTGAACTCTGAGTTTGGGCGCTGTCCTTGCACTCTTCAGCTCAAGGCTAGCGCTCTACTGCTTGAGCCTCAGCATCACTTCCAGTTTTCTAGTGGTTTATTGGAGATAAGTCTCAAGAACTTTTCTGCCCAGGCTGGCTTTGAACCGCTACGCTCAGATGTCAGCCTCCTGAGTAGCTAGGATTACAGGTGTGAGCCACCGGCGCTTGGCTCCCCACTGGTCACTTCTACCTCTCTTCTTCCCTCTTTCCCAACTGTCAGTCAGACTCTCACTCTCCTTGTTCTTTTTACTTATTGAATCTTTTTCTTTCTTTCCTCCTCTTTTACTCTTTCTTGCTTTGCCAAATGTGTCTCTATCTTTTTGCAGCCTCAAGAAATAGAAAACAAGTACTTTCTATATTATAGTTTCTTTAACTTCTTCACTTCCATAAGTGAAAGTTTTTGTTTTGTTTTGTTTTTTGGGGGGGTCCGGTCATGGGGCCTGAACTCTGGGTCTGGGCGCTGTCCCTCAGCTTTTCAGCTCAAGGCTAGCACTCTACCACTTGAGCCACAGCGCCACTTCCGGCTTTTTTCTTTTTGCTTATGTGGTGCTGAGGAATCAAACCCAGGGCCTCATGCATGCAAGGCAAGGCAAGCGCTCTACCACTGAGCCACCTTTCCAGCCCCGTGAAAGTTTTTATTTTTTTTTTTTTGGGTCCGGTCGTGGGGTCTGAACTCTGGGTCTGGGTGCTGTCCCTCAGCTCTTCATCTCAAGGCTAGCACTCTACTACTTGAGCCACAGCGCCACTTCCGGCTTTTTTCTTATGTGGTGCTGAGGAATGGAACCCAGGGCCTCGAGCATGCAAGGCAAGTGCTCTACCACTGAGCCACCTTCCCAGCCCCCCGTGAAAGTTTTTATATACATTTAATATTATATATTTAAAACCAATCCCCATTGCTACACACATTTTAATAGCTTCAGAAATAACACAATTCCTTTCCATACAACATGATTCTTTTCCATGAAAGTACAATAAGGGGCTTGGGGACTTAGCTCAGTGGAAGACCACTTGCCTAACAAGTGTAAGGCCCTGAGTTCCATACTCAGATCTGAAAAAAAGAAAAAATACAGCTGGGCATCAGTGCCTCCCTCCTGTAATTCTAACTACTCAGGAGGTTGAGACCTGTGGATCATAGTTCAGAGCCAGCCCAAGCAGGAAAGTCTGTGAGACTCCTATCTCCACTAAACTACTCAGCAAAAGCTGAAAGTGACACTGTGGTTCAAGTGGTAGAGTGCTAGCCTTAAGCATAGAGTGGCTTAGGGACGGAGCCCAGGCCCTGAGTTCCAGCCCCAGGACCAAGAAAAAAAAGTACAATAATATGCTAGGAATTAAGAAAATATTATATATAATATGCTATATAATTATAATTATTTATAATAATACTTATATAATATGTAAGTATTAAAATTACAAGTAATTAAATTATACTATATATAGTATACATGTATACTATATATATGTATATAAGCAATAAAAAGGTAACCAAGCTGGGTGCTAGTGGCTCATGCCTATACTACTACTACTCAAGAGGCTGAGATCTGAGGATCAGGGTTCAAAGCCAAGAAAAAAATCTGCAAGCCTCTTATCTCTAATTCAATTAACCTCTAAAAAAACAGAAGTCAGAAATTGAGCTGTGGCTCAAAGTGGTAGAGAGCTACCCTTGAGCAAGAAAAGCTCAAGGACAGTGCCTAGGCCCTGAGTTCAAGCCCTATAACTGACACACACACAAATAAAGTAACCAAACAGTGTTTCCTAATGCAGCACTGACTAGCTTCTCTTCCTACATTAATAGTAATTTCAGCCAGAATATTTTCATATAGTTGTTAGGCCCCATACAGTTTTCTTGGGAGCTGTTTCACCTAGCTCATACCAGAAAATTCTTTAGTTTCCTGTCCAGTGGCTTAAAATTAACAGATTGAAGATTTTATTGGTTTATTATGATCCAGTCAACTAACTTTAACTTGTAGTTTAAAGTATTTTTCTGCCACCCAACCTCTATTTTATAAACATTTATAGAAAACAAATGCTGTTATTCCTGATGAGAAGAACAGATGCCTGTTAACAAGTACTCCATATTCAAAGAAAGTCGATTTTGTGGTGAGTGTTAGCCTTTGGCATTTATGGTATCTGTTTTCTAACTTCTGTCCCCATTCTTCTGTTTATGTCATACCAAGGACATATTGCTTGAAGATAAAAACATCTGTATGTTCATTGGGCATAAACATACTTGCATTAAAAGTACTTTATATGCTTTACATATGTGAAGAAATTAGTACATTGTATCACCAACGACTGTTCTTTTTATCCCAAAATATATGTAATATAAAATTTAAAATCCTAGCTGTTGAAGAGCATAATTCAAGTATATTTACATGGTCATTCAGCCATCACCACAATCCAACTCTAGAACATTTTCTATCTTGTAAAACTGAAACTCCTATTAAATGGTAACCTATTAAGTGGTAACTCCCTATTCTTTTCCTCCCCAGCCTCTTCCCTCATTCAGCCTCTTGTAACTACCATTCTTTTTTTTTGCCAGCCGTGGGGCTTGAACTCAGGGCCTGGGCACTGTCCCTGTCCTGAGCTTCTTTGGCTCAGGAAGCTGTATTATTAGTCCTTTGATTTGTTAATTTGTTTGTTTTCTTTGTTTGTTGGCAGTCCTGGAGGGTTGAACTCAGGGCATTATGCTTGCCAAGGCAGTTGCTTTAGCCCTTTTTATTGTAGCTATTTTTGAGATTTTGCCCAGGCCAGCCTAGACTGTCATCTTTTTATTTACATTTCCCACAGTAGCAGGGATGATAGATGCATGCTAGTTTTTTCTGCTGTTTTGGGGTTTCTTAGACATTCTTGCTTTGGCATGGAACTGCAATCCTTCTAATTTCAGCTTCCCACATATCTGAGATGACAGGCCCATACCATCAAACCCAGAAATTGGTTGACATAGGGAGTCTCATTAACTGTTTGCTACAACTAGTTGTTTTTTGTTTTTTGCTAGTCGTGGGGCCTGATCCCTAGGCCTGGGTGCTATCCCTAAGCTCTTCAGGTCAAGGCTAGCACTCTACCACTTGAGCCACACCACTACTTCCAGCTTTTTCTGCTTACATGGTGCTGAGGAATCAAACCCAGGGCCTCCTGCATGCAAAGCAAGCACTCTACCACTGAGCCACCTTCCTAGCCCTACAACTAGTCTTGAACCTCTATCCTCCCGATCTCAGCTTCCAGCATAGCTGGGATTACAGGCTTTCATTATCTAACTTGAACTCAAATTCAATGCGACAGTACATGTAAATCTGTGTTTTTTGTACACTCACAAGATTGTGTAACCATCACCATAATGGAATTCAAGAACACTTTATCATCTCATTAACAGTCACCCCTTACTCCCTATCCCACCTTCCAGCCTCTAAAGCTAATAGCTTAGTTTATCCTTACAGGTTTGCTCTTCCTAGATATTTTATGTAAGTAACTTGTGGCTTACTGTGCCTGGCTTCTTTCACTTGACATAATATTTTCAAAATTCATGTTGTGTAGCATCACCAGGACTTAATTGCTTTTCCTTGATTAAATAATATTCTACTATATGGATCTACCACATTTTTTTACCAACTCAGTTTATGGTGTTTGTTTCTTCTTGTTATCTATTTTGATTGCTATAAAAGTTTGTGTGTAAGTTTTTGTGTGAAAACATGTTGGTTTCTTTAGTATATACCTAGGAATAGTAGTTGAATTGCTGGTTCATATAACTAACTATATAGGTTTAATAACTTTTTGAAGTGGGCTTTTAAAAGTTTTGTTTATTCTTTTCTTTTTGGTGCCTGCCCTAGGTACTGTCCCTGAGCTTTTTTTACTCAAGGTGAGCACTTTACCACTTCAGCCACAGCCTCACTTCCAGCTTTTTGATAGTGAATTGAAAAATCAGAATCTCACGATCTTTCCTGAACCTCTATCCTCAGATCTTAGTCTCCTGAGTAGCTAGGATTACACACATGAGCAACTGGTGCTCAGTAAAGTTTTACTTTTTTAAGTGATATAATGCGCATTCAATTTAAAGTGTACTATTCCATGTTTTGTAGCTTAGTCTTGCATATGTGCTGTCATCATATTTAATTTTAGAATATTTTTAATTACTCCTGAAAAAAATCTCCACATCCTTAACATCCTACACCCCTTGCTTCTTCACCCTGCTCTTCAGTTCTGTTCTGGACATTTCACACAAATGGAATAAAATATTATAGTCTTTTTTATGACTAACTTCTCTCACTTCACATAATGTTTTTATGGTCCTGGTAATTAAACACAGGGATTTATGTGAGCCAGGTAAGCTGTGTACCACTAAGCTACCCAAGCCCTAGCACAATGTTGCTAAGATTTACCTACAGCTCAAGCAGAAAAGGTCAGATAAGTTGATGTTAGGGAAATGAACGCTAAGATATGTATTCAAATGTTTTTTTCTTTCAGGCAATTGTTTCTAACACATTTATAAGATTATTTCTTTGTTGCTTTGTATGTCCCTCCCCCACAGTATAACCCCTGCTTTCACTGTATTTGATGTTGGTATAATTTGTGGAGAGGAAGGGAAAAAACAAATTGTTTAAATAGGGATACAGGTGGACCCATTGCAACAATGAGATGTACAAGTCATTATGTCAAAAACGAACGTTACAACTTTGGTGGGGGGGGGGGGTATGGGAAGGGATGTGAAGGGGAAACAAAGGAGGAGGCTACAATGCTTGATAAGAAGTGTACTCATTATCTTGCCCATGTAATTGTAACAGTATTTTCACAATAAAAAAAAAGATTTACCTATAGCATCATGCTTCAATACATCATTCCTTCTTAAGACTGCATAATATGTTGATAGAAATTTCAGTTGTTTCCATTTATAATTATTATGAGTAACATTGCTATAAACATCTCATTTGTTTACCAACTTTATGTGGATGGATGTTTTTGTTTGTCTTTGATATTTACCTAAAAATGAACTTCTATATTATATGAAAACTGATTTCAGTAACTTCCAGACTTTTTCCAAAATGTGTCTGAACAAGTTTGTATTTGAGGCTAGCCTGGGCTAGATAATCCTTATTTTAAAACAAAAACATTCAAGCCCTATAACAAAACAAAAGCATTCCCAACAACCGCATATGAGTGTTTTGATTTCTCCTGTCATCATCCATTCTTTGGGGTGTGAAATGATAGCTCTTTGTGATTGTGATCTTGCATATCTTACTTAATTGGAGATAGTCTTACAAACTTTCCTGCCCTAGCTGGCTTTGATGTATGTGATCCTTAGACTGCAGCCTCCTGAGTAGCTACAATTATAGGCCTGAACCACCAGCATATTTATGTATTCTGGATACTAGATCCTTATTTATCTGCAAATCTTTTCTCCCATTCTTTTTTGTTTTTTTTTTGGTTGGTCGTGGGGCTTGAACTCTGGGCCTGGGCGCTGTCCCTCAGCTCTTCAGCTCAAGGCGAGCGCTCTACCACTTGAGCTACAGCGCCACTTCCGGTTTTCTGGTGGTTTATTGGAGATAAGAGTCTCACGGTCTCTCCTGCCCGGACTGGCTTTGAACCGCGATCCTCAGATCTCAGCCTCCTGAGTAGCTAGGATTACAGGCGTGAGCCACCAGCGCCCGGCTTCTTTTTTTTTTTTTTTAATCTACTTTCTGAGTCCTACCCACTGCCCAGAAAGCCTGGGGCTCCTGGTGCTGCAGCCAGGTCTCGGCTTCCTCCCCACCGTCTCCACGTTCTTCCCTGGTTCTTCCCTCCTGGCCTTCCACTCCCTTTCTCCCCAATGCCTCCTGCCCGCCTGCTTTCCCCTCTTCCCCTCCAGTCTCTCCCTCCTGTTTGTGCCTTGGCAGCTGCTTCCAATGCAGCAAGATGCACCTCTTTTCTCCTATTCTGTGGGCACATACTAGGAAAGTATTTTAAAATATTTTGAAAAGGGCTAGGAAGGTGGCTCAGTGGTAGAACGCTTGCCTTGCACGCATGAGGCCCTGGGTTCGATTCCTCAACACCATATAAGCAGAAAAAGCTGAAAGTGATACTGTGGCTCAAGTGGTAGAGTGCTACCCTTGAGCTGAAGAGCTGAGGGACAGCACCCAGGCCCAGAAAATTCCTTGAGAATATTCAATAACTTGGCATTTTTAGGCCCGATTTTTTTTTTTTTTTTTTTTTTTGTCAGTCATGAGGCTTGAACTCTGGGCTTGGGCGCTGTCCCTGCACTCTTCAGCTCAAGGCAAGTGCTCTATCACTTGAGCCACATTGCCCCTTCCAGTCTTCTAGTGGTTTATCGGAGGTAAGAGTCTCACGGACTTGCCTGCCTGGGCTGGCTTTGAACCGTGATCCTCAGATCTCAGCCTCCTGAGTAGCTAAGATTACAGGCCTGAACCACTGGTGCCCCACTTTGGCCCAAATATTATTACCAACTTAATCTGCTAATAATTGCTTTTGGGTTGAACCACAGATTGCAGTAAAACACACACACATACACACACACACACATACACACACACACAAATACCCTTCATACATAAGCTGTCAGCCTTAGGTAGCCACTCTAAAGATGGCTAATTGTTAAGAACCTATGGACAACTTAATTCTCTAGGATATCATTTTAGTATGACAGTGGTAAGAGTATCTAAGGCACACATGGAGAAGCATGAAAATTTTCTGTCCTCCTAAGAGGAAGAGAATGTAAGTAAGAGTAGCTACCTCTTAGCTTCCACCCAGTGCATCTGATAATCTATTCTAGGCATATATGAAAGTGGTGTAGCCTTGGTTGAGACCAGATTACCCTAGTCAGATCTAGCTTGTCAACATGCTTGATCCTCTTAAAGCTAAAGTTTATAGATCCTGAACATACTTTTAGGTATTTTTAACTTTGATTTATAAATACATGGTGATTTCAGTAATATGATAGATAGATAGATAGACAGACAGACAGACAGACAGACAGACAGACAGACAGACAGACAGATAGATAGATAGATAGATAGATAGATAGATAGATGAATATAGCACTCAGAAGACAGTTCTATTTCTGGAGATAGACATTTAAAAAAATCACCTTGGGAAATGGTGCTGTGGCTCAAGTGGTAGAGCTCTAGCCTGAGCTAAAGAGCTGAGGGTGGTGCCCAGGCCCAGAGTTCAAGCTCCATGACTGATCAGAAAAAAAAAAAAGAGAGAAATACTATTTAAGAGCAGAGAGACAAGTGGCACATGGTCTCCCCAAAATGCAAAGAGATATGACAAAGTAAAGAGACCTCAAGAAACAAAGAGCCTACACTCAATTTGTCATATCATTTCTAAATGACTCCATGTTTTTGACCATATATATGGTATAGATATGTGCACATCTGAGGGGAGCTAGGAGGAGGGCACAGAATCAGAGGGAAATGGGAAAATATACAACAGAGGGGCCCATCAACTGCACTAGACATTGATGAAAACGAACTAAGCAACTCAAGGGCAGCGATGGGAAGGAGGGAAGGAGAAGGAAAGAGGGAACAGCTTATACTAAGCAAAAGGAAAGAAATGTACATACCACCCAATATGGAAGAAATAGTTGTATTGTTAAATCTCATAGAATTCACAAACATCAGAGACCATGATAATGACAATTTTCCTTGTGAAGGTTAAAATGTGTTTGTGATTTTAAATATCACTATCTCATCATACTGTGAAATTTATGTAATCACTTAATCTCAATAAAAAATATTTTTTAAAAATTCACCTAGGTAGATAAGGAGAGGAAAGAACAAAACACTAGAGTATGTTTATACTTAAAGAAACACAAGGAAGCCAGGTACAGGGTGGCTCATACGTGTAATCCTAGCTGCAGTCTGAGAATTGAGGTTCAAGGTTCAAAGCTACACTGGCAAAGAAAAGTCCATGAGAGTCCTATCTCCAGTTAATCACACATATACACACAGAAAAGCTGGAAATGGAACTGTGGCTCAAGTTGTAGAGCTCCAGCATTAAGGGAAAAAAGCTAAGGGACAGCACTCAGGTCCTGAGGTCAAGCCCCATATCTGGCTCATATATGCATGCAACACACAGACACAGAGAAAAGGAAGGAAATTGTTCTGGGAGATATGGTTGCCAGGTAGTCAAATTTCATTAGTAAAAACCAGTAAATATAATGGATGGATGAATTAAAAATAGATTTATACTAAGGCAAAAAATTCTGTTTGAGAAGTAACTTTAAGGGGCTGGAAGTGGTAGAGCACTTGCCTTGCATGCTCGAGGCCCTGGGTTCAATTCCTCAGCACCACGTAAGAAAAAAGCCAGAAGTGGCATTGTGGCTCAAGTGTAGAGCGCTAGCCTTGAGCTGAAGAGCTGAGGGACAGCGCCCAGGCCCAGAGTTCAGGCCCTACGACCAGACCCAAAAAAAAAAAAGAGAAGTAACTTTAACATAAAAAAATCATTAGGATCTTTCTTTACATTGATTTTTACATGGGTAAACATTTTTGGAAAATTATTTCCTAACATCCACAATTATATTCATTCATATGAAATTGTTCATAACTCAAATTCACAAGAAAATGCTTCCAATAATATAGTATTTTTAACTTTAGCTTAATTACTTAAAAAATAATTGCTTTTGAAACTTGTACAAAAGAGTAACCTATTCTTTTATAGGTTGAATTGTCCTCAGTGCGAAAAGCAACTTTTGAAGAACTGTTTCCAAATGTCAGCAATTATGTTAATTCAAATGAAGTCACTCCTATATCACGTTCACAAGAAAATTCAAATGAGGTAGCATTTTCAATTTACCTGTAACTACTGAAATAGTTGTATTAGATACTCTGAGAAGTCTAACTCAGTTGAGGCTAACATCATTTATGTGGGATGAAGAAGCAGATATATGATTTGTAAATATTTACTCTAACTCTGTGGACTGCCTTTCCACTATTGATAGGGTCTTTTGATGCACAAAATTTTTAAATTTACGTGAAGTCTAATTATCTATTTTTTTTCATGGTCAATAACAAATGATAACCAAAAGAAAGTAAGAGTAGGCATACTTACATAAAATTGACACATAAACTATTATAAGTTTGAGAAGATTACTCAATAACAATAAAGAATAAAGGGAATGTAACAGATGAGTCACAGCTCTACTTCTAGCTTTTTGATGAATAATTTAAGACAAAAGTGTCATGGAGGGGCTGGGAAGGTGGCTCAGTGGTAGAGCGCTTGCCTTGCAAGCCTGAGGCCCTGGGTTCGATTCCTCAGCACCATATAAGCAAAAAGAAAAAAGCCGGAAGTGGCGCTGTGGCTCAAGTGGTAGAGCGCTAGCCTTGAGCTGAAGAGCTGAGGGACAGCGCCCAGGCCCAGAGTTCAGCCCCCACAACCGGACCCCCCCAAAAAAAAAAAAAGTGTCATGGACTTTCCTGCCTGGGCTGGCTTTGAACTGTCATCCTCAGATCTCAGCCTTCTTAGTAGCTAGGATTACAAGCATGAGCCACCATCTCTGGGATGAAAAGCTTTTAATAGTGAATATTTAGCGAAGGTTTTGTTTTGTTTTGTTTGTTGGTCATGGGACTTGAACTCTGGGCTTGGGCGTTGTACTTAACGCTCTTCAGCTCAAGGCGAGCCCTCTACCACATGAGCCACAGCACCACTTCCAGTTTTCTAGTGCTTTATTGGAGATAAAAGTCTCATGGACTTTCCTGCCCAGGCTGGCTTTGAACTGTGATCTTCAGATCTCCGCCTCCTGAGTAGCTAGAATTACAGGCGTGAGCCACTGGCACCCGACATCAAAGTTCTTTCTTGGGAGAGGAGTAGGAGAGAGAGGTCATTAGTCCTGTTTGGAGGCTTTCTTATTCTAGCATCTATTAGAAATTACATTTAAATAATAACAATGGCATTTTAAATACTAAGTTTATCCAAACCTTTGTTGTCCTGTTGTATAAACTGACAAAAGTTTCCAAAGAAAATGTATTTTGTATAATTTAACAATAAGACAGTTGTCACACAGTTGAGAATAACACAAGTACTCTCTAGTGATCTTTAGGACAGAATTTGCCAATTGAAATTAACTATAGATTATTACTTGTGATGTGAAACTGACTTGAGCATGACATTGCTCCCAACCACAACCCATTTCCAACTGTCACATGAATTTCAAGGATCTGGATACTGGATTTCTCATTTCAAAATCCTTCAGTTTGTATTTTTTAAATATAACTTTCAGATTTCCACAGTTGGAAATTATTTTAAGGGAACATGTAAAACAAAATATAAATGTTACTGTGGCCCTGGGAGACAGGTACACAGTCATCACATACACATATATGTAGTTGGAAGCCACCTCCTGCATTTCTGTTGCATTTTGTAACTTCTACTTTAAGCCACAATTCAAGCAAAGTACTTTGATGAACTACTTATCAGCCTTTTATTGCTGATAACCCCTGTTTCCTTTGCCCTTATCTTCTCTGCACCTTGTCTCCTATAAACTTTAGCTTCAGCTCCACTTTCTCAATTTCTGTGATAGGATGAAAGAGCATACAGATGCAGGAAAAGATACCATACCTATGAAAGAAAAAGTTGTATGCAAACAATAGAAAATAGGGGCTCGGAAGGTGGCTCAGTGGTAGAGCACTTGCCTTGCATGCATGAGACCCTGGGTTCCATTCCTCAGCACCACATAAGCAAAAAGAAAAAAGCCGGAAGTGGCGCTGTGGCTCAAGTGGTAGAGTGCTAGCCTCGAGCTGAAGAGCTGAGGGACAGCGCCCAGGCCCAGAGTTCAGGCCTTACAACCGCACCAAAAAAAAAAAAAAAGAAAAGAAAGCAGGGCATTATAAATTAGACACACCCATGCATGCATGTGCATACACACAAGAAGTCTTTCATATTGAAGTGAGCATGGACAGTTTCAGATTTCAAACTGAATGAATCTACATACACAAAGGCACCCATAAATACACAAACACTTGTAATATTATTTATCTCAGGAAAGTATCAGAACCCAATACCAACCTACAGTATAGCATGTGTTTTATAGTCATTCTCTATTGAATGCAGAACCCATATTAAATCGGGTGAACCCATGCCAGCTAGTGTCTGGAATGGGGTAAGCATTTAATAAACACTTAACTATTAATATCTATGACATGTGGTTATTAAGACTTCACATTGGAAACAAAATAGAATAAAAGCATAGCCCTGAGTTAATTCAATCACTGCTTTTCTTTTTTTTTTCAGTTTCCTTTAGATGAACCAGAAATTTGTTACATTATTAGGGCATCACCTGGAACTAGACAAGTTAAAAATAAAGATGTTATTATAAAGAAGAAGAAATATTCCCCTCCTAAGGATGTTCCTCAAGGTATAGTAGCGTGAATACAGAGCTTATTCTTTGGATTATGTGTATTTTTTCCATTGTAAATCCTTATCTACACAGAAAATTTGGTTTATAAATTACATTTTGAGTTCTTGCACAAAATAGAAATGATGATAAAGTTGTAAACATCTCATCAGGTACTCTATCATCTGAGCCAATGTCACCAGCCCTTTTTTTCTTTCCTTTTCTTTTTTTTTTTTTTTTTTTGGGTCCGGTCATGGGGCCTGAACTCTGGGCCTGGGCGCTGTCCCTCAGCTCTTCAGCTCAAGGCTAGCACTCTACCACTTGAGCCACAGCGCCACTTCCAGCTTTTTTTTTTTCCTGCTTATGTGGTGCTGAGGAATCGAACCCAAGGCTTGCTTTCTTTCTTTCTTTCTTTTTTTGTTGGTCGTGGGGCTTGCACTCTGGGCCTGGGTCACCAGCCCTTTTCTGCTTTAGTTATTTTTCAGTTTGGGTTTCATGTGTAGCTAGGACAAGAGACATGCTCCAGCCTACCTGTTGGCTTACTAATTGAGATAGGGTCTTGGTAAGTAGCTGGAATTACAGGTATGAGCCACTGTGCCTAGCCCTTATCCTATTTACTTTTTCATAATAGATAGGATGTGTACTCTCATCTCCATTTTATATATTAATATTAAAGGCTAAAGAGCTCCACAGTTTATCTAACACCTACTTAGGTAGTGGAAAGAAGTTCACTCTTTCAAAGCTTCTAAATTCAAAATAATGTGCTTTTCTTGTGTATTTTTAATTACCCTGAATATCTGATTTTTTTTTTGGGGGGGGGGGGTCCAGTCATGGGGCCTGAACTCTGGGCCTGGGCGCTGTCCCTCAGCTCTTCAGCACTCTACCACTTGAGCCACAGCGCCACTTCGGGATTATTTTTTTCTGCTTATGTGGTGCTGAGGAATTGAACCCAGGGCCTCAGGCATGCAAGGCAATCGCTCTACCACCGAGCCACCTTCCCAGCCCCAATCTGATTCTTTAGTGGAGCTTTGAGACCTTTTATGAGGAAGCAACCAGTAAAACTGAGATTGAGATTTTTATATAACTTTGAGGTCTCCAAGCTCTCTACTCTTATGTTCTCATTTCCTCCATCTTGCCTGCCCTGAACACTCTTTATGTCCACAGAGACCTCTTCTTAAATAAGTTCCTAGAATACTTAACTCAGTACTCTTCATTTGACAATTAATTGCATTAGGGTCATTTTACCTTTCTTCTGTTTTTTCATCCTATCTGCTGAAACTTTTGGCTATACCATCTGTGAATCAATATATTCCAACAGTTGGCCATTTCTCTTTCCAATAAAGCAAACAGGTACACTACTCAAAGTTCTCACCTGAAGGATTTCTTTTCATTAGTCTCCTTCAGGGATGTGTCAGAACAATATGTAAACCAAACCTGAGCTTTCTCTTCCATATTTTTCTCTACTGATTGTAAAGAATTCTCCATTTCATCATAAGTGCAGGCTGAGAAACAGATAGTAGTCTAGATAAAATGGTGTCTGTGACATTTAGGCTTTTTTTTTTTTTTTGGTCAGTTTTGGGTGCCATAGCACCACTTCCAGTTTTTTGGTAGTTAATTAGATAAGAGTCTCACAGACTTTCCTGCCCAGGTTGGCTTTGAATCATGATCCTCAGATCTCAGCCTCCTCAGTAGCTAGGATTATAGACATGAGTTACCAGTGCCTGGCTCAGGCTATTTCTTCATATAGTTTGTTTGTGCTGGCAGTACATGTTCAAGTCCATTCTTACATACACCACTAACTATCATATTGGTTAGCCGATTAAGGCTAGTAATAGACCCGATGATATTTTTAGAAAAGATTATTTATCCTCTGAGAATGACAGCTTTATTCCAAAATCCTGAGTCCATATTGTGATTCACCTATAAGGGACCTGTCAAAGGTTCCAAATAACATCTCTGTCACTGACTCTTCAAACACTAGTGGGTCTGATGGGCCATTTAATGCAACTAGCAGAACATCTGATATGTGTGTGTATGATGTGTTAGAATGTTAACAAGTGACAAGTGTCAGTGTCTTACACCTATAATCCTAGCAAAGTAGGAGCAGAAAAATCTGTGATACTCTTATCTCTGATTAAGCAGAATAAAATGGATAAATGAAGCTGTGGTTCAAGTGGTAGCACTAACCTTGAGTGCACACACACACACAATGTTCACAAGTCAAAATATAAAACCCCTAGTTTGATCTGTCTGATTAGTTTATGATGTCAGATGTTGCCAAAATTCTGGGTTTCAGCATGCAACAAATCTAAATCAAAATGTAGTGGGAGGGGAGGGAGTGGGGGGGGGGGTTCCCAATGTTTTTTGAATGTTGAGCTAATGCTGCCACCTCCTGGCTTCTTTCTAGGCTCTCACCCTAACAGTAGCCTCCTCACCTAAGTAATTCCCTTTCAACTACTGGCCACTTGTCTCTGCCTTCCTTTAGTAAAAATAGCCAAGACCCAAGCTAACTTGTGATCATGTTGTTTTAAATATACAACAGCCTATTTTTAGTCTTGGCATTTAATGTTTTAGCTAGTTTGGCAGTAATCTAATCAGAGTTATAAGGTGAAGCTCACTTTGATGGTCTAAGACCCTGTGCAGTAGGCTGATTTTTAATAACTGGCACTAAGCTAATTAAAGGAAAATTAGCACAAGTGATTTATCCAGTAAAAAATTATTAAGTGGCTGTCACATGCTAAATACATGCAAATAGTTGTTGGTAATACTAAGATAATGACATAGCTACCCTCTTCAGAATGTTTATACTTTCTTAAGGTAGTCAGATAGATAAAAAAGGTCCAAAGGACTTTAACAGCGATATATGCAGGAATCTGTTGGCATTCACAGTGAATGTGGGCATCTTCTAGAAGATCATCTCAGGCCCACAGGGACATCTTTGGGATAGACTTTCTAGGAAGAGGAGTCAACTTAAAACCACTGTGGCTAGCTGGGTGCCATGGGCTCACACCTGTGATCCTAGTTACTCTTGAGACGGAGATCTAACAATTGTGGTTCAAAGCCAACATGTATCTGAAAGTTCTATATCCAATTAACCAGCCAGAGTACTAGGCTGGAGGCATGGCTCAAGTGGTAGAATGTCAGCTATGAGGGTAGAAACATCAAAACAAAACAACAAAGCTGCAATGGCTTAAAGACATCTCAGCTAAAGAATATTGGGCTTGAATGGAGATTGGAGTAGTGCAATAGGTGCTACTGAGTCAAGTAGTAATTGGGAGCAGATGATTGGCGAACCTCCTATGACATGTTAACTTTTCATTTTATTCTGGTAAAATTTTCTTTCTTTATTTGGTCACTTTGGCAAGAAGTGTGGAGGTGATTTGAAAAGAAAAGAACTGAAAGTAGAAAGGCTAGGTGTGAGCTTTGAAAAAGTCTGCGTGAGCAAAATTGAGAAATGCACACATGGGATAGGGTATCTCACAGAGTGGTATTCACGCCACCTGAGGAATTTATAATGAAAATTACCAGGACATTGCCTCAGCAATCTGATTCAGGAGTTCTGAAGTTTGAGAACAATTCTAAACTAAAGTCTAAAATATATGTAACATTTAATATATAATCACACACATATATGCATGTATGCCCTATAGTTTACAAACCTTCGTCACTAACTGAGCAGGGTAGTGCAAAGAAGGATGATTAGGAGATTTGTAAGTCCTTAGTGTTATCAAGTTGGAAATTAGCATGCTATAATATGGTGGCAAAATAAAGGCTGTACATATGGACATTGAGAAGTTAAAGGGAATGTGAAGTCTAGCACCCACTTGGAAAATTACCCAGCACTGATATGGACAAAGCCTTTAATAAATAAATGGTGTCTGAACTTAGAAAAGACTAGAGAGTAAGAGAGGCAAAACGTCCTAGTGTATTTATGAATCATCTGAAGATCATGTTCAGATGGAGATTTTGATAATTAGATTTAGAATGAGACATCTACATTCCTAACAATATTCGAAGTGATGCTAATGTCCACAGATCCTAGAAGATCAAAGATAGAGTGTGCACCCCGCACTGTCTTGGTTGTCTAGTACTTGGACCCCTCTCTCAAAGATTCTGATCCAGTTGGCATGAAGTGTAACCAAGATTCAGGGTTGCTTTTTTTTAATCTCATGTAATTCCGAGGTGCAACAAAATTTCAGTACCATGGGTAGTGGCTGATTAGGTAAAGGAGTAAGATGTATCTTAATGTGAAAGTGGACAATAGGTAAAACTAGCTCTGTGAATCTCCTGGTACAAGACCTGGCGGGACAAATTTGGATTCAACAAAGAATAGAAGGCAAAGGATAGAATGTGGGGGCTTTTGCCTAGGAGTACTGAAGAGGACAAGGATGAACGCACAGCTGGATCCAGTCTTTCAGGTTACAAAACTGAGATTACAGGCTCTGCAATTGCAACTGACAATTGTTGTTGGCTTTCCTTTTGAATATTATTGAGAAGACTTCCTTACATTTTAAAAAGTGTATATATGTGTATATAAATATACATATGTATATATATGTATATTATATATTATGTATATTATATATACATATGTATATATATACACATATAAAATCTCCATGTGTTCAATAAAGGGTGAGCCAGGTAATCCTTTTTGTTGTTGTTGGTGGTGGTGGTCATGGGGCTTAAACTCTGGGCCCGAGTGCTGTCCCTGAGCTCTTCAGCTCATGGCTAGCGCGCTACCACTTGAGCCACAGTGCCACTTCCAGTTTTCTGGTGATTTATTGGAGATGAGAGTCTCACAGCCTTTCCTGCCTGGGCTGGCTTTGAACTGCAGTCTTCAGATCTCAGTCTCCTGAGTAGCTAGGCATGAGCCACAGGCACCTGACTCTTTTCTTTTTTTTTAGTAGTCTCTGGATTTGTTGCCTAAGGCATGATGCGGTTGAACTACAGTGACCTGGACAAGAGCTCTCATTTCCAGGGACTAGTTATTCAAAACTGTTCAGCACTTGCTTCTGAATGAAGTAACCTATTG